AAAATTAGACTTGTATATGGCTAGGCATAAAGATAGATGGCTAGATGGTTTGGGAAACGAGGGTGATGCGGGATCTTGGACAAAGGAAAATAGTGTGGAAACTAAGGAGCTGGGGGGAGCTCTCCTGGAGTAGCAGGAGGTGTCATGTTCCCTTCAAAAAATAATAGTTATACATTAATTTAAAAGGCTATTAACTCAAACTTAACTTTAAAGCTGCCAAAGTTTAATGTCGAACCATTGTTTTGATGAATTCAGTTTCTCTAATGAGCAAAGCACTTAATTTAATGAGGTATCTAAAGGCCTACCAATTTAAACTGGAAACCCCAGGCCTTTAAGCATAAGCCCAAGTGAATGGGTGATAAAACGAGTCTGTTTTCGAGATTTAATAAATCAAAAAGTCATACCTCAGTGACTTTTTTGCGTGTGGAGGATTATCTGGGCAAGATATTACTTCCCCATTGGGTGGATATATAGTAATGTTTAACTGTATCACCCTATTCGATGGCTGATTGAATTTCGTTGTCATTTTCTCAATCAAGCCCAATGCCAAAGTCAAGTCAAAGTTGTCATTATCGCTTCCAGTATTTGCATTTACTAATTTATTTATTTACTTGTCTACAGTATCTTTTTATTATGCAAACACATCTATAAGATACACCGTGTACGTGGTGCCTATCTAGAAATTATGCAAATATCAGTGGGCCGATTGCGCCTTTGTGAGACTTGCCAGCTAGCCAGCTTGGCAGCCACTTTAATTTGTGACATTTGCTTAAACAATTTTCTCTATTGGAATTTCGCAGTTGATCGCCTTGCTCCTTCAGAACCTTTCCGAGAGCGCGCTGTGTGTGGGCCCCGGGCTGGGGCTGGAGCTGGGCTGGTCTACACGAAACAATTAAACTCAACATGCATTTATGTCAAGTTATTCGCGCTGTGCCGGCAATTAGAGACCAAAACCGACTCCGAAGTGGGCAACGCAGTCCGACTCCACCAAACGCATGATCATTGGCCAGTAAATTAAGCCAGACAACAGCACTCCAATGTAGTCAGTCGGTGGTACAAGCAACAACACACAACAACAGCCCAGCCGACAGCTGCGGTTGTAAATTTGATTTTTATGGCCAGAAACACGTTGCCGATTGGCAGCCAAGTTGGCCAGGCCAAGCTATAGACCAAAAAAAGCACAGAAACTGTTAGCGCTTTTCCAATCAGTTTTCCCCGATATCTGTCACCGGGCATGGAAACGGAAACCTCGCCGACTTTTGAGGTGTTAATTTGGCCACATGCCGACTGCTTTTGGCCATAAATTCACATCGTGTTCATGTCGCGCGCAATTAGTTGGTCTCCAACATTTCCGATTCTTGGAGAGATTTTTGTAATATTTTTTATAAAAATTATAAATAAATAAGATTTTCTTAAAATAGATATATCTGAAGTTCTGAAAAACTTTATTTCGTCAGCTGCATTTTAATTACTTTCCAAAAGAAACATAAAGAAACCCCGAAATTGTATATTTTTTTGTGCTGTTGTCTGGTCTCGAGTCTGAGTTTCAGTTTAAAGTCAAAGTCTGTCTTGTCCAGCAAGTAAATCGTGACAATCATGACAAAAAATCGAACGGATGTTTGAAGCCAAAAAATGCAAAAAGTATTTCTTTGGCTTTTTGTTTGCTGGTTTTGGCAATTTATCATAAAACGGCGTAAAAAAATCTAAAGAAATGAAAAGATCTCCAACCCCCCATACAAAATAACAAATAATAATTCATAATAAATTGTCATTTGACGTGTTTGAAATGTATTGGCAATTAAAAACGCAATTGAAGGAGGGAGTAGGGTCAGTAGGCAGTCACTCCTTGGGAGTAGCTGCAATTTATGGAGTTCATGAACCGAACTCTGGGTGTGTAGAGCTCTCGGTCATGATACTCGGATCAGGGCAAGTCGAGTAAAAGGGAACAGACTTCAGACTCGGAAAGCTGATTCAGTGATTTGGGGAACTACTACTACAATCTCATGATCGAAAAAGTGCCAATTCAAAGCTTAGTTTCTGGGGAATATCACGAATTTCAAGATCACTAAAGCCAATATTTTAAAAATTAATATTTTTTTGCTAAGTCTGCAGTTTAGTTTCCATAGAGAACCATTAAGAATTCTTTAAAAAAATGGTCTCTCGTCTCTGATGTCTCTCGAAAATGCTTATTAAAGTCGTTTCTCTGTCAATTTTTTGTTGGTTTTTTTTTTCGGCCCGGGTCCCGCCCATTCCCGATTATTGTTGCTGCTCTTGTTGCTTGCCCCCTTTTGTTGCATGTTTTGGGGACTGGAGTGGAGTGCAGTTTGCTTAGGGCGTACTTAAGTACCGTTATTTTAATAAACGCCGTTTGCTCATGCGCATGCGCAGCTTGTGTTGGCCCTGTTTTCGATGTTGCCACAAGACTTTCTTCGCTTAAAAGAAATGGAATTACGCCTGATGGCGAAATTCAACAAAAAAGTTAAAAATTTGCTTGCTCATAGCAATGTTTTGGGAACTGGGACTGGGATTGGGACTTCCTTCCCCCCAGAGTATGCCATTTGTTTTTCGTAATATTTATTTACTCTGGCCGAGTGCAGAGAATCTCTGTTTATTTTTGCCTTTTTTTTGGTCTGCGACAAAACTCTGGCTGTTTTTTGCATAAACATTTATGCAAATGTCAAATGCCTAATTGACAGACAAGAGCCAAGTGTGTTTGCCTTGCCTTGGCTGGCTGGCAGGCTGCCGGACCCACCTCCCTCCCCATTTTCCTGAGCAAATAAATAAAGTCCCATGACAATGACCAGGCTTTATAGAGGCAGCAAATTACAATTTACGATCGACGATCAGCGCGAGAATCGGTATGAGCGACAGCTCCAGCTCCACATTTTGTCAGCTAAACGGGCCGAACCCTCTGATTCGGAACGACCTTGGGCCTTTGTGGGCCCCCGGCCCTCCCAGCAATTATCCACATATACGAGTTATAAAGTGATCTAATGAATTTCCTTTATGCGTGTTTCATTTGATGGTGATCGTCCGATAAACATTTTATTTCGTTTTTATGTCTCTAGCTTCTATAGTCGTCGTCGTCATCTTCGTCGTAGTCGTCTATGTTTGTTTTGAGTGAAAGTAATTTGTCGATTATCTTTTGTATTTATGGATGTATAAATATGGGTCTGACACGCCTAGATACTTGGCACCACATGTGCTAAGAGCTTTAATCTGACGACTCTTCTGCCCGATTCCCTTTGCAGACTCATGAGAAGAAGAAAGTTTAAACATTTTTTTGCGGTGATTGGTTCGCATGATGATGGTAATGATGCTGCCTTAAATATAGTTGTAGTCATCAGAGTTTCAGGTTCGGAACTTCATTTAGTCTCAGTGGAGGAGAAATTTAAGAGCTTTAGGCGTGGCTGTGGGTCTTGGGAAAGGGTTTGTCTCTCTAAACCAGATCCTATCTGGCAAAAGAATGACCAACAAATTGGCCCAATCTCTGATCCGATCCGAGCCAAGATTCCATTCCAATCGACAAATTGTTTTGCCATATATGTATCATTGGGGTCTATCTCTGACCAATCGATATCATTATTTATATCTCGGCAGACGGCAATTCCAGGCCATTTACATGATCATCCAAAGAATAAAAAAGAAGATCCAACGCAGAGGTGGAAGACAGCATTGACAGGCGGAATAAAGGCAATCTTCCATTTAATAACCAATTATCATTGATCAACTGCACGCCCAGCCCCCTGAGATCGAAGGAATACCCTAAAAGAGACCCAGAGTCGGACAAATGCAGTGGGCACTGAGCAATATCAATTACGAATTACATCTGATTATCTGGTCCAGTCTGGGAATTGGCCATGGCCAGGGCCAAGGTGATTGCGCGATCGTGGCTTCGATGCCGACTGCCGGCTGCCAACTGGAGCTCCAGCAAAGCAACTCCCGCCTGGGGGCTGTGTGTGTCTGATTAGCGCATAAACAAGTTAATGCCATTGATGATGACGATGCTGAGCCACCTGAACCGACGCCAAGTGCATCGCAATGGGTTCGGAGGATGATGAGGAGGACGACAGGCAGACGTACGAACGTGGAGCAATGTTATTGTTTCTGCTGCCCGGCTCTTTGGCTGGAATCAAAATTCTGGCTTTTGTCCAAGATAAATGGGCCAGCTCACACTGCGATAAGGCGACTGGCAAACTTCTGGCCTGTTTGGGAGTCTCTGTGCGTCCCGTCTGTTGACAACTGGCGGCGGCTTCCAAACCCTTTGATCTTTGACGACGCCCTAGCCCCCAGCTCCCAGCCAATCTCAGTCTGCGTCTGCTGTTGTGTGTTGGACCATGTTGAACTTTCCCAGTTGTCGCGTCCGCCCTGTTCCTAGAATATGTATCTTCGGCCGTTACTGTTTACCCAACACTTTTGGAGGCCCCTGGGGCCGGCGGGTGGTGGTCGGGCCACAGCCTATATGCTAATGCTGTTTGGTCAGCCAAAACCCAAACCCAAAGCCAAAGCCAAACACTTTTTGTTGGCATTACCTTGAATTTGTCATCACAAAGGCCTGCCCGAGGAGAGCTGCAGCCCAGAAGTAAATAGAGTTGTTCAAGATATGTCATAGACTTTGGAGCAAACAAAGCTTGACAACATAGTTAGGGTTCATTTGCATTGGGTTCCATAAAGATTATCATGGTATTTACATGAATAAATTGAATTCCTGTTTATTTCCAACGAAATGTTGGAGATTATTACTTGGAGGAGTACAAACATCTAGCTAGTTGGGGGGACTTGGAACTAGAAACAAAATTAGATCTTTGTGGCAACCATTTTCAGAATTAATTTTTAGTTTTTAAGAGTCTTTAATGGACAATTGTCCGTGGGAGTGCCCCGACTTGTGAGCTTGTATGCAAATGAGGGGACAATTAGGCTGATCAGCGCTAATTGAGGGAGCCAGAGTGACCCACAGAGTGACTAACCCGATTCCGTTTCTCCATCTTCTCTACTTGCAGGCTGCCCGGCTTCCACCAGCTCCCACTGCCTGCGCTGCAACAAGGCCGGCTGCATCAAGTGCCCCATGTACCTGGTGACGGATACGCGGCAGTGCGTGGACCAGTGCCCCACCGGCTATTTGGATCAGTGGTCCGCCCACACGGAGTTCATGGGACGGGTGTGCGTGCCCACCGGATATTCCGGCCCGTTGATGGCCGCTCTGGCCGGACTGCTGGGCGGTTTCCTGGTCTGCCTCTCCCTGTTGGCCGTGGCCGTGATGCTGGTGAAGAGGAAGCGCCGGCGGAAGTCCGTCAAGCAAAAGCTCATCAACGAAAACACCATGGACAGGGCTGACTTCTTGCGGCAACTCAACGAGATGCGTCCGAACGCCGAGCACTTCCTGGCCATGCTGAACGACACGCGGCGGCAAATCCGCAAGCTGTATCTATCCGGCGAGGTGGCTGCTGCCAACTCCTATCGGCCCATTGTGCGGGATCTGGCCAAGCTGCTCATCCTGCTGAACAGGCCGATGGAGCTGATACCTGCTCCACCGCCGGACTGGTCCCGGCTACATGCCTGGTCGGAGCAGGCCTTGGAGCGGTACAAGCCGCAGGTGGGCCAGCTGATTGACTTCTTCCAGGCCTCGCACGCCGCCAATGGCCATCAGGAGGTCCTGTACGCAGCTCCTGCAAAGAAGAAACAGCAGCAGCAGCAGCCCAGCATCTTCCGGCAGCAGGTGACGCCGACGGCGATGCCCCAGGGAGTGGGCGAGCTGATGGCAGGAGACCGGAGTAGCAGTGCGTCGGCGCAGCAGAAACTGCATCTGTTCGGGTCACTGATCAGCCTGCACGAGTTCGAGGAGCCGAGGGCTTCCGATCCGTTTGGAAGCAGCTTCAACACGCTGAAGAGCGGCAATCTCATTTCAGATCTCAACGCCAGCTCGCTCTGGCTGGAGGACGAGTTCTACAAGCTGGGCTTCCGACCGCAGGACGAGATCACCACGGAGCTGTGAGCTGTCCCAGACTCAAACTTAATGCAAAAGTAGTATTATCCCGGTTGACGGCGCTAAGCGTCTGCCATTAACGCCAGTTCAGCCGGGAAAAGGAGCATTGCGTGCACATTCCGCCAGGCCATCATCATCATCATCATCGATCAAACCGAGACGCCATTTAGCTGGAGCCGCTAAATGCCCACGTTTAGAGTTAGTTAGATCAGTTAAGCAAGCAAACTAGTCACGTAAAATCACAAACAAAACCATCAACACAAAACGATGCCGCCAAGGAGCCGAGGAGGAGCAGGAAGCAAATGGAAATGGAAATCGAGTGGAAATGAATTTAGTTTTATGGATTTTACAAAAATCGCAACAATCATGTAACGAACAATATTCAATATACACACTATATAGATACTATCCAGATAATAGTTAAGATGTTTAGCTTTAGAGAAGCGATACTTATAGCTATAGCTTAAATAGACAGAGATTATAAAGCTTAGTGAATATGAAATGGATAATAAAATCGTGTGCCTTAAGAGTGTAAAATGCGTAACAGTTTGTATTATTAACCAGGCGCCGTCTTTCGACCAGATTAGCCAACGTTAAGGTGCCTCGTACTTCCAGAGTATGTCGGGTTCCACCTTAACCACTAGCTCCACATGTCATGTGTTGTCCTCCTTGCTAGCCTCCATCGATACCCTCCGTTCGGGCGACCTCTTGCGCTCATTCACCAGCCGGGACAGCTCGCAGGCGTCGTAGCCGATGAGTAGTTTCAAGTCGCAATCGAATTTGTAGGCGAATCGCTTGCCAGACACCTTGGAGATCATATCTCCGTCGTAGTAGTACCGCAGTGCCCTTGACAGTTTTTCGTAGTTCATGGCGGGTTTGTTTTTTTTCTCGCCCCAAAGACGAGCCACCAGGTCCGGATCGGTCAGCTTAAACTCGCCCTCGGTGCCCACCCACTCAATGATGTCCGTGTGCTCGCAGTCAGTGAGTATTTCCAGCAGAAACTGCCACAGCTGTACCTGACCATTGTTTCCCGATCCAATGCTGGTGTAATTTGTGGGGCTTCCGGGAGAGGGAGCACTTTTCGTAGGGGTGATGACATTACCTTCGCCAGCTTTCTGAAGAGATTTTCGCATGATTCGCTGTTCCAGCGAGGCTGCATCTCCCAGTTTCGGTTGCTTGGGCTTCCGCTGCTCCTCCACTTGCTTATGTACCACTGAAACAAAGTTGCACTCCTTGAGAAGCTGCAGATGCGTCCAGAATACGTTGCCCGGATCACGTGGCAGCTTTTTGGTAAACTCCTCGTGGGTCATGGCGCAAAGTTCCTGGCCATTGATCTTCCAGTCGCTCATGTTGATGCCTCGCAGTTCAAACTGTTTAACAGCCCATTCCAGCCAGTGGGTGACGTGGGCCTGTGTCCACTCGATGGCAGCCTCAGGGATTTTCAATCGCGCTTGCTCCCGCTTGAACTTGCTGTCCAGAACCCAATTCAATACAGGCTTCACGTCCTTGCCCGATTCCATGAAGTCATCATCAGACAAGCTACGCTTGATGCCTGTTTTAATGGGACTCTCGCTGGAAGAGCTCCTTATGCTAGACGTGTCTGGGGGTGAGAGTTGACCCACGGGCTCCTCGGTGGCTAGAGCAGCCAAAGCTGCTTCTGTAGGCTTCAGGACATCCGCAATGTTGATGCGTTTTTGTATGGTTTGAATTTGCACATTGATTTGTACCAAGCCCTCTCCTTTGACACATTGATCCACCAGGTTCTTGTGCGGCTCCAGCTAAAAGAAGAATTTCTAATGAAAAGGAACCATAAAGGCATTTGGTGACTAACCTCCTGGGCATCCTGTAGCCAAAAGGAGTAGTAATTCAAACCAACCCCTATTTTGCGCTCAACAAGTTTCCTAAAAGAGAAAAAAGTCAAACAATCGTAACATATGGGAAACAACGATCACAGGAAGTGGTCTCTTACTTGAGGGTGCTGAGCGGTTCCCGGATGTCCATGTGCACTATGATTATGTCATCGGGCTCCGCCTCTGCCTCCACGTCGTTGCTGTCGTCATAGATGTTCGTCTCCTCGAACATGTTGCCGGGAATAACCTCCTCTGCAAATTGTTTACAATCGAATGAATGGGAATGCATTGGACCACAACAGGTGCCTCCCCAATTGGGATTCCTTGTTCTAACTCACCTAGCACTCCGCCCACACCAAGGCGTCGTATTAGGTCTTCCGTCAGGTCGGTGCTCTCCATTGTATCTGTGCGTTTGCCAAGGATTACGTTGTATTTATTTAATAATGGTTAATACGGGATAAAAAACAATGCTGTCCAAACAGCGATGCAGACTAGAGGTGGAAGAAAATCGATTTAAGTATCGAGCTATCGATATGCTGTCCCAATAGCGATGCCAGACTAAAGATGGGAGGGCCATAACTTGATCCGGTAGCACAGGTTTTTCAAACTTCAGCGTTCGTTTTTCGCCATAATGTATGAAAATTCAGAAACAATGCATTAAAGGGAAGGTAATAATTAACGGCTTCTTTTCCTCATATATAAAGATTAAAAAGATGATAATTTAAGCCAATAACATATACAAAATATGTACTGATATACATCACACTGTACAAATAGCTTTGCTGCCATCCGCCAGATGGCGCACTCAATTCCAAAGGGGTCTTTGATTTCAACGGGGTCCTACAAAATTTGACGAAAAATCTAAAATATATTTTGTTCCTGGATTTTTATGCAGATTTGTAAAGAATCGGGCCACAAATCATTTAAGGTATTCCGCTCAAGAATCAGTTGAGTATTGGCAAAGATATGGCATTTGGCGTGAGCCATATTGAGCTCTCATGCATTGCCCCCATTTTCGAAGGGGTCTACCCAGAAAGTTTGACAAAAAAACTAAAAAATATTTTTTTCCTGGATTTTGATGCAGTTTTGTGTAGAATCGAGCCACAAATCATTTAAGGTATTCCGCTCAAGAATCAGATGAATATTGGCAAAGATATGGCTTTCGGCGTGGCCCATATTGAGCTGTCATGCATTTCCTCCATTTTCGAAGGGGTCTACCCAGGAAATTTGACAAAAAACCTAAAAAATATTTTGTTGCTGGATTTTGATGCAGTTTTGTGTAGAATCGATCCACAAATCATTTAAGGTACTCCGCTCAAGAATCAGTTGAGTATTGGCAAAGATATGGCATTTGGCGTGAGCCATATTGAGCTCTCATGCATTGCCCCCATTTTCGAAGGGGTCTACCCAGAAAGTTTGACAAAAAAACTAAAAAATATTTTTTTCCTGGATTTTGATGCAGTTTTGTGTAGAATCGAGCCACAAATCATTTAAGGTACTCCGCTCAAGAATCAGATGAATATTGGCAAAGATATGGCTTTCGGCGTGGCCCATATTGAGCTGTCATGCATTTCCTCCATTTTCGAAGGGGTCTACCCAGGAAATTTGACAAAAAACCTAAAAAATATTTTGTTGCTGGATTTTGATCCAGTTTTGTGTAGAATCGATCCACAAATCATTTAAGGTTTTCCGCTCAAGAAACAGATGAATATTGGCAAAGATATGGCTTTCGGCGTACGCCATATTGAGCTCTCATGCATTTCACCCATTTTCGAAGGGGTCTTCCCAGGAAATTTGACAAAAAATCTAAAAAATATTTTGTTCCTGGATTTTGATGCAGATTTGTGTAGAATCGATCCACAAATCATTTAAGGTTTTCCGCTCAAGAATCAGATGAATATTGGCAAAGATATGGCTTTCGGCGTACGCCATATTGAGCTCTCATGCATTTTTCCCATTTTCGAAGGGGTCTACCCAGGAAATTTGACAAAAAACCTAAAAAATATTTTGTTGCTGGATTTTGATGCAGTTTTGTGTAGAATCGATCCACAAATCATTTAAGGTACTCCGCTTAAGAATCAGATGAATATTGGCAAAGATATGGAATTCGGCGTGCGCCATATTGAGCTCTCATGCATTTTCACCATTTTCGAAGGGGTCAACCCAGAAAATTTGACAAAAAATCTAAAAAATATTTTGTTCCTGGATTTTGATGCAGATTTGTGTAGAATCGATCCACAAATCATTTAAGGTACTCCGCTCAAGAATCAGATGAATATTGGCAAAGATATGGAATTCGGCGTGCGCCATGTTGAGCTCTCATGCATTTTCCCCATTTTCGAAGGGGTCTACCCAGAAAATTTGACAAAAAATCTAAAAAATATTTTGTTCCTAGATTTTGATGCAGCTTTGTGTAGAATCGATCCACAAATCATTTAAGGTACTCCGCAAAGATATAGCCATCGCTGTATGATTTTTTTTCCTTCCCAGAAATTTTTCAGACTTTTAAGGAAATTTTTTTTGTTTTCTAGATGATTGGGTCACATTTTGCTGTTGGATGCCTTGCAAAATTAATTTTTTTATTTATCACAAGCAATCAAAATTTTAATTTTCATGATCAATAAAAATTTGGCAGTCTTTGGGTGACAAAATTTCCCCCGTCTTTGAGGCCTTTTCCTAGAAAGCAATCGAAGTTAATTGAGGAATTCGCAACAATAAGATGGTGCTCGAACGCCCACTTGAGCTGTGAGTGGGTGCCCGAACATCTGCGGTATTTTTGCAACTTTGAGAGCCCTGCGGGCACAATTGGCAATGTTTGTTTTGAGACACATTGAGGAAGTGCAGCGGCCACCCTGCCAAGTGGAGTGGCAAGAGCTCCCCATCTTCAGCTATGGCTGATTAAATGCCCCACACACCATCTCTGCCCGATTTTTCAGGCAATCAGTCAGTGGGTCAAGACGGTGGGACAAAGAAGGCCAATTGTCTTATCTGGCAGGGAATAGGAGGTTAGGTTACTTCAAGAGCACAGCGCACTTGTTAACACAAGCGATTTTCCATGTCCCGCGATATAGTCAAAGTCGGCTCCCTCCCAGATATTCAGAGTTGGGAACATGCATTACCTCATTTGTTGACTCAGTTGGCACTGATGAACGATATTTGCTCGAAAATATCTCGCTAAATATATATTATACACACAGATGACAACGACGAACTTGATTCGAATACCGCTAGGAAATGCCGGCAAAAACTCCGTCGTAACTTTTAACCTTGCAACTCCATTTACTCCCCTTGCTGCGTGCCACACAGGCTAATAAGCCTTGTTGGCAGACAACAAAATATGCTTTGTTTGTCTACTTTGTTCTCTAGCCAAGTTGTTGACTAATATTAGCCAACTGGCCAAATTCGACGGCTTCACTCTGTCTCATTTTTTGTGGTCACTACCTTTCCGGCGTCATCGCAGAAACTGAGTCATTGCCAATGTCGCCCCAGCTGGGTAAGAGATATTAATAATTGTGATGAATTAACTTTCTCATTCTCCATTTTTCGGCGTATCCCAAAGCCATTATTAGTCATTGTTGTCTATGCTAATGAAGGCAGATCTAATTTGTAGTATCACATTACACATCGAGTATACGCCGCATTGACCTTCCCCGAGATAGAAATCTAAGCAGACCAAAAATTGTCTAGGTCATGACATATCCAGCTGCAGTAAACATACTTACTACATCCACCCGAACCTGAACTTCTATCAATTACCAGAGCCTAACAACAATGACAACGTGGAAAAGACATAAAAAAAAAAAACCGATATCATAAAACTATGCGCAGTCATCGTGGCGCCTCCATTGCCAGAAATTCCCATGTAGCCAAAAGCCAAAAAGAACGTGGCTGAAAACAACCCCTTGGGAACGCTAAGGATTGCTGTCGGCCGAGCGTTCAACTCCACGCGAATTGCGTCACTGGCGGATGGCTGGCTGGAATTAAATCAATAGGGACAACTCCCACACGGAACGGTTAACTGGAGCAACTAGCTCTAGTCCCAGATCCTTAGCCCCGGGACTTGGGACTCGGAGAATTTGCATTTTCGTGGCCCACACACATAGACTGGTGTGCGGTTGGCTAGTATTTGGGTCGACCGTCCAAGCCGTCAAAGGACTGCAAGGACAATTCAAAGGCGGGCGAAATGTGTTTTGGCCAAGCATAACTCAGAGTGCTTTTGCGTTTCCGATTCATTTTTTGCTTTCCATTTCATAATTTTTGAATTAATTAATTGGCCCAGTTCTTGGCGGGGTCGCGTCGTCAAATGAATTATGGAGCTTTTACAGACTACACCTAAAAACCTTCGGCCGAATTAAGGGCAGGATATGAACTCGTTTGTGCCCGGCATTTTATTGGTTTTTCAAATAACTCTGAATTATTTATTGCCCAGTTGAGGGCAGTGCAGTCACGTTATTGATGAACCGCTTAAGTGGTTGGGAAAGGAACCGGAAATAGTGAGACAAGTGAGCCATGTCCTTGCGTGTAGAACAATTTCTTAAAAATGTTTCTAGCTATAAGACATTTTTTGGCAATTTCCTCTAAAACAAAAATTTGAATATCTCTGGATTTGAGTCATTCTTGAGGCCTACTTGAAGTCATTCATTAATATTCTGTGACTGTGTCACCCATGATGATCAAAATGGAAGGAAACAGTTGCTTAGATGACTATCGTACAATTATGGAAAGTCCTACCTGAGTCATCAACGTTTGATCAACCCGATAAAGATAAATTATATTCTATATTTTGTTTCAGTTAACAATATTTAATTTTTCTTATCAATTTTAAAAATAAAACTGACTTTATAGATCGAACCGTTCCATCATACTGATAAGACGTCTTGTTGGCCATCCAACATGATTCGGTTGCGTTGCCAACAGAACAGCTTATTATATACGAAAACATATAACAAAATCAATATAATTGGTTTAAAAATTAGTTAAGTTTTAATCATTATACAATTTCAATTGATTGTATATTAAGAATATTTTTTTTTTAAATATATTTTTGCTTATACATATTACTATTGTTGTTGGTGTAGCGTGGCCGGCTTTAAATAGCTGTTGAAACTTCTGGTTGGATTTCAGAGGATGAAGCGGCTAAAATGGGAAAAATTAAGGCCCGAAAGCATTTAAATAAAATTATAAATAGCCAAATAAATGGTATCGAAGTTTAGTTAGCCAAATTAGGTTAAAAACACAAATATTCTGGTAAAATTATGGCTTATCACAAAATTGTCTAATTCTATAGTCTAGAAAATAGCTAGACCTAGCAATAAAATAGCGGAAGAGTCATCACGGCTCAAACTAAAACATCGAACTCATACATGTTGGCTGTGCGGCGGTTAAAAGCTGTTAAGAGTCTCACCGTGGAACCGAAATTCAAAATTCAATCCGAAACGGAAAGTCGTGGGAGACGCGCGGTCCTCCAAACGAATTCAAATCGAGGTTCTGGCCGCTCGCTAACGCTTTTTGTTTTTGGCCAACATAGCGATTGTTATAACGCTTATTTGATTAAGTACGCAAGTTTTGTTATCGCCGTATGGTGGGTGCGTGTGCGTTTGTGGTGCCCCAAAGCATTTTTGTATTTGTATTTTTTTTTTGCCACTGAGTGGGCTGTTTTGAAAGTGGGCGTTTTGTTTGCCATTTAGAACAATGTTTTCAGCGTTGGCTGAAAACTAGTTAGTCAGGCAAGCACAACGTGCCGCCGCCGGTGAGACATTAAAATTTCAATTTCTTTCATAGGCAAACCAGCCAAACAATAGACCGACCGGCAAGCTAAATTTAAAAGCTAAAATTACAAAAATAAAATATGCATGCCTGACATTGCCCCTGACGGCCAGGCAACAACAAATAAAATGCCAGCATATGTGTAGTCGGTTTCCATCGATTTGCATTCGTTTCCCCTTCGCTCTAATCAAAATCAAACAGACACACACGCACTCACAAAATCGAACAAAAAATAGTAAATAAATAAAAAAATACAAGCACGCTATCAACAATCAAAGTGTAACGGGTGTTGTAAAGTTTCGTAAATAGCCAAAACCAAAAAAAAATAGTTCAATTTTCTTGTTTCATTTTGGAAAACAGCTTGAAATCTCGTCTGCAGTGCTTCGAAGCCAGAAAGCCCCACAAAAATTGATTACCAAAAAGAAAAACCTCTCAAAATTGTTGTGCCATACAAGTGGAAAATTGTTTAACTCGAGGTGAGTTTGGCAATAGTTTTCGAATCGATTTTAATGGCCCGCCATCGTCCCCGAAATATCCACCCAATGCATTCACATCCGTTCGGGCAATTATTGATTTTGCAGGGAATGTCCTTCACACGAGGCCCGGCCGGCTTGCAGCTCCGCAGCAGCTGAAAAGCCCAAGGACGCTGCCTGGTGCAGTGCTTGAACTTTTCACCTCCTGCCAGCCAGCCCGGCTCCCACTCCCGCCCACCATGCCCCCCCACAAAACAGCTGTGAAATGGTTTCTCTCGGTGCGCCGGCAACATTTTCCGAGTTGCAGCAATGCTTTCAATTTCCATTCAACAAAGCTAATGCAACGAACAAGTGGCAGCCGGCGCTTGGCGGCACGTGAGTGGGTTTCGTGTGGTTCCGAGTGGTGTGGGTGTCCAGACCTGCACCACCGAAAATTATAAATGCAATTTCTGCTCCCAATGGAGCTTTTTTGGGGGCCTAGTCGACGTGGGTATCAGACAGAGTAACAGCATTATTAATTTCTGACCAAAAATATTATGAAATTAATCATCCAATTATTAGCTATTTAAGCTTAAAACTCATTAAACGCCTTTGTGGATAAGCTCCTGTTAGTTGGCCTTAATTCTAAGCTTGCACCAAGCCCACTCTATAAATTTTCCTTTTTGTTACGATGCTGTTTTCCTATTAATTAAGTTTCAATGGAGCCTATTCAGGCGGTAATCAACTATAGTAAACACTCTTTGGCAAGCTTATAAAGAGGGATTCCAAGTGAACTTGTTTGCTTTATAAAGAGGGCCCACTGCCGGCTTTATGCTCTTTTTAATTTAACAGTAGAACGATTTTGTCGGCCTGGTTATCAGATTTCAGCCAACATAAGCATATGCGAGTCTGTCATTAGATAGAAGTCCTGCGATAAGAAGCCTACAATGTTGGGGAGTGTGCAAAAAATAAAAATATAACTACATTGAAGCTATACTCATACATATGTACATATGTATAGTATATCCGGGGCATTGTAATAGCCGATTTGAGGGGCTGTCTTATCTGGTTATTTGATTTTCATACCCAAAATGAAAATGAGCTCATCGTCGGCTGCACATTTTGGCTCGTTCTCAGGTAGTGGCGGCAAAAAAAGATCAAATTCCCTATTTGGCATAAAGTTACCCTGCCAACAAACCACCCTCCAGTTTTTGAGATCCCCTTCGTGGCATTGATTTCACATTCAATTATATAGGACTCTTTTTTGTCGCGTGTTTTTAATTTATTTTATTTGAATTGGCCATCGATTGTTCTTCCCATTTGGGTTAATGAAATTTCATTTATGATATTTTAAAAACCATCTTGATTGTTATTGTGTGATTTAATTCTCCCCTCGCTTTTCTATGGCTGCATTTCAACCGGGGAATTTGCATAATTGCATTTGCGGCTCATATACGGCGTCTGGCCCTCTTTCAACTCTAATTTCAGACCAACCCATATTTTCGCCCATACCACCCATGGAGTTTAGGTTGATTGCTGCGTTTTGTGGTTTCCTTTGGCTTTCATATGTTTCTCCCCTGGATGGATTCGGTTTACCTTTATGTGGTTTCGCCGTTGTTTGTTAGCACCTTGTTTGAAATTTGGTAGCAGAACTGAGAAGGGGATAGTACTACAGACTATCCTTTTACCTGGAAGAATTTCAGCAGACACTGGAAAAGTTCACGCTAGCAGTACGCTGTTTTTCTAATGTAATATTCCCCTTCTCGCTTCAGCTGATAGCTAGTTTATTGCACAATTGACGCGTAATGTTTATTTTTCCAGCTCTGCCCCCTCGCTGGTTTTGTGGCTGCTTTCATGAGTCATTTGATAAGAACAAATGATAATTGTGGCGCTGCATAAGAGCAGAAACATTAAAAAGTAACAACAATTAATTGAAACAACACCAAATTTAATGTTTGATACAGAGGAAGAAATATTTTAATATTTTTAATATGTTCTACAAAGAATTCAAAAGCTGAAAAAAATAGAAAAGATAAATAAACTATTTCAAGTGCAAAGTGAGGCAAAACATTCCTCGCCCACCTCATCAGCTCTTTTCGAATTTTTATTTTGGGTAGAATGCTGAAATTTCCTGAGCCGCTTGACATTCCCTCTTGTAGACTCATTCTCGTAGACTCTCCGTGGCTTTTATTCAAAGAATTCATAAACAAGTCTATATGCAATATCAAACAAACACGAAACAACAAGACCAGCAGCTGTAGAAAACGCATAAAAATTTTAAATTTTTTTTGTTTCCACCTTCAAGGTCAGAAGATCGTTAAAATGCTTGTCGTCTGTGTGAAGAACCAGAAGGCAGTTGCTAGCTATATAAGCTTCAGATCAAAATTCTATATACAAGACAAATGCAGTGTTTTTGAAATATAAGCAAAATTTAAATAAAATATTCACTTGTGTATGTAGGTGAACGAAAAATTCATTCATGGGCCTCACATGATTGATAAGCTAACCGGACTGATAAACTTTTTGCCTAATTCACTTTGACTTTGGCCCCAGCTCTATGAATATTTATAAATATTAATGGTGCGATGACGATGACGTCAGGAAGTGCATATGACAGATGACAAAACAGAAAGCACAAGACAAATGAACTTCTGACGGTAGTGCAGCGGTTGAATGAAGATAAATGAGGGGTTGAATAGAAGGAGTCAGATATTAATTTAGAAAACAGATACAAAATTGTGATTAGAGAAATAATACTCTCCCTTCAGTACATTTAAGGGATAAAATTATTTAAATTTATAAAAGAGTTTCTTTTAATTTTTGAAATAGATAAAGGAGAAAGCATTTTTGTGAAGTTAGTAAGTTTCTCATTAGTAAAGGGTTTGAAAAAAATACTTTCCTGTTTGAAATAGTAAAACATATTAAGTTAGAAGAAGAACATATTAAGTCTTCTTTTTAACATAAGTATGTACCTTTTTTTTCTGTGTACTTTTCATAAATGAGGCAGCAGTTTTCCATTACGACCGAAAAAGCTGACAACCCGGACTGTCACAAGTAGTTGACATTTTCATTTGACTTAGTCAGCAATGAAACTAAAATAGCAACAACCACCTGCCACAGCTTGCGAGGCGTAACTAATTTGACAAACCGAAAGGGAATGAGGTGAATGGGTTTTTGGATTTTGAATTTTGGTTAGAGAATTGTGGGGGATTCCCCTCTGACAGCCAAAAATTGCAGCACGTTGCGTTGCTTTTTCGGCGGCGCTATCACCCAATTTCCATCAACTGGTGGGGCGGGCTGTCAGGTGGGTCAAGGGTCAAAAGCTTAGAAAACCGGCGACATGCAATGGCGTTAAATTTTTATGCGTGTTGTGGAAATATGACAGCGGTGCGTTGCAGTCGGTTGTGGGTGTGTTCCACCTAACATGGCCAGCTAGCCCGCGGGCCGGTCACGCAATGCAAAAGGAAAAGCCACCTCAAGTTTGCAGCAAGATAGCCCGGCCAGAAATTGTTTTCTTTATGGCATAATAGAGGGAAAACAAGAAGTAGAATGGAATATATGGGCTTACAGAGGCAACAAAGCCGTGACATCAACATTAGAGCGAGAACGTTATCGCTGTGGGGACATCGCAATTTATTAGATTGTATGCTCTTAAGTTTATCACCTAAATTAAATATTTTATGTAATATCGTGTAGTTACCTAAGGTGAGATAGCTAAGATAGCTTACCGTGAAAATGATCTCAGAGAAAAGCTAATAAGGAAATTAAGTCGAAACCATAGTAGACTATAATAGAACTACTATCAATAAGCGATACAGTTCCCATTTAAAAATCGGTTGCAACTCATTCCAATTGGGGAATAAACTTGGAGACCAAAAGCCCCAATAACCTTGAAATAGTTCGAGTCCCACTGGCCGGCTTACGTCACTTGTCCCCGAAAAATAGCCGTAGTAAACACAAACAGCTAATGTCCGGCTCGGCGGAGAAAGATTAACCCACCCCCGACCCACAAGTGACAACATTGAATGTCACCGCTACTTTTGACGGCAGTTCTCCCATTGACTTTTGGATTCGAAATTGGAGCGCACGCTTCGTTCGTCCAACACGCTGTGTGATAAATAAAATAAAATAGATATGGAAACGAATTCGGATGATTTACTGCACCTTCGATAGTGCCAATGGCAGGTTGCCGGGCCAGTGGCCACTTTAGATGGCCAAACACACCGCATCACCTACAAAAATAGCAACCTAAAATAGCAGAAAGCGCGGAACAAACAAATGAAAGTATGGGGAAAATCAAGAAAATATTTCTGAACAAATAAACGGACATTAAATTGGATTGTACAATTTAAGGCCAACATGTGGCAGTCTCGTAAGACGGTAACGCCTCTGCCAGCATAGGGAAATGTGCTAAAAATGTTTATTGGCTCACTCGAATGATTGCAAATGATTGTTCAATTAAAATGCCATACCACATAGTTGAGGCTCGAGAATAAAACCCAAATATAGACTGTTAGTAATCTTGTATTCCTTTAAATTGTATAAAATTTAAATAAATGCAAATAATTTATATTCAAATTCAGGGCACGGAAGTAGCATCGCTTTTCAGTAAGAATTTTTTCGGAAAGAACCACAAAGAATCCGGCAACTTTCAACACGTATTTGATTATTTTCTAAGGAAGTGGCCTTTGCCACTTTTTTTCTGAATGAGCCTTTATTATTTTTTCTATAAAATAAACAAGCAATGAACTTTGGATGAGTCACAGGGAGTTTTCGGTGTAATTGAAATTTTATGAGCGCTCGTAAAGTATGTAGATGCCCATGTTAAGTATACGACACGTGTACCGATATTGCTTATTAGTGATTTGGCGCCAATTGTGTGTTATTGGCGGTGTCGGATCCACCTTTGACGCTTTTCGTGTCTCTCTCTTAATGCTTTTTGAAGATTTATTTTTGCTTATAAGAAATATGATGGATCTGTTTGGTGAAATAATTTTGGCATTTGCCTCTGTGGGATGCTGTGGCGCTGACCCAGTTTCGTTATTTACTTTCAATAATATCTATGAATATATTCGCCGGACAAAAGAGCACTGAAAAGATACTCTGGGCCATTGTTGTTGTGGCTTTGGGGCTGTGAGTAAATTACTTATTTATATTATTCGGCACAGAAGCACCGTCGAAAAGTGACAACGATGACGTCGCCGGCTTCAGAACAAAATGAATAAAAACAAAACAAAAAGTGGTGCTATTAATTTTGACATATCCCCTTGGGTTGGTTGCTGCCTTCGCGGCAACTCGATTCCATTGTTTGGCTTGTGGTCTCTCTTAATTGGGTTTTCAGTTTGCTTTGGGCTAATGATCCGTCATCATCGTCGGCGTATACGTAATATTGCACTCGGCAAGTGCAGGGCATGCTATTTGTGGGCGTTTTCAACGCTCTGAAATAATAATAGCGACAAAATGGTTATTACAAATGCCATAAAAAGTGATAAATTATTAAGTGCTCAAGTCTGGCATGAGTAATAATTTGCATTGCTAATTTTCGTGTGCTAACCTGCCACAGAAACAATTGACAGAAGCCTAAAATATATCTCATAGTTGTCTGAATGGACGAGGACATAGGATTTACACCCAAATTAATGTCCAAGCTTGGCGTGATGATGAAGAACCATAATGAATTCTGGGAAGCTATTAGCAAAAAGCTTCTTCATTCCCCAAACTTAAACAAGTGTAAAGTTTTTGCGCGGATTTAAATGTCAGATTGTCAGCCGTGATGTGGGGTCAATGCTACTCTCGTAACCCCAACTCCAGAGCCAACCCATGTCATTGTCAACCGACAAATTGGGAAGAGAAGAATGGCTCCGAGCGCAAGGGCACCGTCAGCCATGACAATTACATAGTGTAATTACCAACATGCGTTTAACAATTAACTTGACACTCCAAGCCAGTTGCTTTCTCCACATTTTGTATGTAGTTTTGATTGATGGCCCTCCCGTCGAATTAAGAACAATTTGGATGCATCATCCAAGGGGATAGTGTCCTTAACGTTCAATATTTACACTCGTTAGGCAATAAATGTATTGAAAATCAATTGATCCAATTTATAATCTAAGGGCTGGCGAAGGCTCTTCACAGATTTAACTCAATAAATGTCGATTTAAAATGCATAATGGTCTGCCTAATTGTTACAACAAACCACAAAAGCCAATGCGAATGGGTTGTTCACTGGCGATATATGGTATGTGTATGGGAGGTGGGGTGTTTTGGGAAGTGCGGGTCATGTTGGGTTCAATGATTATTAATCAAACGCCAGTTTAATTATGCGACTTGTTAGAGACGCCCAGGCAGACAGGGTTCCCATCCCCCTCTGAATTACCATCGAGGTCTGGGGCTTCAATTAAAATTCGTTCCGCCGATCAAATGGATCTATTCGAGCGGTCCAAAAACTGAAAGTTTACGAGTCTCGTCACTCTTTCTCTTTTTTTGGCATCTTAGAATTGGCCGCAAGTTATGGGGTTGTCTGTTCTTGGCGTCTAATCGAATGTCAAGTATGAATCCATTGACGACAACGCATTTCTTTTGATGGCCCTTCGTGGTGACAATTGTGGCATCTCTGCCCTCCCTTCAATTTTTTTATTACTTAATATCTTTTATTTCTTTTTTTTTTTCGTTGTCTGTTTTTGGTGAAGTATTTTGATTGTTGGCGTTTTGGAGCCGGCACTCGTTCCTCAGCAGTTCGCGGCGAGCTTTTATCGGGTGCGGTTCAACTTTGTTTCCTTTGATTATTTTACGATTCTGCTTGGATATTGAAAAAGTAAGACTTTGGCGCTTTGGAACTCGATCCCCACATCGGCCTGGCTTCGACATTGAACTTGGTGCCTAATCACTGACAAAATAAACGATCTATGCTAACAACAACAAGCGAATGCATTCGAGCTTTCAATAAACAAATTTGGGTTCCTTTTTTTGTTTATTTTCGCCAGCTCGTATTTGCATTATAAATTAGTTTTCAATTTACGGCGCAAACATTGACAAAGTGACATCATGAATTCGTGGTGTCCGCCGATTGTGACCAGATTTTGTTATGGTCTTATGGGGTTTAAGCAAACAATGAATAAAAGCAAAAGTGAATCCATATACCAGTGGGCGTCATGCGTGCAGATCCGCTAAATTCCAAGACAACTGGTTGGAGGGCGGCGGTAATTGAGCGAGAAGCGAAACGGAAATGAAGGAACTAAATGTTCCAAACCGAAATGATTTTGCTGGCTATTTTTAAAGCAATAAAAAATGCCACATAAACTAGGGATCTAACCGAACGGAATTTATCTCAGTGCAGTGTGATGCGAATGTCAAGGCAAATGTCTATTTCGAGGGGTCAAGTCGAGGGTTGCTATTCCACGCCCCAATGATTGCATTTATTTGCTGTGATTTACTCTTTATAGCCCCAAGCAGGGCAGAGGTCATCATTTATCTTTGCCCGATTTGATGAAGAACATTTACTTATGAGGCTGTTTGTTTGATTTCTCCCCATCCACTTTCAGGCCAAAGAAGCGAACATCAGCGAACCAGAAGTATTAGGAGGAAAGCAGAGGCCAAACCCGAAAACTCAAAGCACAAAACTGCAGGAACCAGCCACGGGCCCATGCAAATTCTAACGAAATCTTCCCGAACCCGAACTCTGCCGTTGGAGCTCTTGCTGTTGCTGGAGCTGGTGCTGGAAGATACAACATCCAGATAGATTACTTGCAGTGCACATTTCCGCACTTGGTGGGACGAGCTGTTTGTTTATTGCATTCATCGGGCAGATCCCCACGATGCCACACAGCCACTTACACGCCATAGATCTTTGAGGCAACGATCCTCAGAGAACCTGCCCCGCCGACCCGCGAAAATATTCTCCATCTGCAGCAATATTTGGAAAGCACCGCAGATTCAGCTGGTGGTGCAATCGCCAGATAAATTCTAATAAATAGCCAGACAACACAATACTTGGCATAAAAATAAATAAGAATCGAAGAACGCGGACGCGGAACACGGAACGAACAACGCTCCGTACGCATTGCAACACATTCGAATTTGGATTTCGATACAGTTGAGGTGTCGAGTGCATTGGCCAGAACCAAACGAGCCATAATCCCATCCCATCCCGCGGGTCCGGTGCGGTCCCAGATTCCCCGATTTTCGAGGCAACATAGACGTAGGTCGCGGCCAAAGTGTTCCAGGGCAGAGCAACCGGCAACGGGAACCGCGGCGAGGTGTACACCTTTGGCACCATGGAGGGCGGTTACGTCAACGAAGGTGAGTTGCAACTAGTCCAATCTCAAGTATGTGCCACGTGATACCCCGAAAGCCTTTTCTTTGATGCAATTTTGTAGCTTTAAGCCAACTGCAGTTTTTATTTGAATTTCGTGGCACATCATATGTATATGTATAGTTTGCTATATCAGCACCTTTTCTGTTATTAGTTTTTTGGCTTTCCCAATAGCAAAGTAATTTGTACTTCATCAGCCAATTATTCATAGACCAGGAATATTTACAAGTGAATACAGCCACTTGTAGTATTTCCCATAAACACAACAGTTTATTAATCCAATTTTCAGCTCTTAAAGTTTTGTAGTCTTTCGATAATTTGTTTAATTTCTTTAAATGAGAACTGGCACTTGTTTCACGAAAATTCTGACTTTTCATCTGGGTTAGAAAGTTATTTTAATTACTTAGAAAGTATTATTATTTCGTCAGCTAATTATTCACTTGGCGGATATATAGGATAGATGGACGATCTATAGAAAACTTACATCATTGGCACAATAAATAAGACTGTTTTCTCATTCATTTTGTGGCTTTTAAACGATCACCTACAATACCTAAAAATATTTCTCACACAATGCAGAATTCATTCAACAAAATACTGACATATGTTCGACCAAAATATTTGACTTTGAAATTCTATTTTTCGTACATATGTACACCTCATAGAGATCATTCACGGAAGGGGGAGGCGGGTCGGATGGAGATCTGCACAGTGACACAAAAATCTGCAATTTATTAGCAATGCAAATGCGAATTATTCAAATTCAAACAGACACTTCACTCACCATTAGTCAGCGCAATGAGGCAATGCATCTAGATAGCTGCTTGTATTTTTTGTATATTTTGGCAAACATTTTTGTTAATAGAAATAGACAATTACGTTACCTGACTGAGTCACGGCAAATCACTAACCCAAATTAAATCAATTTATTTTGAAATTTCGCCATCTCCCGTGCAGAGGATTCAGACGCCATAATGGGTGTGGAAAGTCCAGGTAAATTGAAACATCTTCGATTTAATTACATGATCCACCAACGTTCTCATAACCAACACTCAATTATAATCCGCGGGCTGCTAGTGGGCTTAGCAAAAGGGCCAACAACTTTGTGACGCCCAATTAAAGACCAAGAGATCTCAACAAGTATCTTGACAATCCGGTTTAACCCGCCCACAGAGGCGCAAGTGAATCCCCTTCCTTCGAGGCGGGCCCCAAATCGATGGAATCGGTCGCTGACATTGTATCTATGACGCCACAGCTAATGTCGCCTTCATAGTTGTTTCTGGTTCTATTTTTGTTTTGTTTTATTTACATAAGAGGATTAACGAATGTAAATCACAGCCCAAATTGGCCATGCCTCTCATAGCTGATTCTAGGTATAGGTCGGTATGCAAAAAGATCTCGGAAAGATCGCTGGAAACAAACCGTAAAGTAGTCAGTATGCTGACAACTGTGTTCCACAAAAGGCAAAACTGTCTGTCAGACTTGCCCATTGGGGATTTCAATTAATATTCATTTGGGAGAAGGCAAAAACTGTCATAAATTATCGGCTTGCAGTCGGACAGAGTTCCTTGAGCGGCGTCTTCAAGTGTGTGGCGTCAAAAATGCAATTCGGTCACGTCTTTCACGGGCATCTCAAAGTCGCTTCAGCGAAAAGCATCTTTTCTTTTCTTTTGGCAGCCCGATGATGTCATCTGATGCCCCAAGGATCAGTATAACTCGTTTTGCAGCCAAAAAAAAAAAACAATGAGATAATAAATTGGCAACCAGAGTCAAGATTTCGAATTTGATTCCTGGAATTCGGTGCGCCAGGCTAAACTGCTGTGGAGACCGATAGATCTTCTTGTTGCCCTGGCCTTGGCATCGTATGATGCGGTTTCGCTTTCTGATGCTTTATGAGCTCTTCCAGATTAGGAAGATCTTAACGTGATTCATGAGAATTTGGCATGGCAGTTAAAATTTATATTTGTTTAATCATCCAGTCTGATCGTAAAAACTACGCCATTAAATTCAAATTAAACTATTTTCATAAAAAAAGGAATTATCAAAAATAGATAATAACAGTATTTGTTTCGAAAATTAAACGGTCATGGTTCGTTCGGTTTTTCATTGACCTTGCAACCTACCGGGTGTTTAAAATTGTATAAACATAGGCCAGAATTGCTTGCAGACTTGCTAATGTTCTAATTACGAGACAATGTTTATTTTCAGTATTTTTTATATGAATCATCAAAAATAAAAACATACAGTTTTACATTGACCTTGCAACCTTGCGGGTGCTTTGAACTGTAAACTTTATGGAAACATGTGTAGGGCCATGTATCTTGTAGTATGTAAGCGCCAAGCTACAACTCATATGATGACGACAACCCCATGAATGAAAATCATGGGCCAAAATTAATGGGCAACAGTTGGCGGCAGTGTCTGCTACCGCCCTCACAAAGGGTTGTGAGTATCTTGCATCTATCTCGACAGCAAACATCTAATATTAAGTACGATGTAGGGTATCTGACAAAGCTACTCTACTTTTCATGTAGTCCCATTTGTTTGGACTTCAACTTGACCTCTGTCAGAGCTCTGGCAGACAGAATGTGTGGACAAGAACGGCAGTATTTACATATTGTGACTTGATAAGCTATCAAAATTTGCATAAACCTCGTGAAGAAGCCCAAATGAAGGCGTTAAGCCCAACACCTCTTGCTTATGACTGATATAAAAATGTATAAAGTGAGCTGAAACGAGTTTTAATTGCTGTCAGACGGCTTTGCCGTGGGATTAGATTTTCAAATCGTTTAAGTATCTCATTTGCTAAGGTGTTCAATTACACGACATGGAAAATGCATCTCAAGTTGCTCAATGCTCACGGTATTCAATGTCGGAATTCAAATCGAAATTCGATATATTACGAACGAGTGTCCAAGGGTTATTTGTACAATTTCCGAACATATGGGACAATATAAACAAATTGTTGATGCAACCTTTCCATCATTTATGTATATTTTTACCTACTGTCCGCATTTCCCTGAAATGTCAATATTCATTGCCGTCCAGAAATATTTTCCAATTCCATTTGTGGCCCAAGTTCAGGCAGCAATCACTGCAAAATGCACTATGAAAAATGCATAATCTATTAATAAATATTACTCTTTGATGATTAAAGATTTAGATTTTAGTATCTGCAATAATTTCTAAATATACTCTTTAAGTAGTAACCGTTCTATCGGGTGCATTAAGAAGAACACGTGATTTGCATTTAAATTGTTTTCGGCTCCGACTCTGCCCAACTGGCCACGAATTCTTTGCTTTGGCATGTTGCTGGCCGGCGTGTTTATTTGCATTGGCGTCTTGCCGTTTTGGCGCTGAACGATTACCGACTTGACCAGACAACAACAAAAAAACGACAATCATGGAAATAATGACGTCAGCTCGTGGCGCTCTTGGGCATACAATTGAAATCAATTTGCAGTAGCGCCAATTGCTGTTGACATATTTCATCTAAGGCGTTTTATTTCATTCTATATGAGCCTGATGTCCAATGAAAACGCTGTAATTGCACATACAGTATGTATGTATGTTTGGGGATATGCAAATTTTTTAGTCACGGCGAAGCTATGCGCATGCGCAGCCATGCTGGTCGAAAACAATCAAATTTTGAGCTGTATGTATAGTATCTTATCTTGTAGAGGAAGTGATTTATGTCAATGCTAGAGCTTTGTCGATTTTTAACCATCCATGGACGTGTTCTAAGAACAACCTTAGTCATTTTTTTGGCTTTATCTTGACTAAGACTAACCGCCTGTAAAATTTTTAGCATTTTCAGGCTCATTACTTCGCAGTTTTATCTGCAATAATAAAATTAAATAATTTATTTTAATGGCCGGTCACATTAAATGGGGCTAAGTGATTTTCGGTGTAGATTTCAGCTAGCACCACCAAGCCGGCATGCAAAGTCTGTGATGGGGTTTACCTTTTCATTTTCGACTTTTTACAAAATTAGCTAAAATTGCGGCCACAAAGAAACGGCCAGCACACAAAAGACCAGAGGCAGCTCGTGACTTAGCCACCGTCATTGTGGATTGCGGATTGGAAATGCATCAAAGTAAACGGCGTTGAAGGCGAAAGATGCTATCCGTCAGTTTGGCTCTACCGCCGCCAGCACGTATCTGAAGCGCATAGATCGCCTCCTAATGGTTAGATAAATTGTGGGGCCCCTGGCACCTGAGCTGCATAAGCCGAGGCTCTGGGACGCGGCGAACATTTGTCATAATGCGGAACAGATCCTTATCGGGCATTGTATGTCTGTTGGGTGGAGTTGACTGCCGATTTATGGGAAGTATCTCCATTGTGATCTCGACAGAGCTCGCCACCCACACATCTCATAATTGGATTACTCCAAATTCTCATAATTGGCACCCGTAGGCCAGCTCTAAATTGGCAAATAAGAATTAACGGAAATATAAAAAAGAAATACACGTCGCAATTAATCAATTTACATAATGGAATCGGACCTTGGGCTGTGGTGGCGTAGGCTGTTCCGAAGATTGGACACTGACAAGCCCTCAGGCCGGGCCCGTGGAGGGGGATTTTTTCTTGTTGAGGTGTTGCGGGCTTCATTAAACTGAAATTAGCTGCCTCTCGGTGGCAGCGAAAAAATGACAGCGATAAATCACACACGGTCCAATGCCACAATTGCTGCTCTTTCTGGTGGATCAAAAAGCCTGGATAAGCCCACACATCGCACACAAGTCCACCGAGATCTTAAGAACTCGTATTAGCCACTTACGAATCTTTTTCGTGGAAACTTGAGTCATATTAGCCGCGCATTTCCTTAGATCCTAATCTAATGTATGAGTTTTTGAGAAACTTTTAGCACATATTTCTGACAGGCAATTATAAATAAAATGTTTTTAAAAATACTTTCGCCGAGAAGGCGTGACAATGTCAGTGCCAGGCCAACGAAAACGAGAGCAGAATAATTTGGACCCCTGCCAAAAATGCTACCGATAAAATGGGCTTCATAAAAAAAGCAGATCTTGGAAAAAACAAAACACCACACGAGGGAAATCGGGCGCCAAGTTCACACTGTGATCTAATAATTTCAAATGCGAATATTTCCTGAACCAAAGTAAATATTAATTAATACATATATCGTAGATTTAGAGAGCAAATGATGGGTTAAATACGGCGACATCTTAATGCCTATCAAGGCCATGTGAGAAAAATAAAAGAATATTTAATTATACTAAAATATGGTTTATGGGCATTACACGAGTGCCGGGGCCCAGCATACGTGCCAATTTATTTAATGACGTGATACTGGGGCGTTAAAAGGGCGTGCCCCATCTTGATGGAAAGCGGGAGTGGTCAATCAGATATTTCACTTTCGATAAATGTGGCAAATTGAAGATGATTGTCGCATATTAAGTGGGCGAACTAAGTAATTTTTATTCTCCAGATACTTAGAAGAAGAACAATTGCCAATAAATATAGTACTGTCCAATAAGTTAAGTACTGAAGGCAACTTGGCCCACCCCTTTATTATTTCATTCATCGATTACAGTGTTTTCTTTTTGTATTTTTATGAATGAATGTTTTTCTGTCGATTGGACAAACTGCGACAAATTGTAAAGCGCTTAAACGATTTATTACAAAACTGCCAACCCAATTACTCTTCAAATCAGAAACTCATCAAGTTTGTGGCACGCCATATAACAATCAAAACGCAACGTTGTTTTTTTACATTTCTTTTAAAATTGTATGAAAATTGAGACATTTTTTACTATGTTGTACGATATCGTGTCGCTGATAATTAAAACACAGCAACGCTTGGGACTTTTGTAACAAGCCGTCGTTTTTTTTTAGAGCCACTCACTTCAATAAAAATTCAGACTCAGCTATAGCCGTACATATAGAAAAGTCTTCTTCTATTTCCTTTTGGAAGTTTTCTGAAGTTTATTCAACCAAAAGTATTCTGGCCAGAGCGTCTCAGGTAGAAACACATTCACCTGATTTTACGTGGCTTTCTGTATGGGTTTATATAGTCCAGTTTTTATGGGATTTCGTGAAGGTCTGTCCGACATGCAAAATGTTTTCCAGCTCCACCCACAAGCCGCTTTTGGCAAGATGCATGAGCGGCTTTTCGGGTTTTGTATCTTGTAGTTTGCCCAGCTAATTAAAATTGGGTTGTGTGAGGTTTATGACTGTCTGAAATACTGACGGCTGCTTTGTTGCCGGGTGGCGTCACTCGCCACTCGCGAATGGGAATGAGCGCTAATTTAATTTACAAATTAGCCGCACTCGAGTACTGCACGGCAAGTGTCGAATTTTGGTGTCGGTTGAGAGTGTTTTAATTTGTCATTTTTCAGCTACCGATAGTTGTGTCTGGCATAATGTAAGAGGTACACAATATGTGATAGGAATTTAGATCAGTAAAGTTAGGAGGGTCTTTAAGAGATAACATCTATTCCTAACAAAAATTCCCAAAACTATTTTGGCATTCATGAACACCTTTTCATGTTCAGAGAATTGTGAATATCAATTTGCGACCAAGACGCACTTTTTCAGACTACGTCATTAATGAAGAATGAAATATAGTTTTTAAGATTTAATCTCTGATATTTTTCCACCGCCCAACAGCCACTTGATCTGGGCATGCCAAATTGTTCGTTTTGCTTCGCATAATGGTTATCTTATGGTAATTGGTGGACTGAAACGAATTGCATTTGGAGTTGCACGACTCGTGGGCCATGAAAGGGGCATGGCCAATGTGCGCCGCCACGCCTACTTTGCTAACAAAAAGTGAGACAAGAGGAAAGAAGTCCGGGTGTCAACGGCAGTTAATGATAAATCACAACATCCAGCAGTCTGGCTGTGAGCCGAAAAAACATTTAAATCTCAAGGCTTGTTTGTCGCAGTCGAGATATGTGGATTCCAAAAGCTCCCTCCTCCAAAATCTCAGTTTCTTATGCTGTCATCAGCATCTGTATCTCAAAGGTGGAGAGGTGGCAAGTTCTGTCGGATGTCTGAGTGTTTTGTCCGCTCTCATGCTGACACAATGTGCTGCTGTTTGCATCCAGGGGGATACCTCAAGTGTAAACACGACCCCTTTGAGGCTCCACCCGTGACGAAGATACACAATTATAATTATGACCCCCTCCACTCTGGCTACCGTTGGGTAACTGCAAATAGTGGACTGGTTTTTCATTTCGGTTTCTTTATTTCTTTCTGCTCGGCTATGCACCGGAAACGCGACCCAAGGGATCCAACTCCACCAGCCACACATCTGGAACTTGACATCCAGTCGGCGCATAATTAACTGCATTGTCTGAGCAACTTCATTAGCAGTTTGCCTCTTGTTTTTACCAGATTGCAACTGGAAAATATTGAATATTAATACGGGAGATCGGCTTTCACGCGGGCTATGCTAATACGCTGGATGAAAGCCCAACCATATGGATTGATTAGCTATATTTAAGCTTCAGTGTTCCCGAAAACCATCTCCAATTCGGTGGAATGATTCCGGGGCGGTTCATATCAAAGAAAACGCACTGGGTCAAGCTCGGTCAGAAGTAAACAATTTTATCGAGGCGTCAAAGCTAATGCCCACAAAGACAGACGTCAAATAAACATTGTGGATGCGAGATTTCGTGGCATTTCCAATTATACTGGAGGAGAGTTTTCTTTTTTGATGCGACAACAAATGAATTGTTTATTACCTCGGCACATGCAACATTAGCAATTGGAGTTTTCCAGAGTTATGTATGGACGGGCTGACGTTTCCGCAGAATTTTCCCGGCTGCCCGGCAAGCCCTTTAATCAGTGCCCCCCGCCCCACTCAAAAATGCTGAACGGTTCATTAGAGGCATGCAAAATGGAAATGGAAAATGGAAAAAAAATAAAAGCAGAAGCGTCCAGCTCCATTGAAGTTCCTCGACACGTTCTGGCCCGAGTTCACTAAACCCTGGCCATTCGATTGGCTTTCTCCCTCCCGCCTCAGTAAACATTCAGCAGCAATTGACAATGCCGGCCTGGCCGGGTTGAACATTTGTTATTGTTAAAGCCAGACATTTTGGCTGCCTTCGCAAAACACAAGTACCCACAAAATTAAAGAGTGGGGAGCATAAAAAAGAGCAAAAACCGACATAAACACTTAAGTGGGAGCCAATTAAAAGTCTAACACGATAAAAAGAGGCCCCCAGGCCTCTATGTGACATCACTTTGGGAGTCTTGTAAAAATTGTCTCTTTGATTTTACACATGTTGCGTTGACCTAAAAACCAAAAACTCCTGATGCCAACCATGTGTTTTGACTTACCCGACAACTCCTTGGATCATTAATGCAAAAGCTGTCCGGGAACTTCCTTGAAGGGGAGCCCATCCAATTGGGTCAGTGAGGAATTAAGCTGCAAGCCGGTAGAGGGAAATGCAAAAAAGCTGCAGACAGATCCCTGACACATGGCGGTTATTAATGAATGACTCGGCACAGTTTCGCTCTGGACCCTCATGGAAGAGCGTGAAAAGGAACTCGACCCCGGCTATCGCGGTTTGGGCATCTTTGTCTGGGGCCACTGAAAGAAATTCACTTGTAAGCATGACCAGAAGTTGTTTACATAACCCACATACCTAGTACCCCCTTTTCGATTCACTGGCAGAGGGGCGGCCGAAATGGGTTATCATTAAATATGACACACTCACCAATTGAATGGCGGTTCCTGAAGGTGTGAAGAGCGAAGAAATGGGCCAGCCAGGGGGCATTGGGAGCCGGAGAACTAGAGAAAGGGAGATAAAGGGCCCCAACATGCACAATTAAGAGCCCAGTGAAGGGAAACGCCTGTGTTTGACTGTCTGTGATTTCGATGGATCCGATAAGAAAGTACCAGTTCCGAACATTATGCCCCAGAAGAAAGCAGTCGTGACGTAAAGCGACAATTTTATTCCAATTAAATGTCAGCCAAGTGTACATATGCTATTTGATAAGAACATTCGTATCGTTTCTGGTCTGTCGCAACAAGACATTTGTTATACCAGTTGCCTTACCTCTTGGGAAATTAATTTGTTTTCCACATTAGATTGTAATTTTTGGGGAAATATTTAATTGTACTTTTGGGGCAAATTGTTAAATTTATAAAAATAATTTATAATACTTCCATTTAATTGCTTAAAGATTTCAATGCCTTTGAGGTATTCTCCAAAATCAAAACAGAAAAAAACTAAACACTTCCTCAAGTTCAAAGTCGAGTAATCAAATTTTATGTTACTGCTGCTATTGAACTCTTGTTAACAAATACATATGTATAGTTTGTGCTTTGGCATTTAACGCATGATTGACTTGTTAAGATATGGAGTACCGCGATCCAACCCTCTGCTGGGTAATGCGATTCCACAAGCCTCAAAGTAATTTCGAGTAAGACGATCTCGCGTTTGTGTGCGAAATGCAAACAGTTGCCACATTCGGGTTTTATGAGTTTTTCGATTTTGTTTAACAACGCGGCAAAATCGACCGATTCCAAACCAGAACCAGTATAATAAAATAGTGCTTGAAGTGCGAGGGGTTATAGTGTCGGGGGCCAACGGGGCGGATGAAATTCATCGAAAGTGTTGACTGGGCATTCGGTTTCGTTTGACTGATCAACTGATTCGATGATTCACGTGTGTGGTTTTTGGCCGAAAAATGATTGCTTTTTTTAATATCCAAGACCACAAAGTGTTTAACGATTTTATAAATGAGATCTAAGGGCGAGAACTCAACTAGCCAGACGCTTTCAAAAGCTATTTCATTCTTCATTTGGAGGGTATCCAACCGTAGAGTATTGGAAAATATGCTCAGCGTCTGGCATTGTTCTTCTTGTTATTCTATAAATGTACAATATCATTTGAGAATTAAGATTTCCTTATGGCTAATTATAGAAGCTGCCGATCTGCCAAAGTTGAATAACACCCAGGCGCTGACACACACTCCTTCGAATTGCATGTGTTTTATAGCCATTGCACGAATGTGCGAATGTTTGAGTGGGTATTTTTAGCGATATTTCAAACATTTGGCGCCAGCAATCGGCAATCGGGTAACGACTCTTTGTAATTTACACTCACGCATCGCTGGCAAATAACAAAAACAGCATAGGGATAGTTTATATTGGACGCGCCCCCTGCAGCGACACGTGCCACTGAACGCATTTTTATTTTCATTCCCACAGCCCCCCTAGCCGGCCGATCGGCGTCAATTTGATTAAATGCCTTTCAATTAAATTGCGGCCAAATAGTGCCAAAGAATCGACTTCACCCGCACATATGTACGATACATGGTTTTACTTTTGCTTTTCATTTAATTTTCCTCCCCATACATTATTTCATGCTCTGTTCCCATTCGGCTTACATTCGACACGCTCATCACATGCTAATAATAATACTGTAATGATTAATGAAAACACTCCAACCATTTCACCTAGCTTTCAAATTCATTTGGCTTAAATTCAGCTTGCTCTCTGTTTTTTCTTCTACTCCCTCTTGTCTTAAACAGCCATCATATCCTATTCCAATCCCAAACTGCAAATCCCCCTAACGGCCTCTGCAATTTACGCGCCCACCACAACATCAGCAGCCACTCCGCCATCAGCCTGTGCAGCCTCATCCAAAACCGCATCCGCATCTGCATCCGCTTCATTATCATCACCACCAGGTTCATCCACAGCAGCGGCAGAAACATCAGGAAGACCTCCAAGGGGAGGTCCTTTCCAAGGATTTGTTGCCAAGTTGCGTAGTTTTAAACTAGACGACACGAAAAATATAAGAAAACGTTTCCATTTCGATTATATATCAAAGGATAGATTTTTGGGTATGTTTCAAAATTGAAAATTTAATTATATTTGAAATTAAATATAAGGTTTTATATGTTTTCCATATTTAATGTTACTAGAATTTAAAGCGTAGGCTATATCTATTTCATCTTAAGAACCTTCTACGAAGGTTATCCTCACTATCCCCATTTAGAGCTTCGAAAAACCATCTAAACTTTAGATTCTAAAGGGTTCTTAAAATTTCTCAATTTAAGGCTTTTGTCGGCTCTAGGTTTTTATTATGATGTTTTTGGTGTTATGTTATTTCTATTTATCTAAAAGGTCATTTTGTATGCATATTGTATTTCGATCGCTCCAGATGATCCCAACTTTTAATCAAACTAAATTAGCATTTTCATTAACCATTTTTGTTAACATTTATGGGTTCGTTATTCCCACATTAATGAAAAAACAGCCCAAACGCGTCGTGGGCGTTTAAATTTGTGATGGCGCCTCACGCTTTCCGCCCACACAGGTTCACTCCAACACTCATCCCAAAAACTATTGGGGAAACATTGTAAATTTCACTCTATTCCAAAAAAAAAAAGGAAAAAGCGGCGACCAACTTAATTTGAATGTTTTATTGGCGATTGGAGCTACTTAAACTTCGACTTATGAATATTAAAGCGGCCCGCCTTAAAGGGAATCAGTTGGTGGCCCGAGATTAAGGGGGATAGAGTTGTGGCCCCTACCCTCACACAGACCTGTACAGGTGGGACATTACACTCTCTATTAAGCGGAAACTGAGGTTCGTCATGTGTTCGTCAAAATTAGATTTTTTTAACCTCCCACTACATGGACTACATGGACCAGAGCCAAACAAACAATAAATAAAGGGGAACATCTAAAAAGCTTTCAGCGCATAGGGCAGCACTATCGGGCGCAGCTATCTCTGAATTATAGGTCTTGACAACTGATTTATCAGAACACGAGATCCGTGCGGCTCTAATCAGCTCACAGCTGCAGGTGGTGCAGTTGGCTTTTTATTTTTGGGTGCACCACATAAATTCCATCAGCTTGTGGTCGAAGATCAAAGCGTGTGGCTGCAGGAGCATCTGTTGGTTGGCCTGGACCGGGCTGGCCCCTGAGATGAACTGCAGATACATTGCAACAGGTGGATAGAAGGCAGGCTGCATTTCTTAGAAAGTTTCGAGAAACAAGGTTAGATTGTTAGTGAAATTTAATTAAAACACGATATCGAGTGATGGTGTCACTGACATTGGGTATGCCTTTCCCATAAAAGTACCATGCGCACACATCATAAAAAGTTTTGAGGCCTCCTTCTGTGAAGGCCAGCGAGAAAATGGTAATCGGGTAATTGAAAATTCCCGGCACGTGCTTTAATTTCTGCTCCCGTTCGTTGACAGCGGCATAGTAGTCGTCGAAAGTTTCTTACCACAGCCTTATTTCATCATCCGATAAGGTTCTACTAGAGAGCTCCATTTATCTACTTCCGCATTGCTTGGCTGCGAATTTCTGCTTATCATGGCAGTTTTTCTTTTCTTATCTGATGATCAAGCAACTGATATTTTTAACCACTACTGAGTATTCCATCGTTTTTTGATTGCAATTCCAGGAAAATTGAATGGCTTAACTTTCAGATTTGACTTCAAAAAATATGGCATTCCATTGTTTGCTATCTTTTGTGCATCACTGTGAATGTGCATTTTGGCCCAGACCCAACTACCGCTTTGGTTCTCCTTGGCTTGTTCAACAAACTGTTTTGCCCTTTAAAACGATCCACCCATTAATATTCACTCAACTCGAGTTTTCGCCATAAAGAGCCATTTTAACGATCGGCAACTGCTGCCACAGATTAAAGCAAAAACGCAGCGGGATGGGATTATGTGGCAGTTGCAACTCCGAGGCTCGGCTGCCCACATTTTTGTTGTCGACACCCCGCTAAATGGCTCGCCAACATTTTGAATTTCCAAGCACTCGACTCTTGGCTAAATTATGCTATAAATCAGTTTGATGTTCCCATCCATTGTTTACATGGCAAGCATCTATTCAAATATACATAATGCATTGGCATCCAAGGAATTTGAAAGAATTATATGAAATAAAGATCTATAAACAATTTCTGAATGCACTGAAAACAATCAAATAATTGGACAAAGCATAAACTTTACGAGCGAGCAGTAAAATTTAAGATGCAAACATGTAAATATGTGCGTGGGTGCGATACTTTCTGACAGCTAATAAATTTGATGGTGTCTCAATTTTTATGAGAAATAAAGGGAATTTGAAGGAAGAACTACTATTTCTAAAAAGTTATTTAATGGAATCTTTTTATTTATTTTTCAGGTGGTCAGCTGAAGACCAAAAATGGCCAGAAATATGTTTTCAATGGACCTCCATCGGGGGTCTATGTTTCCAAGGCATGCCTGGTGATCGCCGCCTTCATCATGGTGGTGGCCCTGCTCTTCTCCATTGCAGTCACCTATTTTGTGACCAGGCAGGGATTGAACTCCAAGGAAATCAGTGCCGCCGGGTAAGTAAGGGTAAGGGTGTAGAACCAACCCTAATCAAGCCAGGGTGTGGTTTGATTATTAAGTTAGTCGGGTATTTGTTTAGTTTCATGGTTTCGTTTTGCATTTTGCTAAACGTTTTGGCAAGCGTGCTAATTGGCAGTCGAACCCAGGCGACATGACCTCATTCAGAAAGTGAAAGCAATTTATGCGTTTCCTTTGGCGCTCGACTGCTTTCGAGGCGTGGAAGGGTCAGAAAGAACCAAAAAATGGGTGCGTCTCTGACACTTTGCATAAGCCAAACCCGAACTGATTCGCTCCTTAATAACGTGCCTCCTTCAATATTATTCCAGTTGCATCACTGCCGATCGCAAAGATGTTAATGCGACACAGATTCAAACTGCCGGCTGGATAAGTGCGAGCTCTCCTCCACCGCCAACATTGACGCCCACACCCACTCCGTCAGCCACGCCCACTACCAGTGGCCCGCCCATTCCGCCAATTGTGGTGCCCGAAGAGAAGAAGATAGCACCTCCTCCAGTGGGCGACATACTGGAGGTTAAGCCTGTCCCGGAAGTCGAGGACACCACCCCGAAGCCCGTGGATCGGTTACTCAAGCTCTACGAGGGATGGCGTCCAGTCCACTACCAGTAAGTAGAAAAGCGACAGGTGAAACAGTAGGGTGGGTCAAGCAATTTAGTACTTAAACCGCAATTGCTCTTAATGAAAAGCGCCACCAGCCAAACACGCGCTGGTTTCCCATCTTCTGTTCAAATTGCTTTGCATGTCGGCACTTCAATTCCAGAAAGAAGCGGCCGACACTTAAATTGTTAACTCAGATTTCCCGACATTTCCTGCTCTCATTGCTGTCACAATAATGCCGGAATATATCTAGATTTCACATCAAAGTCTAATGGTTTAACATGTTTTGATAACTATTTAAAGGTATATTTTCTTACGCTGTCAGGAGAAAATAGAAAAATCTCATTATCAAGTCAGTTCAAGTGAAAAGCTGTTTTGAATCCATTGAATTGCTAATTAGCTCTTTGGGCTAAAATATATTCAAAGCTCTCCTCCTTTTTATACAATTCGGTAGCCTTACAAGGATTATCCTTGGCAGGAACTCCTCCACTAGCATCCGCCCTAAGCCAACCCCATTGACGTCAGAATTCTGGGGTCGCATGTACACGTTTATTTTTCTATTTCTATGAAACAAACTGGGTCAAGGATTGAGCCGTTGCAGTTCAGTAGCCCGATGTAGTAGCCGTTTACTCAAAGTGGACACCGGGGCACTTTGGGCAACAGCTTGTAACGGCCAGCAGAGAGCCCCAAAAGCAGACATGGCAGGGAGCATCTTGTGTTGTCAGTCGAACGGAAATCGGTTAGGCCTACCATCAGTCACACTTCGGAAAAGATGCGGCATAGATCTGAGGGAACAATAAGCGCACGCCGACTGTCGGCATGACATAATGCGCCAGATACTTGCGCCGGATAGATGGTCAGATAGAAAGATGCTTTGCGCTGCTCACTGGTCTCAGCTCCTCGGTAGCCGCATGCATTAATATAATTGACACAGAAAGCCCAAGCTGGGCAATAATTTGAGCACCGCACGCAGCCGCCAACTCCCCGATGGAGGGAAAATTAAAAGGAGGTGGAGACTCAGATACGGATCGACTCGAAGGTTGATAGATGGGGCCTGTGCGGCAAAGTTCTGGAGCTTCTATCGGGTGAATCGATGCCAACTGATTTTGCAGCTGTTGGCTGCCAGTGCCAGTGGTATCTCTCAGATACGCGATCCGGTCCCCTCAGAATATCTTCATGGCAAATTGCTGCGAGATCGAAGTTGCAAGCTTCCTGGTTGCCCCGGCGCACGCATTGTAAGCCAATCGCCTCAATTAAATGCAACTAGGCGCAAAGCCCGCACCCAGGGGATTCCAGATTGGCGAAAGGCGGAACGCGCCAGAAGAAGACTCCAACTGGCTGCATCTGTGGCATTCTTGGCAAGCGGTTGCAAGAGGAGGGGACCCTAGTGAAATCAATATTCAATCAGTATCTATTACTTTATTAGTTCTGGGTATGACTTGATTTCAAAGAAAGTAATAAAATATTTAAACTACTTTCATGTTTCTCTGATAGACATTAGTCTCTGGTAGTAATCGTATCATAATGAGACCAAAATTATAGAGCATTTAAGTTGTGTCATAGTCCCCCCAGCAATTATCGCGCTGCTTGTTAGCTTCGATTTCTGATGCGGCTCAAGAGATGGCATGCATTTCATTTGCCGCCATCCCAGTCTAATGGTGGCACCCGAAGCCCCGGACAGATAGCTGTGTGAATTTCATTCATTGGCCCCGGAATGGGTGCCAAACATATGTGCAGGCTGCCCTGCAGCGAGTGATTGATTGATTGGCACTTTTGATGGGGCCGACTTGACATTTTTGGCAGTCATTTTCATTTCACCTGCAACGGATGTTTTCTCTTGCACTTCCCATGGCTATTTTTGTAATACCTTTCCCTCTTTTTCAGTCTTTTGATTGAGCCCAGCGTGGAGGCGTCGATCAGCAACGGCAGCCTCACCATTGAGATCGAGCGGGATGTGTCCAAGGTGACCAGCTGGGAGCCCATTGTGCTCGATGTTCACAATGTCAGCATCTCGAATGTGCGAGTGATCCGTGCCTCCCCCAACGGAAAGGCGAGAAATGGATCAGATGAACAGGAACTGGACTTTGACAGCGACTATGGCGATGAAAATGCCACCTTTGTGGTCAGTTTGGACAAGGCCTTATCCGAGGAGCCTGGGCTCAAGTTGCTCTTGAGTCTGGATTTTGTCAGCCAGGTGACGGATACCCTGCAGGGCGTCTATAAAACCAGTTACCCCAACCCGAAGAGTAAACAAGTGGAGTAAGTGTTAAGAGATATTACCAAAAAGGATCATTTTAATTGAAATCCCATTTCAGATGGATGATAAGTACGCAGTTCTCACCCATCGATGCCCGGCGGGCCTTTCCCTGCTTCGATCGCCCGGACATGAAGGCCAACTTCACGATCAGCATTATCCGAAGCACCAAGTACAAGATGGCCCTGTCCAACATGCCCAGAGCGCACAGCAGCCAATACCGCGTGGGTTACGTTCGGGACGACTTCATGACCACCCCCAAGATGCCGACCTACCTGGTGGCTTTCATTGTGTCGAACATGGTTGATTCAGGATATGCTATTCTCGACAGCACCATGCAACCGCAAGTAGATATTTGGACCCGACCCAACTTCGTGGACATGACCCACTACGCCTACAACATGGTGAGAAAGTTCCTGCCCTATTATGAGCAGTACTTTGCCGTCAAGAACAAGATGCCCAAAATTGATCTCGTCTCGGTGCCGGACTTTGGATTCGGGGCGATGGAGAACTGGGGTTTGATCACGTTCCGGGACTCGGCGCTCCTGGTGCCGGAGGATCTGGAGCTGGCCTCCTCCTCGGAGCACATGCAGTACGTCGCCCAGATTGTGGCTCACGAGCTGGCCCACCATTGGTTTGGCAATCTGGTGACCCCCAAGTGGTGGGACGACCTTTGGCTTAAGGAAGGCTTCGCCTGCTACATGAGCTACAAGGCGCTCGAGTACTCTCACCCAGAGTTCCAAATCATGGACACTCTCACCATGCTGGAATTCAAGGAGTCGATGCAACACGACGCGGACAACACTTCCCACGCCATTTCCTTCGACGTTCACACCACCAACGATGTTCGCCGCATCTTCGATCCTATTAGCTACTCCAAGGGAACGATTCTGCTGCGCATGCTGAACTCAATCGTGGGCGAGGAAGCCTTCCGATCTGCTACCCGGGATCTTCTGCGACAATTCGCTTACGGGAACATGGAAAGAGACGATCTGTGGAACATCCTCACTCTGCACGGCCATCAACAGGGCACTTTGCCGAAGGATCTCACTGTGAAGCAGATAATGGACTCGTGGATCACCCAGCCCGGCTATCCGGTAGTGAATGTGGAGCGCCGTGGTACTGATTTAGTCCTGCGCCAAGATCGGTACTTGCTGCCGACCAGAAACCCCTCGGATCAGAGCCGCTGGTTCATTCCCATTACGTTTGAGACCGATGAGATGCACAAGGGTGATGACATTCCCACCCACTGGATGCGAAGCCAGGACGAAGAGGAGCTAGTTATTAACAATGTCTTTACCAAGACTGAGAACAAAGGCAATGTGCTGTACTTGAACTTGAACCGCAAAGGCTACTATCGGGTCAACTATGACATGACATCCTGGCTGGCCCTCAAGAAGAACTTTTCCATTCTACCCAGGATAACGAGGGCTCAGATCTTGGACGATGCTTTGCACTTGTCACAGGCGGAGTATCTGACCTACGACATACCGTGAGTTTCATTAAGTTGGTGATTTGAAAAATATATAAAATCTTTCGTAATTGCAGTTTAACCTTCCTGATGGAGCTCTTTACTTCGGTGGACGACGAGTTGCTCTGGAGTGCTGCCAAACCTGGTCTCAACTATCTCATTTACAACCTCAAAAGGGAGCCTGCCTACGAGACTTTCAGGGTATGAAGATAATTGGACTTAAGCCTTTCTAGATTACTTAGTATTTTTAAACTTATTTCACCCAACTAGGCCTTCATGAAGTTCATTGTACGACCTGCCTTCGATAGGTATGGCCTGAATGAGCCGGACAATGAGTCTCATTTGCAGCTTAAGCACCGAGCTCTGGTTGCAAACTTTGCCTGCAAATTCAACTACGATCGATGCACCCAAGTGGCCCAAATGAAGTTCCGGGAATGGATGCGGGATGAAAGCAAGAATCCGTGAGTTTTCACAGCCTCGCAAAGAATTTGAATTATTTATAAATCCATTCTTTTAAAATACAGCATTAAGCCCAATCTCAAGTCTGTGATTTACTGCACAGCTCTGGCGGAAGGCACTCATCAGGAGTGGTACTTTGCCCACCAGCAGTACAAGAAAACCACAAGTGCTTCCGAGAAGGAGGAGATACTCAGCTCCCTGGGATGCACTACCAAACCTTGGTTGCTGTCCAAGTAAGAAGATAAAGATCACTATTTTTTATCGGGTAATAACTATTTTGTCTTAGGTACCTTAACATGACTATTGATCCCCACTCGGGCATTCTCAAGCAAGATGGAGCCCTGGCCTTCCGTTCAGTGGCCACCAATGCCATCGGCCATGAAATAGCCTTTGATTTTCTCCAGAGCAACATCAAGGAGATTGCAGAATAGTAATTATTATTTTTATAAAATTTCTTAAAAATCTATTTATATTAATTATCCACTTAATAGCTATGGGGATGGCTTTTCCACTCTGTCCGAGATGATCAAGTCGCTGACCATCTACATGAATAAGGAGTTCCACAAGAACCAGCTTCTTGAGCTGGCCGCCAATTGCCGGAAGTTGGGACTGCCTGCCGTGGCATCGGCCATCGACTTGGCCCTGGAACAGGTCAATAACAACATATACTGGCGCAGCCACTCCTACCACAGCCTCAAGGACTTCCTTGAGGGCATCGTCAGGGAGTTCCAGATCAACATATTGTAGGGAGTGAAAATTCAAAATGATTTCAACCAAAAACACGATTAGCTACTGTAGCGATTGTTATTATTTGTATTCATTCAAAGGCCTCAAATTAATTTAATGAAACGAATAATTTGCGAAAAGTGATATAAACGTAAGTTAGCGAGCATAATTTAGGTATCCGATATACTTTTTGCAATTGTATATTTATTTATTTGTAAGTCGTGCTTTTTCTGCTTCTTGGCATTGCTCTGCAACGTTCCTACTAAAAATAGAACAACTTTAACTGAAAATTAAAAATACATAGTTCGAATAACTTAAATCATCGTCAGTTTTTGTGCCCCATATATGTATATCAAGAAATATCTAATGCTGCTTGTGTAAAATCTGTATTACCTAAACTAATGTATGATTGTGTCAAGTACTTTACTTTCGTACACCTCTAGATCCTAAGCGTATAAATCTAGCACTAAGTGAACCAAAAATCTATTTTTTAGTCGTCAGTCCAGAATCAACTATGGGAGTGGAAGGGACAAGAGCACGCTTCGAGTTTTTAAAATGATATTGAGGGGAGCCATTGTGGCGGTAACTGAGTGTCCTTAAAGCATGGTTTAAATTGTTGTTAAAGGAGAATACACCACATGCACACAAATATATATTTATTATTGTACGATTACCTATTGTGTATTTTGTAAAGCCAACACCGAAATACTTTTATCGCTGCTGCACAACCATGTAAATAAGTTTTAAAGCTTAAACTTAACGTTTAAATAAACTACTATGTATTTACGTAATTTTATTTAAAAACCTGTTTTTATATTCCGGGGGGAATGAAATGAATTGACTTTGAACTTGATTCAACTTTAAATACATTTTTCAAATATCAATTTTGAAAAACTGTTTTTTTAAATACTTTATGTTTTTAAAAGTGCGACTACTCTGAATTTGGATTTTTTGTGGGACTTGGCTTGTTTTCAAATACGGTCTGACTTTTACCTCAGTGTTCTACATTGTGAAATATCTACTGCTTTACATGTTTAGAACGTTAACGTTTCCACATATGGCTCTGAAATAACAAAATATATGAATATTTTCGTTTTTATTTGCCAAATTATATTATTTTGTTATAAATTTATGATACTTTTGATACAGAAACACGACCGAGTATCTATTGGCCATAGTATCTACATGTATAATGTCAAAATTGAGATTTTTAATGCACTGCTTGTCTACAAAGCCAAAAACTGCTTTTTAAATCACTAAATATTATTTAGTTAATATTTGTTTCGATAAGTTATATTTTTATAATACAAATTTTACTGTATCAGCAACAATAATTAATAGCAAAAAAAAATTTAAATAAATAGAAAAAAAAATCAATAATAAAAAAAGTTGTATTTCAGGTTCTACCGAGATTTGAACTCGGATCGCTGGATTCAAAGTCCAGAGTGCTAACCATTACACCATAGAACCGTGTTGTCTGGGAGGCACAAATCCAAAGATATTTTACCGGCAGTGAAACCAGGACAAATTTTATAAATAATTTTAAATAAAGCTATAAATATTTAAGATTATATTTTTCAATGTTTCTTATAAAAACATGGACAAAGGTCTAGCAATTCTATTTGCAACGCAAAAATTAGAAGCACACGTAGATGATGTGAAAACATACGTTTAATTTAAAATTAAATTGTGGTTATAAAATTTGTTTTATTTTTTGATTAAAAAAATAAATAAAATAAAAAAAAAATGAAATGATTTTAAAAAATATAATATTTTCAGAAGGTTCTACCGAGATTTGAACTCGGATCGCTGGATTCAAAGTCCAGAGTGCTAACCATTACACCATAGAACCTTGGTGTCGGTGAGCTGCCAAAATACAATTTTGTGCCACCGCCGCTAAATTCTGTGTTGGCCGGTTTGTGGTGGTTTGAAAAAAATATATTGCCTGCTGAAAAACAAGATTGTGGTGCTTTTGGGTAAATTACGAAAATAATAAGGGAGTGAGAAGGCCACATGAGGCTACCATTTCGACCTGTGACCTGTGTGAGTGACCCGAACTTAGTAGCCTGGTGATTGCTAGGCAAATTTTGTTTAATCAATAAAGTGTAAAAGGAATACAAAACCATAACAAGCAGGAATCTATTTTTCTACGTTTAAAATAGTATTGAAACAATATGGAAAAGGAGAAAAAGAAGTCTCTCTTGGAGAGATATGAGATACCAATAAATCATCTGGATTTCGGGTATGTTGAAAAATGCACAAATGCCCGGGAAATGGAAAAAATTGTGCATATCCTGCGTTCCGGCGAAGAAGGCTACTTCCCGGACTTATTGCGCGTTTCGGAGGAGAAGCTCAAGGAGCTCAAGCCAGACAGCCGACTATTTCGCTACGAGGAACCCATAAAACAGAGCGACGTTCTGGACAAGAAGGAACTAAAGCCTATTATGGTAAGTACTTTGATCCGAAATGCTTCACTTTTTCTATGTACTTATTAATTCCAGGATTGGACCAACGATATAAAATCGAAAGACCAAGCTTTAAACGAATTAAAAAAAGATAAACTTGTCTTGGATTTGCCGTCCATTCGGAAATTGGCCAAAATAGATCTGGAAAAACCAAGTACTGACTCTTCCAAACCTACAAAACAGAAACCAGAGCCAGCAGCTCAACCTTCCAAGCCCAAGGAAGATAGGATCCGATCGACTGATTACAGAAAATGGGATAAATATGATCCCGACGAGGAGCTATTACGTATGGATCTCAGCGAGGAGCGCACCAAGGAGGAAGCGGAGACAAAGATGGCTTGTCTCCAGAAGCCCATTTCCGACGACGCACTTCTGGACGAAAGAAAATCAATGTACGAGCGATTGCAGATGCATTTAAAAAAACTAAGCCCTCTGGAACGAGAGCAATTTTCTGAAAAGTAAGTGTTCCAAAAATTCTAATATTTTTGATAACTTTTATGTATTTTAAAACTCTATTAAAAGACACCGCCTTCGAGGAAATGAGTTCTTTAAAGCCAAAGAATATGAAAATGCCATTGAGGAGTACAACTGCGCCATTCTCTACGATCCTGATAATGCGGCACGATCTTACAATAATCGTGCCGTGTCTCGTAAGTTTTCACTAAAAAAGTGTTTTATTTTTAGGAATATATATATTTTTTTTAAAGATATGAAACTAAATCATTATGTGGCTGCCATTGCGGACTGCGAAGCTTGCCTCCAGTTAGAGCCGGAGAACGTCAAGGCTTGCCTCCGTCTGGCTGATGCTAACTATGCCCAAGGAAGACGTCGCGAAGTGAGTCTGAAATCCAATTTGCCCTTTAAAAGTGTAATAAAATATGTTTGTTTTAGTCCTATCACATGTACCAAAGAGTTCTTCAGTTGGATCCCGAAAATAGTAGTGCCAAAAAGTCGCTGGAGAAGCTCAACTCGCAGGTTGGAGAACTGGCGCCCACAAATGCCACACGCTTGATGATCGAAGAGATGAAGCCAGAGGCAGATGAAAAGAAGTCCAATAACACCTCCAAAGAAAAAGCCAAAGAAGTCTCGAAGGAAAAGCCGCCTGTGGATAAACCTAAACCTCCTCCTGTCAAGATATCTCCCGCCAGCAAGTCCCCAGAACCAAAGGAGTACGATCTTGCTGAGTTGGTTAAGCCAAACCGTGTCGTTAAAAGCAAATTGGTTACTGCTGCCGAGGCTCTTGGCAACAAGATGCATTCACCAAAAACCGGTTTACCTAAGCCACCCAACGTTCCGAACATTCAATCCAAACCGATAAAGGATCCATCTCCAGCGATGTTGCGTCTACCCCAGGACAATGTCAACAACAGCAACAAACTCCTTATCCAAGAAATTTAAACGCCATCTTTATTGGAGTGGAAATAAAATGTAGAATTATCTAGCACTTCTGCAAGAGTTTCTTGATGTATCGGCCCACGACTAGGAAGGGGCGCTGCTCATATTCGTGCTTCTGCTCCATGGTTATTTCCACCTAGGTATTTTCAGTTTATATGGCGATATCTCCAGAATTTATGTATGGCTCTTACCTGATCCCCGTTCAGTCGATTTACTATGGTCACACACACATCACCAGCCTTAACTCCTAACTTCTGGGTAACCGAAGCAAACATGCTGGCCTCCATCTCAATGTTCACGATTCCTAGGTCGAAGCACTTCTTCAGGAACTCCATTTTGTCGGCTTCCGTGTATTCGCATATAGCTCCATCCAGTCGGCCCTGACCTGTGTCCATACGAACCATGTTGAACCCATGAGGCCTTCCTGGTAATCGGGGCACTTACCCTCATAGAAACAGTCCGTTCCCATTGTGTTGCCACTTATGGTTTGAAAACCATCGTCCGCACTGCTACCATATGCTAAAACATCCTTGATCACACTCTCGGGAAACTGGGCAGGTCGCACAACACGCTTACCGAGTATAGCCTGAAGAATGAATACCACTTAAACTATTTTTCTTCGAAGCTGTCCAATCCACTTACGATCTCGTGCTCGTTGCGGAGATAGCCGTTGAAGGCATTTTTTGTGACTACAACAGTGCCAGGGGGAACACCGACACCGCCACAAGTACCGATACGAAGGAAAACCGGGTCCTGACAGCCAGCATACTTGACCAGCTTCAACAGTTCGTGCAACACTACACTGAAGGTGGAGGATCCAACACCGTGGCTGACACTTAGCACAGGGCCGACCTTGAACATGGCATATCGATGACCACCACTACACAAATCCACGGGTTCACCGGTCTCCGGATCATCTAGCACCTTTCGGAGGTACAATGCGAGTTCTCGCATTCGAGAGATAGTTCCTCCGCAACAAATCACCTGGGGATATGCCACAGAATAGTATTATCGGATGATTATTGGATTGCCACTTTCTGACCTTGACATCGGCAAACTTTTTTTTGATTTCGGTAGGTTCCTTGGAGTTTTCCACATTGAAGTTCAGGTGGTACAAGAAATCCGAAGACATGGTCTCCAAGTGGGGATTAGCCAACTGAACACTGACAATGACCAACCAATTAAAGAAAAGTCAACTACTTAAAAGTGTTGCACACTTACCTTTTAGACATATCGCTGAAGTGTCTATCTCTGAAGAAAGAAAAAAAAAGTTTATATGAACTAAATGAACTATTTTGTCACGAAGCGGGTTGCTAATATATTAATCTTATCTGACCAGCCATATATTTTTGCAAATGCTTATAGAAAGCTATGTATTATTTGCAATGTATCATGTATGCGTATATAATATGTTACATTCCACATTATATTATTCAGAAATAAGAAACTTTATGAAGTTGTTAGTTTTTTAATGTAATGTTCTTGATATTTTCTTATTTCAAGTTCATAGCAACATTATATACACTTTGATAACTCATAAACAAACAATATTTACGTATAGTTTTCTATATATGAGCGAAGAGTCTTGTTGGCAACTGAATGAGAAACGTGGTGCCACTTTTGGAACTGAAACAACAACGGTCTGTGAAGAACGCGGCCGATCCGTCTTCTCCGAGTGCTGGTTGCGAACTGCCCAAGTTTTCTAAATAGTACATAGTGCCTACATATTGGACTGCAAGACTCCATTTACAACAACGATTGTAAGTGTAAGAATGATTGGGTGTTCCCCTTGAATTCAAATGAGTGCGTTTGTATTAACTGATATGAAATCATCTGCAACTGAAACATATAACAACCACACCCTTTTAATTGTGTAGGAATAAGAAAATGAAAGGTCCCACAAATGTGTTGGGATGTGTGCCAAAATTATAAACACTAGATTGATTTTAATATACCATTTAAATATATTCAGTAAATCTTTTTTTTTTTACAATATAACTTGTATATTTGCATGTGCATTCCGTAATCAAATTATTTTCAGCAATTGTAGTCCATATTCTATTTATAGTTGGATAGATGTACATACAATTAGTTTAACTGCTGTTGATTTTTTTGAGGTTGTTTTCGCGGTAGCAACATTAATCAACATTTACAATTAACAAATTTGAAGGAATTTCAATACAATATAGTAGAATAATTTAAGAAATTTAATTACAGTATTCATTTTTTATAGATATTCGATTTAAATCCTTGTTTTTGGTTAGCCCCATTTAAAATATGCAACATAACAATTAACGATTTGGTTTTAATATATTATATCATATTTGGTTTTCCTTCCCAAACCATTTCTTCATCTCAAAAGCCTTTTTAATGATAACCTTTGAACGTCACACTGAGTGATATTGTTTTATGTATTACATGTATATTTTGTTTTGTTGTAACATATATAAGCAGTAAATTCTTCAATGAATATACATACAGTATGCTTGAGATTAAATTAACTAATGAGGTTAGGGTCGATATACACAGAAATAAAGCTAGGAACTTAATCAGAGCTAAACTAGGGAATGTTGAAACACCGTAGTATACTGGAGAGATGCGAACATACATTATAGAAGGTAACTTTTAAATAAAACTCCCGATATATGGCCCTTTACTCGTGGGCCTGCGACTCCTGCTGGACCAACTTGAAGCGCCTGGGCGACTTGATGGATCCTTGATGGCCGAACAGTGACTTCAATTGACCATTATGCGACAGAATCTTACGTATATAGCGCGCCACGAGAATCTGAGGACGCTGTGAGGGAAAAGTGAGAAAAGTGATACCTGTTAATCAATTCATTTATCAATGGAAATCAATACCAACCTGCTGCCATTCGTGCATGACCTCCTTGGGGGCATTGACCTGGTCGCCGTTCAGGCGATTCAGAAGCGCCACACATACAACCGCCGCCTTGATGCCGGCGTGGTGGGTCAGGGCGGCAAAGATGGTGCTTTCCATCTCGATGTTAACCACTCCATGGTCGCGCAGCTTCTCCAGGTATGCCATCTTGTCGTTCTCACTGAACTCGCAGAAGGCGCCATCCAATCGCCCTTGACCCTCGTAGAAATCATTTGTGCACAGAGTCTTGCCAATGATGGTGTCATATGGATCGTCGGCACTGGCCAGGGACTTGAGCTCACGCGCAAGTTTCTTGTCCAGCTTGGCAGGACGGTGAATGGTCTCGCCCAGAATGGTCTGTAATAACATAAATTATGAATAAGATAAACAAATTCTTTAAATTCTTGGGAGAAGTCACTTACGAATTCATGGGAGTTGCGCAACTGGCCATCGAGGGCATCCTCAGTGATGATAACTGTGCCGCCTTCCACTCCGACGCCGCCGCATGTGCCGATCCTGATGAAGACGGGGTCCTTGCACTTCGCGTGGTACATCAGCTTGATCATCTCGTGCATCAGAATACTGACCGAGGGCGTTCCCATGCCGTGACTAACGCAAAGCACTGGGCCAACTTTGTACATCGAGTAGCGATATGAGTAGGCACTAATGTCCTGCAGCTGAGTACCCGCTGGCAGCTTGTAGCCGATCTCGTTCATTATGAAGTGTGCAAAGTTCTCCATGCGCTTTGGTGTTCCGCCCATGCAAACGAACTGGTCAGCAAAATGAAAGTCAAGAGTTTAGAAACTATTAATTAACGATGTAAATAAATAAAGGGGAAAACCAAGCTTCAAGCGTCAGGTTAGGTCGCAAAATAAATAATCTATGTCGATGATTTGAATGAAAATAAAATCAGACTTTTTTATAAATAATTGGCAATTAATTCAAACATTGATTATTGATTATTAAAAAAAGTATAAGTTAGTTTGCTTTGATTAAAGAACTAGTTTCGCTATCGCTCCACTTGATTTAATAACAAACAAGGTCTAGGTCTGGGTCTTTACCGATTTTGAGCTTGCTTTAGTATGAATAATTCAGTAAATCTTTAACCAAAATACGTAGCTCTTGGGTCTACTCACCTTAACATCTCCGAACATCTCGTGCAGGTCATGACTCTCGCTTCCCAATGCCAGATGATAGAGAATATCCTGGTCCATGAGTTCAATGTTTGAGTTACGTAATTTAACTGTTCCATCAGAGTACCTAAAAATAAATAATACAATTTTTATTTTCCAGCTGACACTCATTTCAAGTTCCCATTGCTTTTTGATAAATGAGACGCTTATCTTTTTCCAAGAATAATTGCCTTGTGACAAGCCCCCGAAAATTTAATCAGTAATTAAACAGGAAACACTTCATATACGTGGGGAATAGCTACAAAAATTCGTAGTTACTTTTATTAGATGGCTTAGGAAATAAAAAATAAAATTTTATATACAATAACTCTCCATTTGATTCATAAATTTATGCCATATAACGATGAATAAGCATTGAGCTCTTTTTAATGAGTTCAAATGACAGATTTGAATTTCGCTTGGCTAATCAATGTGAAATAGTCAGCTTTTTTGCATTTACATTTATTTTTATTAATTTGTTGTTGAGGCGACCCCCTAGTGGGGGGCAGCCAAATGTTTTCCACCCAAGATAGATAGATAGTCATTATCAAGTGCGTCAAACGAATCGGGGAAAAAATCATGTTAGAAGAGTGAGCAAAACAAAAAGCAAAAAAACTTATGACTTCAACATAATCAAAACAAAATGTCTTGACCTTGATTGATAAGAATTTTATTTGATTTTTTGTTAGCACCCTGCCAAACATCCGATTTGAATATACAGGGGAAACAATTGAGTCATTTTTTGATAGAGAATGAAATCTGATCACTTGGACAGCAACTGTTGATTTGAATTTGAAACAAAATCCAGAGTAAGCTACTTTGGCGACACACCCATCAGTCCAGACCAATATTTGGACAGTTGGGGAAAGCATTACCGATTTTCTTTGCCTTTTTGCATATTATTATTGGATAAATTAGTTTATTCTTGGGGTTTACCAAGAGAGATTTAATACTCGCACAACACAGTGATTTATCATTATTAATATCATGAACAAGTATTATATTAAAACTCTTCAAAAAAAAATTGAGAGAGATCGTGTTGCATTATTATTATTTGGTTGTGAAGACCCGCCAAATTCAGCAACCCTCCCAGGGATCGATGCAGCTGCCGGCAAGAAAACCGGTTTGAGTGTCCTTACCGCGTTATTTTATGCACGTAGGCATCATCGGTCTCATCGTCCTGCAACGGGGATCTGTGGGCGAGCTCGTAGTGGGCCTTGAAGTCGTGCGACTGATTATCGGTGATGGTGGGCGGCATGATGTCAGCACTCTAATGTCCTTTGAGTCACAAACAACCAAAAATAAGTAATGGCTCGCAGAAAAGAAATCCGGAACTGGTATAACACGTCAACGTTTTCAACGAACTAAAAAAATTTCGTAGGTTTCGCCCTGCCTTATATACCCTCCTTTACAGAGCTCTGTTATCGAAGCGGTTTTTTCTCGCAGCTAGTTGACTAGCTCTGTTAACATTACACTTGTAGTGGTGATGCGGTGTTACACTATCTGTGTATGTGGCATTCTGATTAGATTTTAGGACTATCTTGGCAGCGAAACGGAAGTTCAAGTGTCACTTATGCTGCGCAATTCAGTTGCAGAAATCAAAATAGATTGCCCAGTGGGCAGTGCAATGGAAACGTGCTGGGCCGGCAAGGTCAGTGGATGCAAATATAACTGATTGTTATCAGTATAAGCAGACTTATGTAGTGCTCTATTCAAGTGCAATTTACAAGCGACTCGGGTTGATAATAAAACGAAGCATAACGGATTTGCGTAACACAATTATTACAATTTCACGATAATAACAGGGTACTGTGTGGCTATGGAAGTTGTTTGATCAGCCGGTCCATTTTGTTTGGTTCCGTAAATATGCAAATTATTTTTGGAATTTTTTGCTAAGAGTTTTTGAAACTGGTTTTTGACTTGAAATTCGTTTCACATTCTTCAACTCTGATATTTGCAAATGAGATGCAAACAAAGCTTAATTAGGATTTCGTTTATTTTTGCAGACAAAATATATGTTTGTAAAAAATATATCTAGTTTCTTTTTAGTTAGACACCCTGTATTAGCAATATTGTTAGTCAACCTGGCCCAAGAATGTGAAGAGTGCATTACAGGCCCATTCAGCTCTGCGTCATCCATGGACTTACTTGCCAAAGTCAGGCCATAAAATGTACACAAAAACAAACAGACAGATATATATACATATATAAAAACATCCGACGAAAGACAGACCAAGAGAGGCTAAGTTGGGGCACACACAGATACGCACAACTACATTCAGTCAAGCCAAAAGCGAAACAATCGGCAAAGCAAAAGGAAACTTGGGCGATAAAAAAGAGCATACGCAGAAGAAGAAAAAACAAAGCTTGGCCAAAAATAAGCAAAAAGGGGGCTTGGCTTTAGCCAGAGAGCTCCTAACAGAGAATGGCTGAGAGAAAAGATGGAGAGCAGAGAGCCATGTACGTGATGCGGCTCACAAGTCGGTTTTTGAGGTCGCGTTTCAGTACCGAGCTCCAACTCGGTGCCACATGGAATTCACTTAATGTCCATACCCGCAATTAACTTGGTCAATTCCCCGTAACCAAATGTTGGCTCACTGATTGACTTTTTCAGCTGCAAAGCTAAACACAAAAGCTCAGCTTATATAAGCAAATGGAAATTGCCACAAATGCACTGAGAGATCCATTGAAATAGGTTCCATTATCAAGTATCAAGTTCATTGTGCAACTTATTTACGAGAGAAATTCCAGACTCATTTTTCAGAAAAGTGTATACACCTCTTATGACGGAAGAAACCCAAAACAAACTTGGCCATTTCAAGCCCATTCTTTGGGTTATTCCACTTGGGTACCCTGAGATGTTTTTACTGTCAGTGGCAGCCACAAATGTCAGTGGCATGGATCTAGTCTATTTCTCATGGAGTCTCTTAACTTGATCTATTTATGGATGGCACAGATCTTAGTAGTAATGCTTTGTACCATAAACTAGACTATTTGTAAGATGTCCTAAATCCAATGCATTGCTAATGCTCTTTAGTGTATGAATAACCATCGTCATACAACCTCCAGGACGTATAACTTTCTTTGAAACGACTAAAAGCTTTGCAAACTTTCAATGTATTATTATTCATCACGTTACATTGTCCCACCATTAATCAGAGACTTTAAATGGATCCTTTAATGCGTACAAGTCCTTTCATCTGCTCACACGTTTCAGCCTTCTCCCGCCAAGGAGAAACGTAATTGCATTTGGCCCGAACAAAGCTATTAAGCGTTTCTGCAGGGCAATGATAAGACCTGGTAGGATAATTACTAAGGTTGAAAGGATGAACCAGACAGAGAGGACAGAAGGTCACAGAAAGTCCAACAATGAGTCGAGAAATGCAAATGAAAATGGGGAGAATGTGGGGGTTTATTTAAGGGACTACTTTGCCAAGTCAGAAAAGGAAGAATTAAGACTGAGAAATCAAAAGTCATGGCCAGTTCAGTGGGGCAAATCATGTCATGATGTCATTCCGAACCGCATTCATCCGAAATTGCATTACTCACGCACCGCTGGCAAAGGATTCCAACCCACATCCACTTCTGGGCCGATGTGGGCGGCTTGGCAATATGGGCTTGCGACTGACTAGCATATGCCGCCAGTGGATAAGCAATCGATAATTGGCTATTTATTGTTTTGTTGGCTTTGAACTTGCGACTACTGTGCGTATGAGCAATGCCGCAATGAAAACACCATTCCGGAGCCAAGGTCAACTAGCAAAAGGGAGCGATAAGTGAATTTTCCCGCACGTTTTCCCTTTCATTCTGTTGCGAAATGTGCAAAATGTAGTGCTATATTTAGGACTTTGTTTTAGCTGAATGGGCCGTTAATTAAAGGCAATTTGAGTGGTGATGCTATTATGCGATTAGGCCTAAACCAATTTCTGTCATCGACGTAATTTGGGGAATATCTAATTAAGGGAAAATTTGGAAAAATATAGAAGTACTAGAGTTCGCGTTGCTGTAAGAAGTTAGGGCTCCTTAGAGAGTTTGGTTTTTGTTGCATACTTTTCGGAGATTTATAATTTAGCAAAGCCATTTGAGTTCTTTTCAAAAATATGCAAGTTAAGCTAGTTTGAAATTATTTTCAACTTTACTTTTAACAAAAATATGATAAGTTTCTTGTATGATTACATTTTTCCTAGAAGTATGTTACTTAATTAAATGAGCCTGCAGAGGAAAACAATACAAAAAACAAAACAACAGACATCCCGTATTTTTCGTTCTTTTTTCAGTCTGCTGATAAGTTTTGTCTCCTCGCCATTGCCAAAGTTTAAATTTATGAGGTTGGCCTTGTTAGTGCTTTTGTTTTTTGGACGGGAACTCACTCAGGCAGGCGGGCAACTTGAAAACTTATTCGTAAGCCAGCCAAAGTTAAAGCCAGTTGGCTGTGGCTGAAAGTGCTGGTACTTACTCATCGAGCTCCTCCTCGGAGAGGGAGTGACTGTTGGCTGTGAGCAGCGACATCTTGGTGTAGGATCCTGCAACGGAGAAGCAAACGTAAATGAGAAATTAAAACGCAAATGGAATTTTAATAACCTCGTAATTCCGATGTGCAAATTGGCAGCATCTTTTCAAACGAAAAGGTCTACTCTCGGGGGCACGCTAAGCCCATTTAAATGCGTGCCACATTCTAAGGCCTAAACAGTGTGCCGTGGCCTGCAAAAAGGACGACAGTGGAATGTCGAGGAAAAGTACATGAAAAAAAAGGAAAAACAAAAGGACCTCTGCAGTATAAACAGCATAAATAATAACCATGGGTATTATTTGAAGCATTATAATTCAATAACTGAAATCAATGTTTATTTTTAACTTTTAATAAGTTTATTATTTTATCACAATGAAATTAACCTAAAAATTAAAATAATTTTTTACTGTACATTAGAGGAAACAGTTGGAAAGCGCGCACAAAGCATTTTGACGGCTTTTAATTAAAAAATGTCAGAGAAACGTCACGTGCCAACATCAATGTGAACGTTCCTCTGCGTTGAAGCTTGTTGTGTGTTCTGTGTGTGTATGACGGCGAGTCCTTGAAATGTTTACCGACTTCAACCGGACCAACAAAATGGTTTAGCGATTTCCTTTTTTCGGGGCTTATCCGTTGGCGCTTTTCGCATTATTTTCTCCCCAAAGATTGGACACGTTTGGCCAACAAGGCTGCCCCCAAAGTTATGCCACGTTTTGAACTAAAGTGTCTTTTGGTGTTGGTTGTTTTCTTGCGTGGGCGGGCAAAAGTTCAAGGCCGTCTACAATTAGCCTGACCAAGCAGCCACTCAAAAGTGCTGAAGTGGCAGACTGAGAAGTCCTTAATTTCTGCACTTTGTTTTTGGTTTCTTGCCAGCAATATTTACTCAACTGATGGCTATGTTTTGAATATAAATTTGTGGAAAAGAAAGTCAACACAAACTGTTGCTTATGAGTTAGGATGTTTATATTTTCTTTGAGGATAATTTAGGATACATATATTATTTTTTAGTTTTAAGCAAAACAAAGTTTCATAATATTTTCTAGAAGATACAGACCCCTTTCCAACACCATTAATCAGACTTTTCTGCAAAACATGCTGACCCATTAAAGGCTCAATAGCCTTGAAAGCGTTTGCTGAACCGTTCCAATGAACGAATGCAAATATACAGCTGATGCAGACATGATAGGAGGTATAAAGGAGGGATGTGAGAAGGGTTAGCATTGAAGAGGGTTGAGATAATTACATTTGTACATACACACACACACACAAATGTATGTGTTACCATTTTCATGGGAAAGTTTTTTAATTATCTCAAGAACACTCTTATCGCTCTGCATCGAATCAGATGTTCTGAGAAAGAAATTGCACACTACTGTGGTGTGTGTATCATGAGGCAGGATAACGCCAAGAATTGAGCTATTGATTTTCTACACAGACAGCACTAACATAAAAAGTTTTTCCGTTTCGTGTCAAGTCCAAACTATTTCTACGATATTTGTGTATTTATTGTGTGAGTTTTTCTTACTCTGTCGACTTACGTAAAAAGTTGTAGTCGTTATTTGGATCTTCAAGGGTTAAAATGGGGTTTTGTTATAATTTTTTCGTCGACGCGCACCAATAAACGGAATCGAAACCGTCTGCCACTATTATTCTGTGTTGTTGCTTTGTCACGATATACTTTTGGTATTTCGATTGCTTGGCAGTTTATTGTTTATCTGCAGGCACGTGAAGCTAGCAGGAGCACTTTCTCTCCCTCTCTTGTTCACCGAACTGGCACACGAACACAGGTACACGGACAGGAGTGCTTCGACCAGAGCTGCACGAGGTTCGAAACGAAACTGACTAGGGGAGTCCCATGAAGCAAAATTGTTGACTCTGAAAATTGTTGAGAGATACAGCTGTGTTCAGCAGAATAGTGCAGATGACTTGAGCTTTATACAAAAATATTTATAATACATATAATCTCTAAAACAGCCCTTCAAACCTAACATTTCGATCTATAATATCTCAGATAAGGTATCTATAATACATACCTTAGAAGAAGCCTCCTATAAGTCATATCCTTCATTCCAATGCCAGTCATTTAAAAAAAAAAATATTAAAAAGATTTGAGCCTAAATTGCTATTTCAGTAAACTCAACTGTATGCCTCATGCTTTCTCTCTGGCGATTCACTCAACGCTCGGAAGGAGGAGTGTTTCGCAGAATCGCTCAATGGGTACTCTGTGCAAAACTGGGGGTTAAATAATTATACTGCGGATAGCCAGCAAAGGCAACACCATTGTTTACAATTTTCTCTAAAATCTCACTCAAATGGGAGAAGAAACATTCCACCAGGGAGAGAGAGTTCAAGGAAGAGGTGCAGGGGGTGGTTTCAAGTTTTCTGTGCAACAGCTGCTGCGCAGTCCATTCGACACGCGCTTCCTTTCGGCCGTCTCTTAATTATGGTGTCTTGGGAAAGGACATGACATGGGCTGTCCGTTGCCGAGCAGCGGTCATTAAAGCTGCATTTAATTAAATTTTAATGCGCACTTAAAAACCTTAAAGGTGTTGAAAAATTGAAAATGGTCCATGCCTCACCGATGCGGCTCGGTGGCGTATACGCAATGTTCGTATACGCATAACGCATACGCCATGTACGCCACTTCATAAATGCTGTACAAAACAGATCTGCAGGCCATGAAGCAAACAGACCAAGGCGGTATTTGCTTATTCATTTGATTTCATTTTATGGGGGTCGTAAAACGTTTCTCATTGAAGCGGATTGAGGATTTTATTGGAGAAAAATGTTCCATACACTTGTAAGGGATTTCTACTAATGGAAAGGTTGTTGAAGTGGAAACATTGAATAAATTGGACTGTATTTTATTGAAGTGAAAACGACAATTGCGAGTGTCAAAACAAACGAGAAGATGTTAGAGTATGTCAATCAAAATTTAAGGATTTCGAATTTTTCCACAACACTTCCTATTCCAGTCTACATATTTTTTATGGATATCTCGTTGTTTAGGTAAACATTCGATTGTTTATTGAGAGAATTTCAATGGCAAGGTGTTGATGGGTTAATGAGATCTAGCCAACAAAAAGTTTACTGATTAGATTATATTTATTTAAAAAAGGCAAACAAAGTTGATGTTAATGATTAGAGATGCTGTCATAGCATTTCTGGCTTAGCTGAACTTGTACCCTTGAAAGGCTTTAATTAAATAAGCAAGCGTATATGGTGTTTTTTTGTAAAGTTTCACTTGGGATGAGGTCAGAACTTTCGGACTTGCTTTAATTAATTGTAACCAATAGTGCGTTTGACTTTACTTTGACATTGAAATTCAAATATATTTGTCCATGTTCTTTATTGCTTAATTTCCAGGCTTTCACACACACACGCTTTTTCCTACATTGCCATGCTTGGCTGCGGCTCAGACGGAGATAATAAGTCCAACATGACACGACACCGACATGGACAGTAAATTCGAATTACGTTGGGCGTAAAAGCCACGCCCACTCAACAGAGAAAGAGGAAGAGCTGCCGTAAAGCGGTGACTAAACTGTTTTCGCTTTGATGAATTTTCGACAATCGAGCCGAGGGCTGACTAAGTCGATGCCTCTGTAAACGTTCATTTACTCTTTCGGTGACAAGAAAGAAATCTTCACAGCTCTGGCCCCAAATTTCCGTTTCACTGCATAATAATACTTATTTTATGCCGAGACTGGCAATGTCTTTATGTCCCATAGGGCACGCAATCGACAAGACATTGCTCATACGCAACGTTGCCTGGATCAACAGTTGAGAACGAAGCATATGGCCGATTTAAGGATTAAAGCCGCGCCCAGCCATCACAAATCTTAATATCCGACGCGTGTCAAAGGCACACGAATGGGAGTATTGATTTCAGGGGTCAATATCATTCAATTTTAATCAAGGAGTAACACTTGCGTTTTATGAATAAAGTTTTAGGGGAATATTGAAACAAGGAGTAGAATATTTAAGAATTTGTAGGCTTTTATATTTTTTATTGAAAATATAAGAAGTTCTTTTGTACTTGTTAGATCAATATTTATTTCAACCATGTGAACTATGACTTATTCAATGGCCTTTGGGGAACAGGTCACGGCTACACCTACCATACTTACGCTCATTTTTCTGATCTATTTGTCAAATAAACACTGATGTGAACCACCTCGTTTACATGACACTTCAGAGGCATTTTCCATTTCTGTTTGCAGCCAGGAAAATGTCCTGGAGACGCAGCTGTTGTTGACCATTTCCGCTGCGAGTGTCAACAAGGCCTGAGAGGATGTGGCGCGGCTGTTGTGGGTAAGGCGCACCCGGCCTATCCATTCAGGATGCCGTGGCTGCCACCACGCCCACATTCCACCACGCAAAAGCGGAAAAGTAGCCCCTGGCCGACCCCCACACAGAATTTTGTTGAGCACTCGTTACGCAACCAAGCCTCTCTCTCTCGCGCCCACTTTTTTCGCCCTAATATTTTCTGCATGGCAGTGCGTTGAACTTGGCCCAATTCGTCGCAGCTTTGAGTGAAAATGTCTCGGCCGACTTCTCCCGTTGAGTCATTTCCAGACCAAACATTGTTGAGACCAGCGGTGTGGGTGAGGCCACCTGCGCCACCTCCTGTCCCGTGGGAGGCGTCAAACAAAGTGCGAGCGTTAATCTTCTCTGGCGCTTATGATGATTATGGCGTTTGGGCACGACGGGCACCGTGGAATTAAAGAATTATACAGTAATCTGGAAAATGTTTCAAATGATCTTAATTAATCTTAAAGATACGTAGATCCATTTGTTTATTTTCCTTGGTTTATTTTATTAGGTCCTTTTTTTAAGGATTTTTCCTTTAATCAATAAATTTTTGTTAGATTTAAGAGGTAAATCAATTAGAAGTTTTAATTATATTTTATATAATTTTAATATGATTCGAAACTTAATATAAAATATAGAACTAAAATAAAAAACATATTCCAAGACGTCTTTAAAATTAATAGACAAAAAATATAGAAAATTTAAGAAATTAAATTTGGCTTCCTTTCCCATCTTAAATAAACACTCCTGCCACTGTCGGCCATCTTTTCCGCCCAGCAAGGATAGCTGCGGTAAGCTGAGACACTTCGCTAATGATCCCAAGCCGCAAATCCCACGGGGGAGTGTCATGGGTGTGTCACTCATTAATTGGGATTGGGGAAATGCGGGAAATGAAACTCGAAACTTTATTCTGGTTTTTGGCTTTTGTTTTAAAGATCATATTTACTTCAATCACAGCACAGAGTACAGAGAATATTATCTAATGGTTTTGTCGCTCGAAAGGAAACAGGAAACGAAACTGCAGGAAAACTATTTCCATGTGAGTGTGATGTGTAAGAGGAAAGAGCGTGGCGGGTGTGATGTGTTTTTGTTCTTGTTGGCTGTTGCGTGGGTGCAAGTCGAGAAGGAAAAGCTGCAGAGAAAGTCGAGCAAGTGCGGAAGGAGTGAAAATATAGACGAAGCAGTTGGCTTATGTGGTAGACTTTATCTATATAGACTTGTATAATTGTTGACATGTATCTTTAGTGGGATTACTCTTTCTTTTTTTTTTGTTCTTTTATGTGTTTTTCTCGCTAGTTTAAAGTTTAACAAACAACTAACATTTAGAGTATTGTTTATACGGCGGTCGTTGCCGCCAATATTTCAATTACGTTTTGTATATAGGTTGATGTATACTTATTACGTTGCTAGTTACAAATGTTGACTTGGTTGTTAGTTCTACTTTAAGATCAGGTTGTTGAAATGTTAGTCAGTAGTTGTGGTACAGTAGTTTGATGTCGAGTCGCGTCGAGTCATTCATGATTGTTGCGAGTTGCAAAGAAAGGCATTAAGAGCTAACTTATGTAGGTGTTCAAAAAACATTACAACTTAAAGAATAATTAAAGCTAAACATAATCTCATTGGGGACTCTAGACAGTAGAAGTCCTCTCTATCTTTGTGCAATAAAAGAAGACATAACTATACAATAAAATTATTTTAAAATAGCTGCAGTAATATTTCTTTAACTCCTCCATATTCGCATTCTTTTCCTCCTTTAGAGCAATCTCTTGTTCTCGCTAGGAAACTTTTGTTTAAAAAATAAGAATTCAGCCTTCGTCCCTTTGACTAACAATGTTCACATCCAGATGGTTACTTTAATCCCGTTTTTTTTATCCCTTTCAGTATAAATAATCATGTGGAAACACAGCGCGGGCGGGCAGATAGAAGGGATCGTGTTGATTGCGATAGCGACGTGCCAGAAAAACGGCCAAGACCTATGAAGAAAAGAAATGATTAATCAAGGCTTACATCACAAAAAGATTAAACAAAAAGCAAACCAAAGAAACTCATAACATTACTCTTCTCTCACCTATGACCCCTTGTTGGATTTATCTTAGTCAAAGAGCAGGCAGTCAAGTGTTAGTATATGTTTTGTTTGGAAGCAGTAGTAAAGTGTTAAAGAAAGGTATCATTGAGAGTAAATTGAAATATGTTTCATCGCTGATTGCTTAGCCATCGGGCTCGTGTTAGAGTTAGCTTTCTCTTACGTTATTATATTCTTTTCTATAATGTGTATATAAGTCTAAAGTTGTATATCATTTACGACCTAACACATTACGTACGTAGTTTCGCGGCAATGTGGTTATATATATATGTGTATATATATGTGTAGATGGTATAAATATAAAGAATGCTTGTATATATGTATGGTATGTGGGCCCCAAGGGCGCATGAAATATTTTATCGTAACACCAACATTTAACAGAGACAGAGAAGGGATACACGCACTAAATTACTTTGAATGTTATTCTGTTTCTGGAAAATGTTTCTGTGTGTTCGATTAGTCGACAATTTATAGGAAGGCGCTGGGCAAGCCGCGCGGATCCTTTTGGTTGCGGTAGCGAACTGTTAGCCAGACGCCCACAAACTATGGCAGCATGTGAAAATTAGTTAGACAATGGATTAAACAGATGAATTATACATTTTCCTGCTCAAACCTACCTCGGTGAAGCTGAAGAAAATGCCTAGTCCGCCACACAGCTTGAAAGCGTAGTCGATCTTATCCTGTAGCAACGGACCACATGGTGGGCAGTGGCAGTTCGGATCGCTGCTTGTGGCACAGCACTTCCGCTGTATAATGTCACAAGTGGGCTCTTCTGCTGGCGTAAGGGGGGATTTCGGGCTGGGTCCTGTGGCGTTGAATCCGCAGCACAACATGCTATCTTGCACCTGTTGACGCAACTCGGTGGGCACCGTCATCCATCCCTGCTCGGCGAACTGTTGTTGTTGCTCGGAGTTGACGGCCAGGCAGGAGCTTGCAATGGAGAACTGAATCAAGAACAGCATGAACAAAATGATCATGTACTGCAGGGAGCGAAATCGTAAAAGTCTAAAGTTAAGGTTTAACCAGGGCAGTATATTAAAATCACTTCTTATCAGGCTTTTCCATATTTTCCCGGAATATGGAGGTTGCTTCGCGATAACCTCGCGTTGCTGACGTCATAGAAGCACAACAACGAAGGTCTCAGAAGCAGCAGTGACTTGGGGCCCGCCATAATTTGAGTCATTACCGGCCAGCTTTCTCTGCGGAAGTGGGCACTTGTCTAAGTACGCTAATTGCTCCACATGCCACGACCTTTGTGGCTGCATACAGCTGTGCTCAAAAAATTAGCAGTGCAACATAAATTTACGTTTGTTTTCTATAAATTCTGGGAATTTAAAGAAATGCAAGTGCGTTATCTAATTTCTAAATATTGTTTAAGTTTTAATAAACTTGTTTTTTTTTGTGACTTTTGACCACAGCTGTAAGAGATACACTTTCGCACGGCTACAGACATAAAATCTTTGACAAAAGGATACGAAGAAGAGCATCACTTGATGGTGCTTCACGGCGCCCGCCAAGCCCAGCATGGAGATGCAGATGAGGATGACGCCGCAGGCCAGGATTCCGCCCACAATCGGCAGGTTGGTGACAATGGAGGCGGCCCGGGCATACACACCGACGCCAATCAGCAAGAATCCAATCATCTGAAGAAGGGAAGGGTAAAATATGTAAAAAGGATTCAAGATGTGCACTGGAGGTCACCCCAAACACATAAGCAACAACAAATACAGTGAGGCAGACAGGGAGATACACACACATAGTGACAGGCTTGCACCTGCCACCGCAAAATGAAAATCAATACCCATAATTGGTAATAATCTTATTAAATCATTCACTGCTCATTGGTATTCATTGTTGTTGTTGTGTTTTTTAGCACTTCCTGGTTTTTTGTTGTTTTGGGGATATGCGTTTTTAAAAAACAGTTGTTATGTTTTCATCTTACCACATACAAAATGTTGAGCGCAATCAACGCATTTTTGGAGCATGTGAACCCGCCACACATATTGGATTTTTTTTGTCGGATTTTATCTCTAAATATATTTAAATTTAACTCAAGTGTTGCGGAATAAATAAATGTATTCCGTTTCTTTTCACTTTCGATTGGAGATGGAACTACAGTTTTTCAACATAGGGGCCTAAGCGATTGTTGAGAGATATCGATAGTTGAATGTAAACTATCGTACAATCTATAAGTGGCTTAGTGTTGAAACTGATTTTCTAGTGTTAGAAAACCACTTCAGGTAAGCTTTTGCCGCAAAATTTCAATTCCGCCAATTAACTAAAACAAGGAACATTATATTGAATTGCCAATTTCCGCTGCACGGACAAGTGCCGTTAATTGCATTTTACATACCAGGGGGAAATTCCATCAAACAACCAGCAACAACTTCATCGCGTGTCGTGAGGCGAGGACCTCGCCAAAAAAACAACAACGACAAGTAGTACGAGGGGCCTGCCATGGACAGACACCTACGGCATAAATTTATGGCCAAGCGATAAGCGCCGGCCAAAAGGAGAATATCGCTGCCCAAAATTGGACAAGGAACGTGCGTCGCGCGGCCAAAGCTGTAGAATTTAGTAGCTGTCAAAGACATCAGCTGTGGCCCGGGCAACACCTACAGCCAAAAACCAAAAAGGCCAAACTCTCGAGTCAAGTTGGAGGAGGCAGTGGCGGCGGCTCACGCAAGGAATATGCCACAGGTGAGTCCAAAACGGTTTAGGTACAGTAAAAGCTGGATATAGGCGCTCGAAGGCCTTATGAATAATTACTGGCTTATATTTATTTTCTAAGGAAACTATACTCCTTACAATAGTTTAATGGTAATAGTTTAAGGGTATTTTAAGGATTCTGTATTGTTCAAGCTAAGTAACTATTTTTATATAATCTCCAAAGAGTACGAATTTTCATTTAGTTTTTAATCTAATCTTGTAGCTACTTTAAGAATAGGACAATAAGGCATACTCAATAAAAAAATATAAATAATAAGCAAAGAAACTATATTTTTTTATCCAAAAGATTACGTTTGTCGCTTACTATCCAAACTTCACTGTAAATCCTCGAAAAAATAACTTTGCGTGCAAATGTGTGGAATGCGGGGCAGCGGAGGTAAGACATCTAGGGAGGTGGTGTTGGACTTCGAATAGAGATCCCGATCCCCCAGAGTCGCTGGTGGCCTGTGACTCTATAAGGCTGATGCTGTCAGTTGCTCTTAGCCGGGCTCATTGGCAGCTTTATTGTCGAACTGCTGGACGAATGTGTGTGTGTGTGGGCCAACCTGCATACCAGTCATAAATATAAATATGAATCTCGAATGCACTTGCAGGCTGCTGCCTGCAACCTCGTTAGCCATTAAGCCTGTTAGCCAGGTCCGGCTGGTGCGAAGATGCAAAACGGTCGGCAGCTCCGATTTGGATTTGGATTGGGATTCGCCTCGAATGGCTTCCTCCGGTCGTTCTCTGTGCTAACAAGATGGCAACACAACACATGAAATTAGACTGCGCCGATGCACGTCCAGCGATAGAAGAAGAACGAACTGATCGTGCAGGAACAACAAACTAATTAACATATTCAAATATTTGTCGCATTGTTTTGCCAGTTTCCCAGCTTCATCTTGAGCTCCTGCCTGCTCTTCTACTCCCAGATCTGTTCCCTGTCCCACTCCTTGTCGGTGTTCTGTTGGCGGTTTATTGAAAAACCATTTTACGGTTTCATGCTTGAAAGTCATTGCGCGTTGCCACGCCCCATCCCTGGGACTGGCTCTGGCCATTGTGCATCTTCCCTGGCATTCGGCATTCGGGCTTTTGCACTGCAGACCCGTTGGCGCTATTTTTATCGCATTTTAAAAGGCTATTTGTAGTGGTTTCACCAGGAAGTGGCATAAATTCGCAGCGCATAATGGCTGTGAATAAATTATTTCGCAACAGCTTCCTCTCGTTCTGCCCCAGCCCATTGATTCTGATAAGACTACGGCAGTAACTCCAACTGCAGCTTCTCCAACTGCTCGGTTCATCCAATGCGTTGCATTTCTCATTGAAATCAGCAAACGAAAACGGCAGGGCCGGCAAACAGATGCTGGAACAATGCACTTGTTACATAATCACTTACCGCGATTGTTGTCCTGCCCCGTGAGAGAGGCCAGCCAGCGGCCTTCCTTGTGCAATCCAGCAATTTTCACGCACGCCCCATCTTCCCCCCCAGAAGAGTCTGTTCTAGGCTCGGCATGGATCGTTCCAATAGACAGAAAAGTGAATACGCATCAATCGCATAAGGAAAGCCAACGAGCCACAGCCCGTTAGGCGGATGTGATGGCTTATGGTCTGGACTGGCCTGGAGACTAGTCTTTTATTAAGCCCTAAGGAGCTAAACAATTAAAATTTTAATTAACCAGCAATCCTTTGGGCAATGTTTTTAATTTATTCAGTCATTGGAAGGTTAAATTTAATTCTCCAGCTAAAAATTTGCCTAAAGCGAAATGTGTTTTAGTTCTTATTACGATAGCCATAAAAACAAACAAAAAAAAAACAATAAAAATGTGATAAGACATAAACTTTCTCTTTGGAATCTTGAGTACATATTGAATTTGTCTATTAACCTAGTCTGCTGACAGCCAGGAGCACAACTTTGCGATTTTCGTTAAAAAAAATCATAACTAAAAATTAAAACGTCATTAAAACAGGCACTTATATTTGCATAAAATTTGTTCGCTTTCTAGGAAATTTTACTCTTGCACCGGTATCACAACGGTCGTAAAAACCAAGTGCTGCTGTTAAGCCAGATTGAAATCTTCTAATCAATTTAATATAAGTCAGGGTTTGTCTGGAGGTCAAACACAGATCAGCATTGACTACCGTGGCAAGTACCCTTGAGAGGTAATTGCAATTGCTCCAGCCAGATTCCAGAGATATATAAATATTAATTGTTTTTCTGCCTCCGACCAGCATCTTCAACGGTACTGAAAACGAACTTAAATCCAAACTGTGGCTAAGGCTGAGCCTGCCTGGGCTGAACCATTTCTCTAATTTCTAATGGGCTTCCATCTCGAGGCTGCCACAAACGGTTGTCTGCCTTGACGCAGACTCGATGGCTGGTCCCGGCCTGGTCAATGTCCTTTGCCATTTCGGTTTTGTTTGGGTCTTGCATGCGCATTGCGCACGACGCGTCAGCCCGGCCACCTTCCAATCCACCTCCTCCTCGAGGTGGAGGCTTGGCGGTGGTGCCTCCACCTCCTCCTTTGGGGTCTTTTGCAGCTCCTCCAGCTTGGCCAACAGATGTTATCCCGTCCGATGCGGCAGTGACCCCAGCAGGGCCATAAATTCTCACAGTGCTTACACGCCTGCGCTTCTACAAATGTTCCAATTTGTATTTTTGCACAAATTGTTGTTGCATCTTCTGTTGCAGTTCTTCCTGTTGCATTTTTGTTTGTTCTGGTTTTTGTTGTTGCTATTATTGTTGCCGTTGCACTTGGAAGTTGGCTTTGGCTGCCTTTGCTCCGGTTGTTTGTTTTGGCTGCATTTAATTTAATTTGGCCTACCCAATTGGGCTGAACCGCAATTAGAGACAAATGTTTTCGGCTGCATTCCAGCGGCTACTTAGCCCCCATGTTCGTGGCAATTAGCTTGAGCCTTAGACCTGGACCATCGAGGACGACATGGGCGTGTTTTTGGGGCGGGGCAGGGTCGGGTCGGAAAACGGGCGAAAGTTATCTAGCGGCCCGAACGACGCGACCATTTCCCACACGTTTGTTTGCTTAATTAGGTGAAAACTGGCTAACAGCTGTCCCGGCCATGCCGGGCAATTGCTAATGAGCAGGACAAGCTGGAGGAGTTGGCGAAATGAAAAGTAACAAGCCACTGTCCTCGCTTTCAGGCTTGCCACTTTGGCAATGGAAAATGGTAAACGGGAAATCGTTTGCCATTCGTCGTTTCAAGTGCTAAATTCAGACTTTTGTCAGTTTTTCTTACCAGAGTTACTCTCATGAGAAGCTCGGGTAGCTCTGCAAAGTCATTTGATATTCTCTGTTAATATTAACCTAAAGAAAAATGTATATAGAAAATAAACGATACAATTAAAATTTGAATTAGAAAGGATTCAAGTTGAGTATTTAACTAGCGTGAGAAGCTAACGTTATCCTTACCTTAAGAGCATTACTTGGTTCACCTTGCTAGCCACTTGACTTTGCTCTTTGGTTCATCTGCTGATTTTCCTTTTTTCCTCAATTTCTTCTTTTTTGTTGGATTTTGGAGGCGAAATTTGGCGGTGCCCATTGCCATGGCAAGTGCATAATTTTTCAATCAAAGCAAGCAGCTGTAAAACAAACAAAAGCAGAGGAAAACCAGCAGAGGACGGGTAGCCACGCCAGAAATCGTGAGGCAGCCAACATGGCCAGAAAAGAAAACTCGAACGAGAAAAGCTCCCTGGCCCGGTGCAAAGGAAGTGCTGCAAACGAGATCTTCACTTCATCGCATCCAAACCCATCCAATCCCATCCCATCCCGTCCAAATCCAATCCCATCCCAACCTAAAGCATCGGAGCTTCAACGAGGCAATGGCTTTTAAATGCAAATGACCACGAAGCGTGAGGGTGTTCAATGCGAACTTTATGCATGGAAATTGGCAAAATGCGAGCAAGCGTTTCCCTCAATGTGGTCAAAGTGTCAACGACAACGAGTGTAGGTGTCCCATCCATTGTATTTGGCATTCTGACTCTGCCTAAATGCATGTCCAGGCCAGGTTCAAAACGATCTAGGCCGGGCTAAGTCAAGCCGCTAATTAAAAGCCATTGCTAACAGCCAACGACTTAATGGCCGAGCATTTGCATAGCTGTCAACGCCAATGCCCACACTTGGCCACGTTCTATGGTCCCCCCATCCCCAACCCGCGCTTCGAGGCGAGAAAAACCAAAAACAAAAAGCTCACGCAGCGTTCGTCCATATCCTCTGTACTCCGCCCGCTCCGCCGCTTAGGTGTCCCAACATTACGCCATAAGAAACACCATGACCAACACCATCTGCAACTCCCAGTTCCATCGCCATCGATGCAGCCAGGCCTTGCCCAAGCCAAATACGCACCAGAACCGGCCATAAAAATTGTCAACGCGTGGCTTTGATGTTTTACTCTCATCTATAGGATGGGTATCATTAAATTTCGATAGCGTCATAATAATACTTCAGAACTATTATTTATAGTAACATTTATAAAGTAACATTTTAAATATTTTTTAACAAGAACAAATAAGATCCATGCCGTTAAGATTGGATAATATTCGCAATTGGATTTCGCAAATTCGCATATAGCAGTTGATTAAAATGCAAAACTTAAAAAAAGTACCAAGCTTCAGCTATAGTATACGATAGGATATAGTCCCCTATATGACATGGATTTTGTCCATTTTTAACCATTTTTCGTGATGGGATCCCTTGAAAATGGAATTTTCCCCTATAGGGTCCACGGTGATGGCTATATCTTCCCCAATTCTCATCCGATTCTTAAGCGGAGTACCTTAAACGATTTGTGGATCGATTCTCGACCATTCTGCATCAAAATCCAGAGATAAAATATTTTTTCGATTTTTTGTCCATTTTTCGTGAGGGGATCCCTTGAAAATGGGATTTTCCCCTATAGGGTCCACGGTGATGGCTATATCTTCCCCAATTCTCATCCGATGCTTAAGCGGAGTACCTTAAATGATTTGTGGATCGATTCTCGACCATTCTGCATCAAAATCCAGAGATAAAATATTTTTTAGATTTTTTGTCCATTTTTCGTGAGGGGATCCCTTGAAAATGGGATTTTCCCCTATAGGGTCCACGGTGATGGCTATATCTTCCCCAATTCTAATCCGATGCTTAAGCGGAGTACCTTAAATGATTTGTGGATCGATTCTCCACCATTCTGCATCAAAATCCAGAGACAAAATATTTTTCAGATTTTTTGTCCATTTTTCGTGAGGGGATCCCTTGAAAATGGGATTTTCCCCTATAGGGTCCACGGTGATGGCTATATCTTCCCCAATTCTCATCCGATGCTTAAGCGGAGTATCTTAAACGATTTGTGGATCGATTCTCCACCATTCTGCATCAAAATCCAGAGACAAAATATTTTTCAGATTTTTTGTCCATTTTTCGTGAGGGGATTTGTGGATCGATTCTCCACCATTCTGGATCAAAATCCAGAGATAAAATATTTTTTAGATTTTTTGTCCATTTTTCGTGAGGGGATCCCTTGAAAATGGGATTTTCCCTTATAGGGTCCACGGTGATGGCTATATCTTCCCCAATTCTCATCCGATTCTTAAGCGGAGTACCTTAAACGATTTGTGGATCGATTCTCGACCATTCTGCATCAAAATCCAGAGACAAAATATTTTTCAGATTTTTTGTCCATTTTTCGTGAGGGGATTTGTGGATCGATTCTCCACCATTCTGGATCAAAATCCAGAGATAAAATATTTTTTAGATTTTTTGTCCATTTTTCGTGAGGGGATCCCTTGAAAATGGGATTTTCCCCTATAGGGTCCACGGTGATGGCTATATCTTCCCCAATTCTCATCCGATGCTTAAGCGGAGTACCTTAAACGATTTGTGGATCGATTCTCCACCATTCTGCATCAAAATCCAGAGACAAAATATTTTTCAGATTTTTTGTCCATTTTTCGTGAGGGGATCCCTTGGAAATGGGATTTTCCCCTATAGGGTCCACGGTGATGGCTATATCTTCCCCAATTCTCATCCGATGCTTAAGCGGAGTATCTTAAACGATTTGTGGATCGATTCTCCACCATTCTGCATCAAAATCCAGAGACAAAATATTTTTCAGATTTTTTGTCCATTTTTCGTGAGGGGATCCCTTGAAAATGGGATTTTCCCCTATAGGGTCCACGGTGATGGCTATATCTTTCCCAATTATCATCCGATTCTTAAGCGGAGTACCTTAAACGATTTGTGGATCGATTCTCCACCATTCTGGATCAAAACCGAGAGATAAAATATTTTTTAGAATTTTTGTCCATTTTTCGTGAGGGGATCCCTTGAAAATGGGATTTTCCCCTATAGGGTCCACGGTGATGGCTATATCTTCCCCAATTCTCATCCGATTCTTAAGCGGAGTACCTTAAACGATTTGTGGATCGATTCTCCACCATTCTGGATCAAAACCCAGAGACAAAATATTTTTTAGATTTTTTGTCCATTTTTCGTGAGGGGATCCCTTGAAAATGGGATTTTCCCCTATAGGGTCCACGGTTATGGCTATATCTTTCCCAATTCTCATCCGATTCTTAAGCGGAGTACCTTAAACGATTTGTGGATCGATTCTCGACCATTCTGCATCAAAATCCAGAGACAAAATATTTTTTAGATTTGGTGTCCATTTTTCGTGAGGGGATCCCTTGAAAATGGGATTTTCCCCTATAGGGTCCACGGTGATGGCTATATCTTCCCCAATTCTCATCCGATTTTTAATCGGAGTAGCTTAAACGATTTGTGGATCGATTCTCCACCATTCTGCATCAAAATCCAGAGACAAAATATTTTTCAGATTTTTTGTCCATTTTTCGTGAGGGGATCCCTTGAAAATGGGATTTTCCCCTATAGGGTCCACGGTGATGGCTATATCTTCCCCAATTCTCATCCGATTTTTAATCGGAGTAGCTTAAACGATTTGTGGATCGATTCTCCACATTCTGCATCAAAATCCAGAGACAAAATATTTTTCAGATTTTTTGTCCATTTTTCGTGAGGGGATCCCTTGAAAATGGGATTTTCCCCTATAGGGTCCACGGTGATGGCTATATCTTCCCCAATTCTCATCCGATTCTTAATCGGAGTAGCTTAAACGATTTGTGGATCGATTCTCCACCATTCTGCATCAAAATCCAGAGACAAAATTTTTTTCAGATTTTTTGTCCATTTTTCGTGAGGGGATCCCTTGAAAATGGGGTTTTCCCCTATAGGGTCCACGGTGATGGCTATATCTTCCCCAATTCTCATCCGATTCTCAAGCGGAGTACCTTAAACGATTTCTGGATTGATTTAACACCATTCTGCATCAAAACTCTGATGAAAAATATTTTTTAAATTTACAAGTATTCCAGAGCATTTGCTATTCGGCTTGACAAGTGTTTTTCAATTATCTGTTGCTTAATAGGGGCGTTTTATTCAACATGAGGCACGACGCACATGCGTAACTCACACCGTTTTAGTGGCAGCGGCAATTCGCGGCAGAAACCTGAACGAAGGAGGCCTATTGGTCAGAGAGGGGCCTAGCAGAGGGGACAGTTGAAAGACATCTTCATTTCGTACACGTCTCGGTTGTTGGTCGACTTTTCACACATTTCAATTTCATCGTGATTGTGATTAATCGAGGTCTTCGGTGGCTCAGAATTTTAGATGCGGCTTACAATAGGAATCGAGAATGTCGGTAATGGCGTGCGTAGCTGAAGCGTTAAAGAGATCGTAACACGGCTGGTTAAGCTCGTTGCTATGCCGCCTCATATTTTGATTAACACTTTTGTCGGACGGCCTCCGACTACGGAGGCAACGGAGCAACTGCGGGCACCCGAGATACCTGCTCATATGCCTCAACTGTATCTGGGCACATGCCACATGCAGGCGCTGCTCAAAGTGCCGTGAAATTATCATAATTTCTTTGGGTGTCTTTTGCTTTGACAAACATCAATTTAGCTAAATGGTTGCCTTGGTTTCATCGCTCAAATGTTAATTGGAAAAGGTCTTGGCCATGGCAAATTAAATTAATGATTAAACATTGGGTGTAAGTTAATTAATTTAGTGTTTGGGGCACCTAAATCCCTTCATTAAGAAAATCTTAGCTGGGTAACCCCTTTCTATCTCCTTGTTAACCCAATAAAAGATTAAACTTTATTTATTTTTAGACATTTATTTTTAAGATATGTTTCTTTAGACATAAGGTTTATTGCATTACTTAATCAGTACAATTCGTTTATAAAGATTCTTTATTTTATTAAATGTTTCATCTCCTTTTCCTCGCGATTAAACTAAGTGTCTGACACTTGAGACCCCCTCTGTTCAAGGGGGACAAGTCGAAGCTCTTAAAAATTAGCACCGCCTTTCGTTTCGGTTAATAAATATTCTGAAGTAAAATTAGAAAATAAATAGTTAAAGTAGTAGTTGGGGTGTGGGTAGAGGCCTCAGTGAATTTAGAAATGCCGCCTTGCACAAAAGCCTGGCGCAAAACATTTTGATACAAAATTATTTGGCAAACTTTGTGGGGAAAATGTCAGCAGCTCAATAGGTATTAATAAATAGTGTAATAGTTATAAATGCAGTTCGCTCGAGTCTAGACTTAGACATAAGGACATGAATCAGATTTCTTACTAAACATACAATTAGCCTAACCTTTGCTATAGAGATTGGAGAAACCTGTAGCTTTAATCTAATTCGAATTTGGACAGGAAAACTTTTCAATTTTTCTTGGCAATGTGCCGATTTAAAATGTTGGAAACCACTGGATTTCCAAGCCATTTAAAAGCGCGCATTATTCATCGTATCGTTAAAAAAAAGGTCGCAACTAATTCTTTCAAAACATTAAGTGTAAAGTTAATTTAAGGCTTAGTCTAGGCTTGAATTAATCTAGGTTTTCCAATGATTTGCATGTGTCGCTGCTAGGCGAATATTTTCTATTCAAGTCTCATCGAATCTTTTGAAGCTTTCGAGGCATATTGCGTTTATTCCCAGCTAAGTGTTCCCAGCAAGGTGCGTGAGCCACCCAGGTCTCCTCCCTAGAACTGCTGTCCGTAGCGTCCATTGATTCCGCTGTCGTAGAGCTTGCTCAGGGTGTCCTTGGCGCTGCCGCCGTATGACGCTCCCGACGAGGAGGCTGCGGAGGATGGCGGCGGGGGGCCGTACAGCATGGTGGGCGCTCCATAGGTGATGGTGGGCGTGGGCTCGTGCTGGTACAGGTAACGCTCCTTGCGGGTGCGGCGCTGCACTGTTTTCCAGATGCCAAAGATACTCAGCTGGGCCAGCAGGAACAGTCCTCCAGCCATGATAAGTCCTGGAAGAGCACAAGATAATTCTGGTTAGTATACGCAAATAAAACTTCCATATAAGAAACTGAAATTTTAACTTTCTAGGGCTTAGAACAGGTTGAACGAGATCGTTTCTAGCCTAAGCTGGTGTTTTCTCCCCCTGAGAGAAATGTACTTGAACCATTTGAAAAGGGAAGTCGGCCTCTTATCGCCATAAATCAAGGGGATTATCTCGAGAAGCCGATCTAGTTCGAAGAGATTCAATGGAAACTGGTTGGTGGACTGGAGCCAACGAAAGCAAACGAATCCGGAGGCAGATAAGATCTCCGCTTCAATCAGCGGAGAACAAGGAAGCGGCAGTGGCAACAGAATAAGTAGAGCTAGAAGTGACCTCAGATCGGTTTAGTTATCAAAGAAAACAAAAGTGGGCGCCACTTGACCCACTTCGGAGTGAACTGAAACGAACTGGTGCGGTGGAAAGAGCACGGAGGAAAGAAATAGCTCCAAGGCAGTCGTAAACGAGGCAACGTCCCAACGTCCAGCGAACGACCGACCAAGTGACCAACTTTGACAGCAACAAGTTGAAGATAAACAAAAACAATGAGAAATAAAACAGCGACAATTTAATGCATGAGTTGCATATTTCGGCACGGACTCACTTTCTTTACCCTAGACATCGCATGTTGCAGCCGTTCCTCGTTGCTCCGCGTTGGGTTCTTAAAAGTGCAACATGCCACATAAATAAGCCCAGACCGGCAGCGACCGAGGCAGCAGCAGCAGCAGCGGCGGCCAGTGGAGGAAATTCGAAATGCCAATGCCGGTAGAAATCGGGTGAAAGTGCCGCCAAAGTTGAAGTCAAAGTCAAAGTCGAGTGCAGCTCGCATGCGTTGTTGCTTGTGTTGCTATTGCTGTTGCTGTTGTCTGTGTCCAGTTCACGAAATCAGAATTTAAGAGCATCACCGGCAACAGCAACAACAATTGCAACTTCAACTGCAACAGCAACAGAAACAACTACGACGACGACATGCCAGATGACTATCAGAGATTACTTCGTAACAATGTTACTGTTGTTGCTGTTGCCGCACATCAAATGACCATAAAAAGTAAGCTGAACCGAGTAAGCCAAAAAAATACAAATCAACAAACAAACCAGCCACAACAGAAGGAGCAGCAACGTCGTCATCGCCATCATCATTATCATCATCATCTTGTGCCCTGGTCATGACTTGAATGAGTTTCAATAACAAAGTGCACGCACTTGAGACTTTTATTTATGTATCCGAGTCTCTGGCCCAAACCAACAAAAGCTGAGCCACCAGAACAAACCATTACAATAACAGTAACAAAAGGGGAAACAACGAAAATATACAAAATTATAACAATTACCGTAAACGGTCGGTGGGGCCAGCGAGTTGGAGGAGTGGGAGTGACCCAACTGGGGCGCCCACAAAATGGTAAATAATTTGATGAAAACCGACTCAGAACAATGAGTAAGGAAAACGGCTCGAAGGCCCTGGGAAAAGCTAACGGGATGAAGGAAAAAGTAAAACTACTCAGCGAAAGTGATGTGAATTAAAGACTAGGAATATAAAATTCTAAAAGAATAAAATAAATTTCTTTAAAGCTCATTATTCTTTTTTCAAGAACAACAGAACGAAGATGGCCCATAAACTTCTTAATGAGTATTGATTCAAAATTACTTAAGCAATAAAAACTGGCATTTAAACTTTACTGCAGAACTTAAAAACCTGTTAACTGGTACATAGTCTGAAGAAATAATTAATTTCAATAAAAAAAATCAATCCAACTACTTTATAAAGCTGCAACTACAAATGTTGCAGCAGTCGATAGGAAATGGGTTAATAAACATTAATAACACCACAGAGATAATGTAGACAGAGCTACGTTCTAATTAATAAATTGTAGCCTATTCATTTCTTCGTGGAATGCAGTTTTTTTCGCTGTTCTTAAGTAAAGAAAGAGAATTGAAAATTATCTCTAATTTGGTAGCAGACGTCGAGAACCACTAGTGAGTAATGGAAAAATTCTTGAAAGCGAAATGATTGATCTGCATTTAAGAAGAAAACTTCCTAGTGATTCTTTTCAAAGTAATATCAGAAATTAAAGCTCGCTGCTGATGGGCCAGAAATGCCGTAAAGTGGCCATTAAAATGATTGGAATAATGGAGCAGATTCATTTATAAATAAATATCGACGAAGAATGTAAAATGCTCATAAACTTTGACAAATTACAGGGTGTTGAGTCAACTCGCCGCCAGATGGCGTTAAATTGCTGTTCTGCATGCCACAGCTAAGCTTCGCTTCAAAGTTGAGAGCTGCAAGGTGGTAGCTCGGATGCACACGCATCAAAGCTCACCTGCTTACAACCAGATCACCTGGTCGCCCCGCTTGCCACACAATGTGTGTGGCAAATGAGCTTAAGCACAAGTAGAAACCGCTGCTCTAATTGCAGGCAATGTTGTGATCTGCCTTGAAATGCAGCGCGTAATTACCACAAAAATGTACGTTGTGCCGATGGCTGGACATGGCTGTGGTGGTCTTCTGAGCCGGGATTTAAGGCTGGAACTGAAACTAATGCTCGCTGCTGTCTAACGAGCTGTCAATTTAACGCTTCAACGCTGGATTCGCCTCAGACGCGGCATGGCAATTGCTCCACAAAGGAATGACACATGGGAGATGGCCAGTTGCAGAGTTGCAGAGTTGGCCATAAGCCAAGTGGCCCGAGAGCCACTGGACGGCCAACTGTGCAGATACTTTTTCGCGCCGCACGAAAATAAGGCGTGCAGAATCCTGCTGCCCAGCTGCAGATGAACCAGTGACCTGGTCGTGAGCCAGCATCATAACTTGTTTAATGCAGCAGTCACACAGAACACGTTCTCGACGGCAGCTGGCAACCGAATAGAATAGAGAGCCTAATTTAAGGCCATGCAATGATGAAAAATTGATTCATTATCAAAATTAGCGAGCCAAGAACAAGCTGAGCATCTCACGATACCCACAGCACACGATGTCGTCCTGCTGCTCCTGCGCTTGTCTATGCAAATCAAGCTACCTTTGATTCGCGCTTGATTGGGCATTTTCACAGAGTCTCAGCAGTCGTAGTCAGAGCTAAAGTCAAAGTCAAAGTCAAAGAATAGGAAACTTACCATAGCCATTAAGGCAAGTGAGCTTGTCCTGGGCAACGCCCGCATAGGCCTTCTCGTGGGGACCGGATCCGCTGTCGCTGTTGCCAGTGGTGCTAGTGCCATCCTCCGACTGGAAGCCGAACTTGTCTGTGATTTGTATGGACTGCATGAGCAGTATGTTATCATCCACAGGGGCCACATCCCGTCGCTGGCGTGTGCTGACCATGAACTCGGCTGGGGGAGATTAGGTGGAGAAGGAAGGAAAGGAGATTCGTTATTTTTAAGTTTGAGAATGAATTAAGGGGGAGGACTTACCACCATCAGTTCCATTCACCACCGAACGCTTCTTGCGGCCATAAGAGACCAGGGACTTGAGCTCTCCCCTGGCGCCATCTTCGCTGTCGCAAATGACTGGCTCACAACGCGGGATGCAGGGCGTCACGAGGGCACGGAACTGGACCACTTCACTGGAGGGGAACTTGAAGGCGTCGAACTGGGAGAGCAGCACCTTGCGGTTGTGCGCCATCTTCTGGATTGTGCCCATGATGTATTGATCGGTGGGGCAGCCATTAGCATCGATCAGCGTTATCTCAGCACTGTCGGATCCGTCCATAGCCACCAGTTCCCTAACAAAGATCTCGTACGGGCTGTTCGGTTCCACGATTTCGAAGCGCAGGGCCAGCGGATCACCGACCTCGGCAATGCGCTTCATGTCGCTGCCATCCCGCGAGGTGATCTTCATTATCACATTGGGCGAGTCAATGGTGATCTCCTCGCTCAGCGAAGACTCAATTTCGCCTGTCACTCCCAAATCAACGTCGTTGAGCACTGTCTTGTTGGTCAAGTCGTATTGACAGGACACAGCCAGGCCCAGATCGGAAGAGGTGACAATCATGTCGTGGTGCTGGATCACAATGTCGTTCATGTACCTGCCGTAGGCGCTCTGGCGAACGTTGCACTCTAAATCGTTGTAGCCCATGCGGAAGTCGAATTCCAGAGAGTTGTTCACGTTCACAGCACAGGATTTGGGAGCTCCCTTGGCGTAGACCTTGCCGTCGAAGAGTTTTGAGGTACGGATCTTGGTAATCATTTCGCCGGATCGGCATTCGATGGAGACATTGTAGCAGGCAGACAGTTCGTAGGTGGCTGCTTCGGGGACATCCAGGTAGGGATCCATCACATCGGTGAGGGTGGCGCGGCTGTGATGCGACAGACGGCAGACCATGTCTCCGGTGTCATTATAGTCGTATGAGTGGCATCTAATCAGGATAATTGAATCAGGGAACTATTCGAAAAAAGAGGGACAGGAATCCCTGGAAATAACATACCTGTATGGGGAGTTAAGGCAGAGATCGCGGCACTCGTCGATGGTGTTGATGTCCTGGTACACCGAATCCACTGTCTTTAGGATCTTACCGGAAATGCGCTTGAACTCACACAGTTTGCTGGGCTCCTCGGCGCAGTTGTTCTCCAGATAGTCGGCTCCATCGTAGGGCTCCACGCTTCCTCCGGCGGATAGAGTGATACGGTCCATGTCGGACAATTCGCACAGACCCGAGTGGCGATAGTAGTTGGCCGATCTGGGCGCGGTAAAAATTTTGAGCGGTAGAAGACGGAAGAGTGAAGTGCGGAAAGCGAGTGTTGTAGAAAGTGGAAGAAAGCAAGCGAAATACAGGATACATTAAGATAGAGTTGTCAGTTTATATGAGACCATGGATAGTAATAAGAGCAAGTTAAGCCGCTCAAGATAATAAAAGATTAGAATAGGATTAAGATATTTGTTTTTTTTTAGAAACCTAGCAAGTCATTTCGGAACTAGTACTTATTCTTAACTAACTACTATCCTATCCTTTGAACAAAGTTCTCAAGAATACTGCTGCCCATGAAACTAGCTTGGCATCATTGGCTACCAGCATTCCCATTTGGGGCTGTAACTCTTTTTTTTAACCATTACTTAACACCTTGGCACACTCACCGGCATGTGAATTCGGTCTCGCCCAGGCAGAGTTCCAGGCAGTCGCGCCGCGACAGAACTGTCTGACTAGATTTGACGTGGTCCGGCAGGCGGTAACCTTGAACGCGATCAATGCACCAGGCCTTGGAGCAAGGACGGACGCCCAAACACGATTTCTGTGCGTAGATGGTGAAAACCGGAAACTGGGAGCGCGAAAGTGAACCTGAAAGTGCATAAAAAAGTGGACATTAGGACAGGCAACAGGAAAACCAGGAAAAGCGGGAAAACGCAACGGTGCTGTGCGTACGCGATGCGTGAATTGAGGATTTTATGCGTTTTGTGCGTTTTACGCACACGCCCCTTCACTGCAAAGTAACAGGCGTCGAGAAACGCAGCACCAGCTGCGGTTGCGAAAAAAAGCTGGAACTGCAGCTAAATCGCCAGCAACCGCAGCAGCGACAACTGCATCGACATTCGAGATTCGACTGGGAAGGCTGCAGAAGGCAGAAATTATGCGTTACTGCCTGGCAGCTCCAATGCCAAAAGCCAGTTTGCAGAATAGGCAAAATCTAGTTTGCCGGGCCTAGACCGCTGGCGCTCGGCCAGCCAGCCAAATCATGCGTAAAAGCAAAAGGCGTGTTTACGTTTTTTTTATTTATTTTTCTTTTTTCATTTTTTTATGTTGTTGTGTTTTTTTGTGGCCTCTGTGGGACACGCGGGTGATTTATGCCCGTTGGCCACGGCAGCATTGGCTTCAACTCTTGCCAACCTGCATGAACTAGAACTCAGTAATTGAGCAAATGAATGAATGAACGACTGAGCTAAGCGAGTCGCCTGAATTATTGAGCTTTCTTTGGCACAAAAAGAAAATCAAGCGCTGTCGTCGCAGCCACAGCCGCAGCAGAAGTCACAGTCGCCGTTTCAGATTCTCACACTTTCTAACTCACCTGGCAATTTATCGGCGGTCGTCTTGAACAGCACACACAAGCCGGTTTCGTAGTTGACGGCGCTGCAGGACTCGTTGCTCTGGCAGGCCTCCAGGCAGTCGGTTAGCATCAGGGTCCCGGGCAGGGTGTCCAGCATTTTCGAGGGGGCCGATAGCACGTAGCTGAAAGTGATCAGAGATAAAATATGATTTATAAATCAGATCTGGTGGCGATAGCTCTGCTTAGGCTCCCTAATGATTTATGATTTCTGTCCGGCAAACGGCTAATGGATTTCTTTGAATCGATGAGCCGATGAAAACGAAAGTGTGCCAGCCCGGCATAGACATTCTGGGGCCATAAGTCTTTATTATAAATATTTTCTAGCGAAACGGAAAACCAAACAAAAGACTCAGGCAACGAACTTGCGGCGGGCGATGACATCGGAAACGAGTCTTGGGATTAGTCACGTTTTAACCAAAGACTGTCACTCCTACGGCCACTAAACATTTGCATATGCTAGTTAGCAGCGTTCCACTGTGGTGGTGCTGTGGTGGTTTTGGTGGTGGTACTGCTGGTGCTGGTGACTCCATTTCTGGGTTCCCACTTGCTGCTGCCACTTCACCGTTATCTCTTCTTTGTTTTTCTCCACTCGGCTCTGCTCTTCTTATGGAAATGTTAATTGGCCAAAATGTCAGTTGCATTTCATTAAAAATGTATGAACCCTAGCCGGCCCATTGTTGTGTCTTTCGGAAATTCAAATTTTAGAAGAAAAGCAAAAGTGAAAATAACAAGCGGCTATAAAATGTAATCAAGTTTCTATAATGCTGGCTATTGCGTAAGTCAAGATGAGTGAAACTTTTCATTGTTTTTTATGAGGTTTTTGAACATGCTGTGGGCCACTATGGAAGTTTAATTAGTTATGAAATTTTTAACAAGGGAAGTCTTTAGTTTAATATTACAAGATTGTTCAATTTGAGTTTAAAGTAATCTAATAGTAAGAAGATTATAATAATAGTAACCGTTGCTAAAATAAACAAAATATATGCTAAAACCAACTTTGCTTTATTTTCTTTCAAGACCTGAAGAATCTTAAAAGCCTCAAGACTTCAGATAGAAGCATCAGAAAGAACATACCAAAGGCTATCTGCATAAACCTATCTTCAGTACCATATCAATTGCGTATCTCGCAACAACCGTTGTTGGTAACTCACCCGGTAATGATCTCGAAGCCAATCATATCTGGATCGCATTCCTCCTCCTGGAGGATGGCTGGGGCCTTGTCCGTCTTGGCCTCTGGTTGTGCCTCGATGGGCGTGGCCAGCGGCTTGGGCAGCTCCACGGCGCCCGCTCCGATGGTGGCTGCCTCCGCCGCCACATGGTCGCTGACGTTGCCGTCCGTGGTGGTGGTGCTGGCAGGCGTGGAGCTAATGCCACTGCTACCGGCTGATGCGGCGGCCAGCGGCGAGGGCGTCACATTGTTGCGCGGAACGGTCTGCTTGACCGGCTTGACAGGACGTTTTGTTTTGCGTGCGGCGCTGGCGGCGTCACTCGCAATTAGGCAGAGCAGCAGCAGAAAGGTGCAGCGGCGTAGAAACATTTTGTCTGCAATTGAAATAAAATGGTTACATACGTGGCATATGGTGGTGTCGGTAAGTGTGGTCTTGGGAGAATCTCCCGAGGAGATGGCTAAATGTTAATTAGGCAGCTAATTTCGCATTACGCGTAATTTATGTAATTCCTGGTGTGCATTTTATTAGTTTGGTGTTAGGTAGGGAGTCTCTGCGGGGGCTTTGCACTTCCAGGAATGGAACAGAACGGAACTTTGTTTCTTCGCTCGGCATTCGATGGTATTTTCTCTCGGTTTTCGTCTCTCGTCTGGCTATGTTCGAGCTTTAATTGCCTGACTTGTTCGCTGTGTGTTTCAGCGTTTAATTAAAGCTACAGCTGCGCTTACAGCGATCTCGGATTTTTCTATTGTGCATACAGCACTAGCATCAGCAGCAGCGGCAGACACAAAATAACAACAACAGAAACAGTTGCAGCCACAATCAGAACAAAAACATTGTTCAGGCCAGGCCTCACTGGGGCGAAGAAGTTTTATGTGTGAAAAACGCCGCCGCCTGGGAAATGTTTAGGAGTGATGAGAGAGAGTCGGGTATCTGGACGTGCCGGGGAGTGGGTGGCATCATGCTGGGGGAAAACCTGGGAGACCCCGGAGACCCAAGAAGCCCCATGGGCCTAGTTTTCACCGAATAAGTGCAGGGAATGCAATGTTCCAGATGCTCAAAGTACATTCCTCAAGCCAGGTGTGATAATTAATAATGTTGGAAAGAAACTTGAACCCTATTTCTTATAACATAGAAAATTTAATAAATCTTCATAATAATGTAGAGGGCAATGTCCAAAAAGAAATAATATTACCAAGTCCATAAAGGCAATGTACTTGGCATTTTTTTAATCATTCTCCGGAATAAACAAATCGTAAAGTTTTTAGAAAAATGTTATAATTTATTATTCGAAACAAATTACTCCTTAAAGAGTCATTGACTTTTCAGAGCCAAGTTTCGTTCGCTTCTCGCTTCTGTCATAACAAGTTGCTAATCCAATTATGTAATCTGACATCAAAACGTGTCAAACAATTAACACGTTATAGCTGACGAATCTAAGATCTACACCACTACATTATATTTTTGTTTGTTTGCGAATAACTGGCTTTCCGTGGTTTCCCGCTACAAGATTCGGCGTGAAAGTGAATTTCGGCTTTATCTCTCATTCATAAAAAACGAAACAATGGCAACAAAAACACACATTTTCGAGAAGGTAAGCATTTAATGCGATTCGGCTGTCGATCCCTGACAAGAGCGTAAAAAATTTCACTACCCGGCAATAAAAAGCCAAGGAAAAGAAAAGCCAGTCTCGAGAGTCGATTCGAGACTCGCGATTCGCACTGAACTGAACTAAGCCGAGCTGAGCCACCTGTGAGATAATCTAAAGTGTGGCTCATTATTTTGCCGGGGAGACAACGAAGAGGATTTAGCGGTTAATAAGCGGCTGCGTGAGAAAAGATTTTTGCGCTCGATGCAGTCATGGATTCTCTGAAGCTTCAGTTTTTTTTTCGGTTTTGCTTTGTTTTGTCTTAAAAGCTTTATGCTGGGCACTTGTTTAATGTTTCGTTAGTTACATAATTAATTATGAGCCGCAAGGAAGAGGCCACAGGTTAGGGTGGGGGCACAGGCGGGTTGCATGCAAAACAAGTGCAACGCCCACACCTACAACCTGCAGTGCCAAGCAGCTGCAACTGCCCCAGCTGGCTCACACATAAATTATGAAAGCCAAACAAGAGGAGAGAAAGAACCGTTAATGTTAATAACATGCTTTAAGATACTGCACTAAAAACAATGTGTGGCCAACCCCTGGCCCCCACCCCATGGTTCTCCGGCCGATCAGAAGATTTCTGTCTGTGCAGCACCACCATTCTTCTGGTCGATTGAACGCCAAAGAAATTCAGAGCTGGAGAAAGAGAAGGCGAACTCATTACGGAACGCTCACTTCCACTTGCAATTAGTGGTATGAATGAATTTATGCTAATTATAGACCTCGACAGCAAACGCAACGCGCTTTTAATAAGCCACAGAGCGACCTAAGGCATCGGGTCGGGCACGGATTTTTCGGGCCTTTTGTTTCAGCTTCATTCTTATCTTCTGGCTCTTCAGATACGCCGTTTTTCTCGGGCCCTTCCTTTTTCCCTTAACTTGGCTTTCTTACTCCGTTCCCCTGTTTTTCGATTCGGTTCAGTTTCACCTGCTAACCCACAAATGTAATGAGCCATTGACCAAAGTGGACAGAAGCCGGGGTAGAATGGCCGAAAAGAAAGATGAACGGTAAATGTGCGTGCGTGTGGCATGTGGTTAGGCCAACGTTCAACATTCAAGATCCAACCTTCAACATTTTAGATGCGGAATCCAAAACGTTCTGTGGTTTCAACCTTCCCGCCACTTAGAATTTCCATGTGAGCGTAACCGAAGAGTCTCCGAAAAAAAAGGCAGCTACATTTTAATTAACTTCTGGTGTAATTTGTGGCTAGCCAAACGTTCTGGCTGGGCCTTTGTTTTCTGTGTTTTCCTGAATTTTGATTCACTGTTTCGGCTGATGTTTTCCCTCTGAGGTTAGATATGTCTATCAATTTCACTAATTGAACGTTAACAAGCCGCCGCAGCCTGGCTGGAAGCGGTTTTCCATCCATCTATCAATCATGTAAACGACTCGGTGCTTCCAATCGGATTCCAATCCGACGAAGCTGGGAGGAGCGGGGCAGTCAGCAGCGATACAAAGTAAGAGAGATACAATTTCGTTAGTTATTAGGTGAGACCGAGCTTCCTCGTATTCATTGACTACGCTCCCATCTCCAATCTTCCTCGCTAATTTTTCTCCCATAAACAAAAGACTCAAGCCACGAACTAAGCATATGTTGCGCGTATGATTGCGGCCTGCCGAGTTTCCATTACAATTCGCTAATGGTTCTACGCTTAGTGAAAACAAAAGATCTTCTCCAGCTCACAGATGAACTCATTTGTCGATGAAAATTTAATTGAAAACGCTTAGATTCATTTCCATTTGATCGCGTTCGGGGGCCTGGATCTTCCGAAGAGGTCAGAACAGAAAAGAGGCTGAATTTAAAATGAAAATTTCTCTAGTTTCGTATGCGGGTTCCCAGGCAGTTGTCTGGGAGTTGGAAAACTATAGCCTTTGGGTAGCCACAAAAAGAATAATATTTCGATACGTTCGATTTGAATTTATGCCAACTAAATGCCAAATGCTAATTGACTTTACGGCTGTAAAAATGGAGCCAACCAAAAAAAAACACTTTCTCAATGGAGGCCAAGGAAGACAAAGCCACAAGGAGTTACTGCTGAGTAACCTGACTCGGGGCTCAGCCGTATAACCTGGCCAACCTGCGCTTCGGCTGAGCATGCATAATAAATATGGCTTTTGTGGAGCGCGGCGGCTGAAAAATGAGTGCTCGCAAGGAGGAAGCAGCGTATTAGCACTGCAACAGCCCGGTCTTGGCGGCGGCATTATCATAAACTAAATATAGCAGCAAATATCAATTTGATTGTGCTGGCCGAGAGCACAAATTGAGACCGGTGCGCACTGTGCACTTCGCAGCACAATGGCGAAACGAGTCTAAGGCCAAAGCCAAAGCTCTTTCTTCGATTCAGACCAAAGACTGGACTCCAGCCCGTAGACCGGAGACCGGCATCGGCATTGTGTTGCAAGTACCGTTGAAGTTTAGCGCATGTCCGGCTGCTGGCCAGTGATAAATTATCACTGTTGGCCGGGCCATTACTTTTCGGAAATGTACGAGGTGAGCGACTGCAGTTGCTCAGCACCTCTCAGTAACCGGCAAACGCCTAAGCAACCCAAAAAACCACCTAACTTATGGCCAGCAATGAAAATGAGAATGAGATCCAGGCTGAGACTGAACCCAAGAATAAGAATGACGATGAGAATGCGCTTTGGCCGATGGGCAGCGGTAACCAGAGATATAAGAAAGACCTCTTCCAGAAGGAAATCTTTGGAGATACCTTTCAGGCTTTTGGGGGCCAAGGCGTTGGCGTTTATTATGCAAATATTTTAGCCTTAACTTGCGGCTGCAAATTAATATTGCTCAGCTCGGAGCTCGGAGCTGGGAGCTGGGGGCTTAGAGTTTGGTGTTAAAGTTGCACGGCTGAACAATGTCGCATTCATTTAACGGCACTTGGCTGATTGTTATTTAAAGTTCAGTTCATAACAATTGTTGTCGAGTGGTGCAGTGGTGCGGTGATGCTTTGTCCGTTTCGCAATTTACTACTTTTGCATAGTTAACAACTTGATTGGTAGCGCTGGGCAGTTGGCAGCAGCCTGACATTGAAATGTAGGCCTTGCCATCATCGATGCCCGCCAATGATTGTCGTCGTTGTTGTGGCCGTAGTTGTGTTGCCTCGGCTAGCTGATGTTGTCGTGGTTGTCTTCTTTGTGGCTGTTGTCATGCTGCATAAGTGGAGGACTGGTTGCTGCTGCTGTTGCATAACTAACAATGTTTAGAGCGCATAAATACATGGCCGTGGCTACAAGAACAGCACAAAACAGCAGAGCGCACCACAAAACAGAAACTCCATCTAACATCTAACATTCAGAGTAACGGAGTCCCGCACAAATGCTCATGACATGCAAAAGAATTTCAGTTATGTTGCGGCCGCCCCATGCGGGGCGTGTTTCCCTGGCCATATCCCCGGCCATTTAGCAATGCAAATTGCGTTGTTTAGTTTATAGATAATGTCATTCAGAATGCTCGCACAACTATCACAAAAATGTTTAAAGAACTCGGCTACAGATACAGAACAAGTTCGCTGCCAAAGTCACTTATTTCTGCTGCTCGATAAATGCCCCATGATAAGGCCAAAGAAGGACAGTTGACTTGGACGAGATGTTCGCTACTGCAGAGACCATTACTCCGGTCCAAGAATGCAGATTTTGATGACTGGATAGCATCCACTTAGGCTTCGAATAGTCAAAGTGTCCTTGACCTTTTCGGTTCTCATAATTCTGTAATAATTTATTAAACACTTCCTTGCAGAGAAGCGCCATAAACCTGGCTCTTAGAAATCCATAAAGAAAAGACAAACATCTCCAGTTACAACTTAATCTTCATCATAGGAGATGCTGTCAGACATGCTGAAGACACTTTATGGTCATAAGCCAGGCAATTAACACTTGACATTCTTTTCACTTTTTGTCGGCCGTTGATATGCTTTAGGCCCCATATATACACTTGTACAGGTGGCGAGTTGAGGGAAGGTTGCAGGGGAACGGGAACTAATCGCCTCGTAAAAACACATTTTATTTGAACTACGTGACAAGCAGAACTTTATGAAGGGACTGGAGAATAGAGAGTTCTCTGGGACGTGCGGCCAGGCACTTTTCGCTTTCTAGCAGCCTACATTCTCGATCTCGACTTGGCCATTCTTTGTTGACAAATGCCACTTCCACCGCTCATCGCTCACCTCTCACCGCTCACTGTCCGGCCCATTGTCCGATGGCATCAAATTCTACTTGAGCGCTAATTCGAGTCAATAAAAAAGCGTTTAATGGCAAACAATAATGAATGCTAGTTGCTCGCTCGGCCGGCTATTAGAAATTCTAGCAAACTGGCTCAAAGAAGCTCGGCAGTGAAAGAAAGCCGGCCAGACGTAAATTAAATGTAAACTGTTGTAGAGGCAAAAAAGAAAAAAAAAAACCAAACCAAGAACCAAAAGAGCATAGTTTTGAAAACCTAATAGTTGGAAATAGTTGCCGGCACGTGTTTTGCTTGCATTTCTCTTTGGGAAATTCTCGGCGGTCGTTCGAGTAAAAGTTAAAATTCATAAAAAGCCGGGCAACCCGAAAACCGCTGACAGCCAAACATAAATCCCGACAAAGCCAAAAAGCTGAGCCCGAAAAAGGAAACGGCTATGAAAAGAGGAAAAACAACAGCCCCACAACGGTCGTAAAAAAATCTAAACAAATTGAAAAGCGCACGCCAAAGTCGCATCATCATCATCATCGGGACCAGACCAGAGTGGCGGAGATGTGGAAAACTGGACTTGGAAATCAGGTCGGTCGGCGGTCGGGCCGCCTCCCACAGCCGGATGATTTATGCCCAGCTAACTGTTCTGCCTGGACCAAAAACCCCACCCACAAATGCCACCATCAACCCACTATGCCCCGGCACCCCAAATTGTTGTTTGTTGTATGTTGCATGTTGTGTGTGTGTGTGGTTCTGTGTGCGTTGCAAATTTACGACTCAATCAAATGCAAATTGCAAGAATTCTTGAGCGAGCTTCTCTTTGTGGGGGCCACCTGCTAGCTGCTATCTGGTGGCTGTTTCTAACATTTCCACCGCTGACCCAGTTTGAGGAAAACGGTTATAAATTGCGTGAAAATGCATTACGCAAGTACAAAAGGCTGTGAATGATGGCAACATCATCATCCACATCCATAGTCACAGTTCCAACAACAATGTGAATTGGCCGCTCTAGTTTTGCTGGCTAATTTATGCAACATTTGTTCACTTGGCAGGTGGAAGCTGTCGGCGCACGTAACTGTCAACATGGCGCAAACTAACTGTAAACTGCATATGCCAGGCAACCGCCACCACCACCACCACCACCACCACCACCCACTACATAGCTACCGAACCACTGAGCCAGTGAACCACCACGCCACCTTGCCACCGACTGCGCAGCTAATTGTCGACGCTTTTTGCATTTAAGCCAATTTGCGTTCACATTGTTGCCAGTCTGGCTGGTGGAAAACGGCTGCCATCTAAATTTCTTAGCCCGAATACTGGCCAAAGATCTTGGCCATCTCCCTCCATCTCTCCAGCTCCAGCTCTCCATATCGCCGTGTGTGCCTGGGCCGATTAGAATGTGCCATTAACCCATTTGCGAGTGGCAGGCTGGTCGGCGATTCGGCGCAAAGATGCACACAGAATGTGCAATTTAAATGCGCAACGAAACTGGGGACAAATTCAATTAACCCATTAAAGATACCAGAATTGATGACTCAAGAGAAGCAGTTCCGGTTAATACTTTAGATGGGGAGTTCGCCTTCTGCAAGCCATTTCGCTTTTATATCATATTTTTATGGCATAGCTTGTAGCTAACATGAAATGTTTCAGTGGGGAGACTTCTTTTAGCCCTCTTCCCTAGCCTAGCAACTAAAAATCATACTTTTCAATTGCTTTTCCATTCCATCTGTTGAGATTAAAATTCCTTTCCATTCAGCCATTTGTCAACAAGCCAGTGTGTGCACAACAGGTACAGGCGGACCAAAGGATGAATGGCAGGCACTTAAATATGTGGCACTCAAGGGGTTAAAAGCGGCTTACGGCAGCTAAGGCAACAAACAAACAAACATCGGGGAAACAAACAAGTTTGTTGCTCAAACACTGGCCTAAGCAAACAGAAGCAAACGATTTAAGTTTGGGGAGCAAGAAATTCCAGGAGGGGGAGTTCGACTTCGAGATGGAGTTGGAGCTGGAGCTGGAGCTGGAATGGGCTTTGTTTGCTCACCGAATGGATTGACTGATTGATAGACTGACCGAGTGAATGACTGCTGCTACTGCGGCTACCGACTTGCCTTATGATTTGGCCAATGCCGACGCTGCGCTAATTTGTTGGCATCCAGTGGAATTGGCCAAGACAGGAAGACAGCAAAAACCAAAGCCTGAAAACGCCAAAGAATCTGGCAGACAAACGCTGCCGACACTGTCTGCTGGAAAATTCCTGGTAATTCGCTGTTTGATTTATTAGCCATCATTACACACATTCGATGGCCGCTGATGCCTCTCCGCTGCCGGCAATCAGAATCAATATCTCAGCATCTCAGCAGTTGGACTTCCGGTTCAGGTGTTTGCTGTTTGCTGTTCCCCATTCCCCCATTAGCCATTTGCCAAAGGAAGAGAAATCCTTCCTTTGCGCGATAAAAACAAAAGACTATGGACCCATAAATAACCGCCAAAAAGAGAGTCAGTAGCCCAATTGGCCAATATATACGGGTAAATAAAGAGCCATGCTTATATATAGAACGAGTCACATTATATAATTTGCACTCGGGAGATTTATGGGCAAACACAGTTGCCATTTGTGGCTCGCTTCCATTCCCGATGCGTCTTTAAAACGCAATAAATATTAAAGACACTGGCCGGGCTCCTTCCGTCCTCTGCGTGCAGTTTATTCGTGGCCATGGAATTGTATCTGCCGATAGGCAACGCGAAAACGCTGCCAAGAAAGTATCTCAAAAGTAGAACAGACCAACGGCTCGAGCCTAACTGCATGCAACTGAAACTGCAAACTGCAACTGCAACAGCAACAGCCAAAGCTGCAATGCCACGACAGAATCGAGTCTTTGGGCTCCCTCTGTTCTTGGCTAACAATATTCATTGCACAATTATGCCTTGCCTGATTCTTGGACCAGATCTTAATGCTTTATATAGACAGCTAATTTATGCAGTGTCTGCACGTCAGTCAGGTGAAAGATACAACACACACGTATTCCATCTTTGAAGACTGCCATGGGGCACGGTGGGGCTCTGGAAGAGGCACAGATTCAGCCCACGCCAAATTATTTGCTATTTAGCCAAACATCAGCCTAGTTAGCGGAGAGCCAACGAAACTGGGTCGATGATATGCACTGGAATGCACGGTTGCCACTGCCACTGCTACTGCCACAGCAACTGTAACTCAATATGCAGCAACTGCACTGAAACTGACTTCCTGCCTGCGATTCGCCCTAAGAGTAATAAAACATATACCTCACATTAATTGCCACTTAATCTTGATTAGATTATGACCCAGGGTAACTGCGGGATATTTTAAGCAATGCCAACACACTAAATCAGAACACTTCCTATGCTTCTCTGAAAAGTATTCGAATCTCTTTAAGGCCGTCATGTACACCCCAAGGAAGCGAATATATGTTTATGGCCAATCCCCAGTACCACCAAAGACATGCAGCTGGGTTTCTCCTTTAAATATTCAAACATTCCCCAGACTAAATTTCCTAGTTTGTTTTTTACGACTTTGGTTTATCTTCTCACTTAATTCCGAGGAATATTAAAATATTTTCCGCTGTAAAAATACCTGTTAACTTCCGCTAGTTGGCCACTATGCTACAAAAAAAAATTGTTATAATTTCACCAAACACTTTTGAGGGGCAATTTCAATTTCCTGAGAAGACCACATCGTGTTCCCCATGTTCTGGGGAATGCATATATGCATAATTTACATAATTAACTGAAATTGCATTTGGGTATTTGGGTAAGTCATTCTGAAATGTGTCAATGTGTTCCGTTGGTTGCCTGGAAATTCCATTAGCCATGATCCTTTGAGACTCAGTTTTAAGGGAATTGTCATTGTTTTGCTAGGTTTCTGGTCGACTTTGTGCCGCTACACTTTGAACTTGACATAACCTCTTCCCATATTTGATGTGGCACATACCTTAACTGTTTGCTCTCGTGTCTTCCCGCTTCGGTGTAATCGACAATCCTCTCGAATCTGGAATCGGTCTTAGAACTGGTACGGCAGATGGTGTGTGTGCGATCTGTAAGACAAACAAATGCAAATTAGTTAAATATTTGCCTTCTAGCAACAACAATGGGCTCTGGGCCCGGCTCTGGGCCACAAACCCACTTATAGTAAGGCTCTAGCGTGTTATCAACCCGATATACATCTGAGTATCTGCATCTGCATCTGCATGTGCGGCAATTGAGTTTAGTGTGACAACGTTTAATGTGAAAACGAGAACTAAATAAATAATTTTTACCACCGAGACGAGACACAACAGCAGCGATGGCGGCAATGCAAACAATGAGATGCAGCGATAATTTCATTATAAGAGAAAACTTAGGGTGACGGGGAGGATTCAACATGGAAGGGGGGGAGGCTAGGGGCAGAGAGATCGAGAAGATTCAGATACAGATGGATGGGGCATGCGGCGCACAGATGTATCCGTCTTGACGTGGAGCGCTTATCTGGAGTTTGAATCGTTAGCAGGTGACATTGAAGTAATTTACTTGCTGTTGCCAGTTTCCACCGCTACCCACACAATTTATTTGCAACTATTTAAACGAAGAAGAAGGAAGCGAAGCCAAGAAGCAACTGCCAAGAAAGTCGTCGTGGCCAGGCCAAAAAAAAGTATATATATATCGCTTTATGTGTATATAAAAACAGGCAAAGCAAACCAAGGCTGGCAAAGATCTTGGTAAGTAAGTATTATTAGCCAGCCTAGAGTTGAAGTTGAGGCTGAAGTCAAAGTCCCAGCATTCGCAGTCACTCAGAGCACTTCTTTTTATATATTTTTTAGCTGAATTCGAAGCTCTGGTCTCTTCTCCTTTAGCTTCGGCTTCTTGCTTTATTATTGGCTGACAATGTCGTTGTTGTGGCAGTGGTTGTCGTTGTTGCCGGTGTTGCAGCTTTAGATGCAGTTGTTGCTGCTGCATTTCGCATTCCATGCTAGCGAAAGTTGACCTAGTCGACGATCGCGGTTTTTGGTTTTTGTTTTTGTTTCTATCGTTGGAGGTGGCAGGGGATCCACCAAAGTGGAGAGGGTGCTGCACAAATTTGCTTATAAATAACGAAATTAAATATGGCCAAAAGCCAAATAACTCAACTGGCACTGCCGGCTAACAACTGAAACTTTTAACACATTTGCAGCAGCCAATGAACATTGAAATTCGCCAAGTTTCTCTTTGGCATTGGATCTCTTCTTTATTCTGACTACCCAGAGCCCGGCCAAGTCAGTAAGCCAGAAAGCAACTCGAAAACATTTGCACAATCTTAAATTAACTATGCAATGCACGCGCTCGACTCCGATGCTCCTCTAGTTTTCCCTCAGTTGGCCACTTTTTTTTTGGCCACTTTCTTTTGGCAGTTTTAAAATGCAAATTGTCTTGATGATGGAGTGCCGGGCATTCTAATCAACTTGAAGATTTCTGCAAGACAGTTGACTCTTACTTTCGATCTATATCAGGTTGCCAGCCGCCAGCTCCGATCCTCCTCTGACGTCAGCCACCGGAGATTTCCGCTTTCGGGTTGGGGGAGAGGAAGGAAGGTAACAAAAGAAGCAGGCGGAAGCCTCAGACATTGAACTGTAACACTTTCTATTGAGGTCAACCAAAAAAACCAACGAAATAATAATAAAAATGCCATTGAATGGGTGTAGAAGCTGTTGAAAAGCTGTGGCCGGAGAACTCGTGGTTTGTTGGCTCATAAAAGGCGGCCAAGTGGCAGGCCGGCCGACAGCCATGCATGGCTAGTACAATAGAAATTCCCGAAATGCTAGGCACGTTGCACGGCCACCCGCCGCCGACTTCTCTAGATGCTAGAAAAATCCGACAAAAATAAAGACCAACTAAGTCGGAAAATGCAAGCTATTAATGTAATTTTTTTCCTCTCAATTTTGTGACTTCTTTCCACCTATATATATTTTTGAACCGAAACGCAGTCGGTGTCAAAATGTTAACAGCATTCGTTGCCATCCACTGACTCCATGGCCAAGAAGGGGTCTTAGGTCTTAGGTGCGGGGTCGGGAGGTCCGCGGCGCTTTCTTTTGTGCACCCAGCGAAGATTTTTGTCACGATCCTCAGGCTTTTCTGGCTCTTCGGCTTGCGCTTTTAACGTTTATTGGATTATTGTCATTAAATTTTGTTTGGCTTCGCTGAATGAAGCAGCGACAAAGTCTTAAAGGCTTGAAAGCGAAACTCCGACTCAGACGGGAGAAACTCCGCAGTGCACTAAAAAATGAAGGGAAGTCCTCCCCAGCATGAGTCAGAGGTTATCTCTAAAGAGGGGCTACCCGTCTTGAAGTGACCTTGGCATAAGATTGGTTATTGAGTATTTAGGATCTAAATTTTACAGCCAGAATGGGCAGGGAAATGGTTATCTTAAGATATTGAAATCGAGTTTCCTAAAAAAGCTTATTTGCTTTCTGAGGAATGGTAATTCCTAATTAAAATGTAATTTATTTCGTAGGATTAATGCTCAAATTGAATGTTAATAGAAAATGATTTAAATTATGCTATTCAAAAGATTTTATTGAATGATTATTGCCTTATTTGTGGTAATTTTAGCCCGGCCTTGCATTCTCTTGAATGCATCCTGCCAAATGCTTTTACTTTTCTTCCCAGCCATGCCAATTGGCGCTTTTCCTTTTTGGCATTATCATCGCGGCTGGCAGACAAATATGTATGAGCCTAGCATCCACATATCCATCGGCAAGCCAGCTGCCAAATGTCAAAGTTTAAGCAAACTCAAACGCCTTGGCGTTGGCTTCGGCATCGGCATTGGCATTGGCATTGGCATTGCAATGGCGATTGCCATTTGGTCGTGCCAGTTGGGCTGGAGTTGCACCCAAAGCATTTTTTCCTCGTCTGCTTCGTTTTCGCGCATTTAATCGGCGACAATCACAAATCCTTGGAGGTGGGGAAAAGAGGAGGGATGTGGGCGGGGGTTGAGGGATCGGATGTTTTTATTTATGGCCAAGGAAGCCAAACAAGCGAAAGTCAAATTCTTCGGCGATTATTTTCTTGGTAATTTTTCGACTGCTGCTTCTGCCTGACAAAAGTTTGGTGTCATTTTTTCCTTTTAGATTTTGAGCCTGGGATTTTGGATGGGGTGCCTGGGGCGATGGCGATTGTGATGGCATTGGCAACTCCTGCCATTGTCTTCATGGGGTGGCTCAGAGTTCATTGATATTTCGAGTGCAGCCACGTTTTGTGCGAAAAGTGAAACTCCTCTCAATTGTCAATGTCCGATGTCTCTGTCTTGAACTTGGCTCAGATATCTTAGCCCCCAGCTCTTGCCAATGCCAATTGTCGATGGCTGGATGCCGCATCTTGCATCTTGAATCTTGCATGCAGCAGGCGAAAACTTTTTACTTTTCAATTAAATTTCAATTAAAATATTACCGCAGCAAACGGCAACAAAATACTTTCACACAATCGCAAATCATTTCGGGCAGCACTTCTGAACAAATTAGCCAAACTGCATGTCAGCCGGATGAATGGATGGCTAGATAGCTGGCCTGCTGCCTGGGTGGATGGCTGGCTGCCTCGCTGGCTGGATTTCTTCCCATCGCCCAGACATTTGGCAATGAAAGCGAAGTTAGCCAATCAAGTGAGAAACAGGCTCGAATCTCCTCGTGTTGTGCTTTGACGGACAGCCTTAAATTGGGGGACCATCCATGTTATTAGCCATCCGAGCGATAGATGCCAACGATCGCCAGGCGATCGAACCCGGCCGACAAACAGGGCGTATACTTTATGTGTATAATTCACATGATTAAAAAAGCGTCGGCATGGACATAACTATAACTACGTTAAGACGTGGGATAAACTGTACTAATCCATCTCTAGATAGATGATCTTAAGCCAGGGAGGGAAATCCGACGTGTAGAAAGTTGGCCGTTTGCTGGTCAAATGATATCATCAGCCAATTTCCTTCGATAATTTCTCAACCCAATTTCTTGCTGCTTGTGAATAAATTATCGTAAAGCCAATTTAAGATCAGCCGACATTAGCCCCAAAAAGGTGCCGAAAAAACCAAGAAATGCTAAATAAACCCCAAAAACAAAATGCTAAATAATTTAAAACAGAAATCTAAACAGTTATACGCTACTTCCCATCAGCCGACAACATTGTTGGATAAAAATTGCTAATTGCCTGACCAAACAGCACAGCCGGCTAGGCAAAGCTAAGCGTTCGACCGTTGTATCAACTGACCCAAAAGTTGACAATCGCAAATAAACAAAAATGGAAATTTGGCACAGAGTATAAACCAACATAGCCCAAAACTGCTAACCCAAATGAGGCTCTTTTCGGGGGAATCTCAGAACGTACCTCAGCTTGATGGCCCGGAGGGTTGGCGTGGCTCAATCTCAATCTTGAGAGACTCTAATCGAGGGGAGATCGAGCCGCCACGGCAATTGACAATTCTAGCAGCGGTCCATCAATCAATTTTCCTTGATAAACTGAAACGGAAGCGGTTTCTGCTTGACAATCATCGCAATGATCTTTCTCTCTCTGGCTCGCTACATAGAATCCATTTCGCGATTTCGCGATTTCTTTGACGACAACTTGATTAGCCATTGATGACCACTGTCAGCCGCAAAAGTAAATTACAAAACGCTGATGTCCGAGCGGCTAATGGAAGGAAAAAAGCGTATCGAAGAAGGTAGAAATCAAATGCAAACGCGGACTTGTTCTTGTCTTGTCTTGCGACGAATGTCAAATTAAATCTATCAATTTCACAGCAGAATGAGTACGCCCAAATGCGGTGGGTCCCCATAAAGTTTCTTGGCCAGACATTTGAAATTGCTTTGCTGACACCGGGCCCCCTTAAAACCGAGTGAGGGGTGTGGTCAAATGCAGAGTTTCTTCGCTCAAAGGCACAGCTGCTGCTGTTAGTGTTGTGGCATTTGATTTTACTTGGCCGTAATTGCAATGGGAGAACTTTTTGCTGAAGATCCAAAGCCGGAGCAGGGGCTTCTTCTAAGGCTAATCAACGCTAACTGCAACAAACAAGCTGGACAAACAAACGCAAATTGTTTTCCACGGCACGGAAGCCAAAGTCAAGGCAAATATTAAATGCACATGACAAATTGCAAAGCCGAAGGCCTTTAGCCAGGCACGGCCAGTACTCGGGTAGCCAGCTAGCCAGGTACCCTGGTAGCCAAGCGTGTTGGAGATTTTCCTTTATCTTTCGTTTTTTGCCCATTTGGCGGCAATTAAAGCGCACGCTTCGTCTAATCAACGGCGACTGGCAGGCTGCGTAAATGAATAGCTGCCAGGCAGGCAGGCTGTGTTGTAACTGTCATGTCATCATGATGATGCCAACTCCTAGCCAACTCCCAACCAGCTATCACCCTACCCACAAAGCTCAGTCATGGCCAGGGCAATTATTGCGGGCAAATTTAAATACCAAGTCCATGCCCAGATCCGCGAAGGTACAGGTACTGCCTGTTCTGGCTGGCCAAGACAGTAGCTGACATTCAATGGATCATTTCAGCCGGTGGTCTGAGGCTTTGGCTTTGTTTGTTGCTCTCCTGATCATCATCACCACCAATCAGAGTGGCAATCCAGTTCTATTATTTCTTTTGAGAAAAAGCCCTCAGCCCTGCCCTCAGTCGGCTGCGGGTTCTGACAGGTTGCATTGTGGATTTCACACCACATCGGAGGCTTAATTATTTTAATTGCGCGACTTGTGTTCGCTTTTAATTATAGGGCTTACGGATGAACTATAAAAGACACCACATGACAGCGACTTAATGAATCTTTTGCCAATTAATGCAAATGTTATGAGCACCTTAAGAATGGTACTCTGCCTGCATTATTTTTAATTGGGGGAATCCAAGTTTGAAATAGTTTATGTTCCTAATCCTTTAGTGATATATTTTTTAAGCTTTTCATTTATTATGAGAGGTTCTTATAGATGTCACAGACAAAAAAAGGATATTTTAATTTTAGTTTCGAAAATTGGAAAAATTTTTAAATAAAAAAGGTGCTTAAACTTATGTTCTAAGCCCCTTTAAAAAATCCTGTACTCAACAGACTCAAGGTTGTTCCCACACCATAAGTCAACAAAAAGAACAAATTCTTGCGGATCACTATTACGGATTTCTGACTTGTCATTGCATATTTTGTATTATATGAGATGAGAGGGTGCAGGCTTTAGCGCCTGTGTGGTAAAAGTTAATAAACACTCACTTGGCAAGAACAACTTGCAACTGCAACTGTAACTGTTGTGACTCTTCGGCGTCGTGAATGTCAGAAGTGACCGAAAAGTATCCTTTCCTTTCAGATTCAGATTCGGAATGGGAATTCGTATTGTTTTATTTTCTTCTTGGCTCTCGGCTATCGATGCTGAGTCACGCTTCACTTTCGAGATGAGTTTTATTTATGTATGTAAATGATCACTGTTTGCTGATTACACACATTGCACATTGGTTAGGGCTTTGACGATTGCACTTGACTCGGTTGGATATTCCTTGTCAAAATCGCCAAGAGTCTGGATACGGATACGTACTTCCTGGCTGGCGCGCGGTTCTATTCGGTTGAATTGAAATCTTAGTTTTGGATTGTTGATTTTAGGTTTAAATTTAATATTTTATTTTTTGATCGGCAAGTCGAGTTGCGATCGCTGCGAACTTGACCGTCGAGAGTTGACCGAATAACTAAAGTAAACGTCGGGCTAATCAGTCGTTATATAAGTTACTCTCGGAGGAGTTTTCTTCGCTGCCTGGGCTGCTTTGGCTGCTTTTTTAGGTGAGCTCGCTCCGTTTGCGTGCGATCGCCTTGACAATGGCTAGCGTTGTGAGCTGCTGACGAGCACCGAGCGCAAAAGAAAGCCACAAAGCGAGCCGAGCAAAGAAAGCCAAAGAAATGAGCCGCAAACACAAACGGCTCAAAGAAAAGACTCTCGCTCCGAGTTCTTTGCTTTCGTGTTTGAGTGAGTTTCTCCAGGTAAAGAAAAGCGGATCGTCTTCGCCGTGACTTTGTTTGGCTTTGCTTTGCCTGGCATTTCACTCGAGACTGGCTCTTCCTGGCTCGGCCACTCTTTGTGCGCGAGTGAAGCTCTCTTTGGAGGCACATGTGGTGCATGCAGCGGTTCATTCATAATTTCGATTACCGAATCCACGGCCAGAACTTCGAAGAGAAGGTTCAAAACGGGCACACACGACGTTCAATATCATTAATTAAATTGAAATCAGTTCATGAGCGGAGATGGAGTTTTGCCAGCAGAACTAGAACTACCGGGGGAAAATCAATTTTGCCCATGAGATCGCACTTAACCGAGTTATTGGTACATGAAAATTATGATATTACTTCTTTTTTTTTTGTTTTTTTTTTCAGTTGTTTTTTTTCCCCAGCTTTGATATTCTCTTCTTGTCTTGTGGTCAGGCATTGTCGTGCGTTTTATGCTCCATAAAAGCTGTCCAGCACTGCAGTTTAAATGAATTAGGAGCCCAAAACGAAGTCAATTCGATTATGGGAGAAAGGCGATGGAGAACAGCAGTCAGAAATCAAAACAGCCATCAATTGAGCGGCCCAGCAAAGAAAGTAACAGATATTGCCTGGCATGGCAAATAAACAAATAATTTTATAACATTTCTATTAAGTCATTAGCATGTTAAGCCCATAAATTAAACGATCTTATAAAGATGCTCGTTTCTCATCCAATGTAAACACAACCGATCACAGAACAATCGACACAAAAGGCCACCGAAAAAATGAATCAATTTCAAATCGGATTGGATCGGATGATGGCAGACCTTTCGCTTTCAACGAAGCTGTAACTGAAGCAGCAAAGAGCCCAGCACGATCTTCTGCATACTGATGAGCTTGAATCTGAATCTGAACAAATCTGGAGACGATCATCACGATCTGGAGAAAGCCAAATCAAAGAAATCAAATCGCGGGCCAGTAAAGACAAACGACTAACAAACAAAATAACAAACAACAAACGCCAAACGACAAAGCGACAATTGCTAAATGAAATGTCGCGCAAGGAAGCGCAAATTGTAACTCTTGCAAAGCGGCAATCAAATGTCGCCGGAAATGTTTACACAAAGCGCCGAATATGCCCGAAAATGTTACCGCGGAGGTCATGAATGGGTATGGGGGGAGGGCCAAGGGGGGGTTAGAAAGGCAATTTGCATTTCACCAAGCCATTGCTGTGCTGTGTGACAATGACAGCTGCTTAATGATGATTCACGTTGATTTGCCAAGATTTGGTGGCTGATTTGCCTGTATCTGTAACTGACTGTGAACAGGTGCATTTGTTTTATTTATTTATTTTTTGTTTTAGCTTTGAAGAATCGTTTCTTCTTCTTCGCAGCTTTCGTTTTTCTTTCATTTCGGGTGAAAATGAAAACTGCAATTTCGGCAAATAACATGGCAACAGCAAAAGCAACAGAAATAGCAAGCAGCTGCAGAGGCATCATCCAAGTTCGTTGCTTAAGTCTTTTGTTATAATTTATACAACAATCACCAAATTTTAATTACACCTCATTTTAAGAGTTTCTCGGCTATTTGTTGTAGTTGGAAGATCTAGTGGAGCAAAATCTTTCTCCAGCTGCCCGCAGCCATGAGATTTTTATGGTTATTGGCGATTGCCCGTCTGCCTTTGCCAACTGGCTTTGCCTTCCTGCCCGCCTTGCCTTTCTTTCAGATATCTTCTGGGCCTGGGTGGGTTGGCTCTTTCTGTGCTGTGCAAATTCTAACAGCATCCGCAAACTTTTTTTTTTCGCTGCCTGCTGATTAAGTTGCTGCTGCATCTGCTGAAACTGCCGCAGCCGCTTCACCCAGCAACGAAAATGTGCCAAAAACAAACAAAGCCTAGCAGCAAAGTTCGAATTTGGCAAAAGTCGAACCAGAAATGCACTTTTATTCAAAGAATTTTGTTTTTTAATATATCAGAAGGTTTTTGGAGGCATGACTGACATTAACATTACTTTTTTGATTATGCTTATAAAATTAAAAACGTGTTTAACTACAAAACAAAACACTTGATGGGTTCAATGGACCTCACCGCCAAAAACTTCATTCCCAAAACAGAACAAGAACAAGAGCTAACGTTATCCCATTGTAACTGAACGGTTGTTAACAAGGGGCTCCGAGTCCGAAAGGCAACGAAACCCAAACAAAACGATCCAAGTACAAGTACGAAGCCAAATTGGGCGTAATATTATGCCCAGCCTGGGTGAAATATGAGCTGAGAAAATTTTATTTCAGCTTTGCTTGTCCCCGGGCACCAATATTAAAATGCAATGTGTGCGAGCTGTTTGTGAACCCTGCCTGGCGAAAGAAAAAAGTCAAGCTGTTCCAGGACCCAAGAGTAGGCGCCCTTGCTTGGGGCTATTGCAGTTTGCGATTTGTTAGCGATCGTATTTGTTCGGTTATTTAATGCGATTATGTTGGCCTGTATCATAAAAGAAAATTCAGCCGGAGGTGAACTTCATCAAAAAGTAAATAGGGAAAGAAATAGGCGCTCGTAAAATGTAAAACAAATAGTCCAATATTTGGCCATTCTTCGGCTAATCAGGTCAACATTTTCCATGTGCATTGGGGCGTTGGCAGTGGGCAGGGCCTGATCTTTAAACAGCCACATAAAGCAATTCAATTTGCTTGAGCTCGGGGTTACCGAGTCTTGTCCGCAATTCTGTTTATGGGAGCTGGAAGTGGGTGGAGATCGCTGAAAGTTATTTTCCCCCAAAAACTTTGTGGGCTGTCTAGCCCAAGTCGTAAAATCGGTGGCTTGGTAAGAATGTGTCTTTTGGCGTTTGGCCAAATTTTTTGGCACACTCAGCAAAAAGCAAAGAGATCTATCTAAAGTGTTTACTTCCTGCAATTTTCGAAAATATCGTCTTGATTTTTTTGTGTGACAGAGCTGACACGTTTCTAATTCTTTGCAGTTTCTTCTGAAGCCCTTTCTACCTCACCTCTGAGAAAACAAAACGGCGAGAATTCTTTTTTGGCGGCTTGGTTCAAAGTTGCTTTTGTGTTAGTTTAAGCAAACATCATGTGGACTGTTACCATTTTGATTTCTTGATTAACAATTGTCTGCCGATCCAAATATTTAAAGCATGAAATCGTTTTGCCATACGCTATAGCGCACATCAAACTATTTTCTTTACTCCAGATAGAAACAAATGCGGACCATCAACAATGAGAACTTTTGGCACATGAGGCACAACAAAGGGCCATCGGCTTTGATTGGAGATTGAAATCTTTTAGCCACAAACGTAAATTGGTTTCAGGGTGAGAATTTATTTATTAAGTTTGGTGCGAGTGCGAGTTCCTTGTGCCAAAAGAGTTCAACGCTCCCTGGAGGCCTAAAATGAAAAGCTAAACGAAGCCGAAACCCGGAAACTTACGACCAAAAACCAAAACCCCAAAAAAACCGAATAATCGAAAAACGAAAAGCGAACCTTTTGGCCAGATAAAACGCAGCGTTAATTAAAGCCGATTACCGTAATTTGTTCGTGTCCGCCGGGCTTTGGGAACAGCGGGCCGGCCCTTTATGAAAGACCTTCCCTGCATTCGGGGAGCTGCAAATTCGCCGAATGTCAAAAAAGAAATTGAATGTATGTATCTACTTGTACATCTGTATCCACGGAATGCTGGTGATGGTGGTGGAATGCTGACGCCTTCGGGTCTCTGGGTTTCCTGGCCAAAAGCGCGTGTGACCCAAAAAAGAGAAATTTCATCCAGATAAATGATGCAATTCCCGGCTTGGTTTTGGGGTTTGGCTCTTTCCTAATTGACTAATTAGTATTAAGCTACAGTGTTTAATATAATATTTGGGCCTTTGGGTATTGAATGATTTATGTCGCCACTGATTGATCTTTTCTGGGAAATACATAGTTTTCGGTTTTGTTTTTTGCTCTATCTGACTTAGATCTGGTATGGTAGGCCTCATTTGGCATTCCTCTTTCTAAAGAAAGCAATTTTTGCGACAACGGCGAGAACAGAAAGATGTCAGAAAGATGCTGCGGCATTCTAAGCCCGGTGAAAGTTGTTTTTGTCAATGGCAAAGAACATCTTTTGCTCTGCCGCTGTTTTGTGTGCTCAATAGTGCGACAAATGGTCAACTGTCCAGGCATCATCTTCATCTCCATCTGCAGGTCCAACCAACCAACCAACGAACAATCCACCGCCATCATCATAATCATCATCGCTGTCGTCGCATCATCATCAGCTCACGTTCTAAGTACAGATTGGCATGTGGCGATGCCCGGCTTAACACAGAAATCATAATGGTAATGGCAATCATAATAGGAACAATAAAAAGAAAATCCAAGAATGGTCATCAGAAAGTAAAAGACTTTAAATGCCAGTGCTTGGATTTGTTTGTAATGACATTGACAGACTGACTTGCACTTGTCCGGCATTTAATCTGGTTTGGTTGTTGGCTCTTTCCATTTCGGTCGCGTCTGAAAATCGCGTTTTTAACTCAGCTTCCTTTATAAGTTCTTGGAAAAAGTCATATAGTTTGGTCTCTATCATATTGTAGTTTCCTATAAGGCAAAATAAATAGGTAACATTATGGCAACTATAAGTTTCCCTTGCCATGTCTCCTTCTTAAAAAGCTCTAAGGCTTAATCTCTTTGTTTAGCACATATATGCAATTAAAATTTGTACACCGTAGGCTTTTCGACTTTCGGCATGTGGCATTTGTCACGTTTATTGAACATTTTGGCCACTGTAAATTCTATTTAAATTTCTTGGCATTTTTTGCACTACAACCATTTGGCTTTTGTTCGAAGAGGGAATGCTGGCTCTTTAGTGACGCTCGAAATTAGCCCAAAAGGCTTCAAA